TTTTCATATATTTGGTTCTTGTCTTAGCAATATAACTAATTTACATGACAACTTTTTTTGTTGTAAGTAGAAAATATATTTTTTATTTTTAAAAATATTTAATTACTTGAAAAGAAATTGTGATTACATGAAGGTTTCTATAAAAAGGAAAATAATTACTTAATTTTAGTGATTATCTGGAATGATATTATTGGGCTGTTTAAAATCATATATATGTAATAAATAATTTCTTTATTTCTTACATATTTAAAAATTGTAAATTTTTTTAATCATGTATATCTTTATGTAGACCAATCAAATTTAAATAGTAAATTTTATATGATGATATGTAATGATATTATTGGTTATTTTCCAATTAAGAAACTTTCTTGAGATATAAAAAGTTGATTAAATTAATTTTTAGAAATATAATTTATTTCCTATGATGATGTCGACTGATACTATTGGTTATTTAAAATTGGAAACTTTATTAATATTGGAAAATGCTTACATGGACCAATAATATCGAGTTTTTAAATCCTATGTAGACGCTATTCAGAGGCTTATAGCCTCAACTTTAGGAATTGTGATGTTTTTAATTCAAATCTGGTTAGATAATGATTGTTGTCATATATCTTAGATTTTTTTTTAAAAAAACATATTAATTTAGTTTATTTTTTTGTTGGTATTAAAAAGAAATATGTTGTAAAATCTTTAATGCAAAACATTTATAATATATTTAGATTAGGAAACTTTCTTGAAAATAAAAAGAAAATTACCAAATTTTATATGATGATGTGGAGTAATACTATTGGCTGTTTAAAATCTGGAAATTTCCTAATTGTGTAGATGCTTATATGGACCAATAAAATCGGTTTCCTAAATCCTATGTGGACGCTCTTAGAGGCTTATAGCCTCAACTTTTATATAGTATAGACTAGGTTTTTAACCCGCGCACGCGCGGGTCTGTTCTAATGATTTTTTAAATTGTTATATTTAAATTTATTTTCTTCCAAAGCTTCACAATTTTTTATTTTTTGCTGTTTTTTATAAACTTATCTTTGTAATATACTTTTTAATTATTTTTTTACTTTACCAATTTAATTATTTTATAATTAATCATAATAAGTAAGGTACTTTTTAAAAACGTATTTTCTGTAAAAAACATACAATAGCCCTATCCTCACATTTCTTAATATTTATATGTTTTGTCAATTGCTTCATAAAATTCGACATAAGAATAGATCCCAAACTTTTCTTTTTCAATATTATGACAACATGATCAGCCTGAACCAACATTGTTTTTAAGTGAACCGTATTAGAAACTTGTGAAAAAAAAAACCTTATAATTTGGCTTGTCGTCTTTGTTCTAAATTGGTAGCTTCTTTTTCTTTTTATTTATTCTTATTCGTTTTTTTGGTCATCTTCACTCATCTTCTTTGCTCTTCTTCGTCTTCGCTCGTCTTGCTTCCTCTTTTGGTTTCTTCTCCTCCTTTCTTCTTTGATTAATTCTTAATTTTCAATTTCATCTTCGTGGTTTCTTATTCGGTGTTTCCGTCTTCAACTTTGTTATTCTTTGGGTCTTTTTTTTTCTTTCTACTTTGGTATCTTCGTCTTCGATAATTTTTAATTTTATCTTCTTAATGTTCTTCTTTCATATCCTCTTCATATGTCATTTTTCAGTCTGAGTATATGATTCAGCCATTTTCTTCAACAAACTTGTGGCAAATGAGAACTCTTCACTGTAAATCCTTCAAGGTGCAACAAAGATGATTACTTTGTCTCCAATAGTTTTATTGTCTACTCCTTTCCACCCTTGGATTTTTTGGCATCCGTAGAAGGCTGGTACTCTCTTCCTATTTGAATATTGTGAGTTACAGTAAAATAAAATCTTCCTTAAGGCTGTGAAAGATGTCCATGAATGAATGCCCGAAGTTCAGCTAAGAAAGCAGCCTCTTTTTATCCTCTGTTTGGCATGCATTAGAATATGGAACACAAAATATTGTTTTTGTAATGCAACTTGGAATATTTTCTTAGAAAAATGTGGTATGATATGGATTATCAAATCTCCCTTGAACTCTCATCTGCTCCGTAGAAGTGCAAGTATACTAATTACTTCGTTTTTTCTTCCTCTTCACTTATATTCACTCATCCACACTCATCATCTACTTTGATCTTCTTCGTATTTGCTCGTCTTGCTTCTTCTTTAGACAAATGTGGTATGAGATGGATTATCAAATCTTCTCCGTAGAAGTGTAAGTATACTAATTACTTCGTTTTTTCTTCATCTTCACTTATATTCACTCATCTACACTCATCATCTACTTTGATCTTCTTCGTATTTGCTCGTCTTGCTTCTTCTTTTTCGTTCTTGTTTGGTTTATTCTCCTCTGTTCTTATTTGATTCCTTATATATCAATTTCATCTACGTGGTTTCAGATTCGGTGTTTCCATCTTCTACTTTATTCTTCTTTGGTTTTTTTTTTGTCTTTCTATTTTGGTATCTTCGTCTTCGATGTTCTTATTTTTATCTTCTTATTGTTCTTATTCCATATCTTCTTCATATGGTATTTTATAATATGAATTTGTGATTCAGTCTTTTTTTCAACGAAGTTGCGGCAAGCGAACACCTTTCATTGAAACTTCTTCAAGGTGCAAAAAAGATGACTACTCTGTCTCCAATAGTTTTATTATCTACTCCTCTCTACCTTTGGATTTTTTTGCATTTGTAGAAGGCCCATAAACTTTTCCTATTTGAATATTGTGATTTACATAAAGATAAAATCCTCTTTAAAGTTGTGAATAATGCCCAATTGCCCATGAATGAGTGATGCCCGAAGTTCAGCTAAGAAAGCAGACTCTCTTTACCCTCTCTATTTGGCATGCATTATAATCTGAAATGGAAAATCTTGTTGTGATAATGCAACTTGGAATGTTTCCTTGGACAAATGTAGTATGAGATGGATTATCAAATCTCCCAAGAACTCTCCTTTGCAATGCAAGTCTAGTCTTTACTTGTTTGACCAATATTGTTGAAATTCTTGTGATAAATAAAGTGTAATTTAGTGGGCTATATGCATATTTTTCTTTTCCCAATGTAAGTTGGATCTCGCAAAACTTGATCTCTCTTATCATCTCAAAGGAACTACACATGAATTTAAATGTCTTCTTCATGACATTAGCCGTCTTTATTATTATTATTTTTTATCTTTTTTTATTATTTCATATCTAGATTATGTAATGTTAATATCCACTCACTTGCAAAGTTGGCTATATTTACTTTGAACAAATCTTTCAGTTATTACTTATTAGGGTGTAACTTTCTCTTTTTGTTTTTTTTTTTTTAAGTTAGCTAAAAAAGAAAACTCACCATATAATTTTTCATGATTAATATAGTAGTTCCCTTAAAATATTTTTGTATAAATCTTTCAAATATAGTTACTATTTTAACAAAAATTGAAGCACTTTATTTAATTATTTTGGAATTTTGAAGTTTAATAATTTAAAATCGGTTATATATTAGAGTTACTAAAAAATTAATATTACAAATTTACAAAATCGTTTATATATTAGTTTCTTTTTATTGGTTTAGAAAATATAATTTCTTTATTTAATAAATTATTTAATACGAAAATAAATAATTCCCTTAAATTCGGAAATTATCTGAAAATATAAAAAGGAAATCAATTAATTTTACAAAGACTGTAATTAAATTTATATGATGATGTGGAATGAAACTATTGATTGTTTAAAATTGGAAAAATTACTTAATTTTGGAGATGTTAATGTGGACCAATTAAATCGCGTCTTTAAATCTTATGTGGACACTTTTAGAGGCTTATAGCCTCAACTTTTATATTCTCTTAAAATATTTTTGTATAAATCTTTCAAATATATTACTAAATCGAATTTAAGTTTTAACAAAAATCGAAGCACTTTGTTTAATTATTTTGGAACTGTGAGGTTTCTTAATTTAAAATCAGTTATATATTAGATTATTAAAAAAAATATTACAAATTTAAAAATTGTTTATATATTAGTTTCTTTTCATTGGTATTTGAAAATATAATTTCCTTATTTAATAAATTAGTTAATACGAAAATAAATAATGCCCTTAAATTAGGAAATTTTCTGAAAATATAAAAAGGAAATCAATTAATTTTACAAATACTATAATTAAATTATATGATGATGTGGAATGAAACTATTGGTTGTATAAAATTAGAAAATTACTTAATTTTGGAGATGCTTATGTGGACCAATAAAATCGCGTCTTTTAATCCTATGTGGACGCTCTCAGAGGCTTATAGCCTCAACTTTTATATAGTATAGATTGGAGGATAATACAACTTGATACAAATTAAATATGGTGTTTATCCATTACTTCTTCTTTAAAAATACATCGTCCCTTGGATGGCCTTAAATCTAAGTAGCTTTCTCCCCAAGCTAGTTATTAACATGCTTTCTCCCCAAGCTATGCCTAAACTTTAGAAAGGAAAAAGTAATGAACATTTTTTTGTTAAAAAAAAAAAAGTAATGAACATACGAAAAGGAGATAGAGAAAATTTTCAATAAATTAATAATGTTGAGATTTTTACAAATAAAATAATAATATTAATATTAATACTTGTGTTCATATTTCTAAAATTTACTATTTTACAGAAATACAATTAATAATTTTTATAAAGATATTTTTTGCTTGTCCAAATTTGAGAAAATTGATTTGAGAAACTAGGACCACACTGTCTTTGGCACAATGCTATTGCTGGAATAGAGGTAACGTAATATTGAAAAGAAATGTGCATGAAAAGAAAAAAGAAAGCATGAGATTTCAAAACAGAGTATGAAAGGGATAAAGAAAATTGGAGACCAAAGAAACCACAGAAACACATAACAAAGCAATCTGTTTATTTTATCACCAAATCTTCGGGTTTTTTTCACGGTTTATCAGAAGATGCGTGTCTTAAATACGATATTACAAAGCTGGAACCAGAGCCAACCAATCAAACAAACAAACAGACTTAGATTCTATCAATATCCTCGTCCTCAAACTCAATGTAATCATCAGCACCATTATCATCATCTTCATCAAGATCACCAACGATTCCTTCGTTAAGACGTGTATTCTCAGGAAGCTCACCATACGCCTTGAGAAGCCTCGCCTCGTCAGACATGTACTTGAGGATGACATCAGCTTTGTCATCTTGGTAGTCCCTCAGTCCAACGAGTACAATGTCACCGGCTGCAATCCAGACCTTCTTGTGCATCTTGCCACGGATATGGCAGAGACGTTTAGTCCCGTCGATACAATTTGCTTCACATCTGCCATTGCCAAGCATACGAAGAACTTGTGCGTATTCTTGCCCGTCTTCCTTAAAGATGAGCTCACGCTTCTCATCATCGGCTTCGTTCTTTCCTCTCTTCCTGTTCTTTCCTCCCTTTCCCTTGTTCTTCGGCATTGTCTCTGCAATAGAATCCAAAATATTAAAGAGAAAACCTTCAAAAGAGAGATCCAAAACAACAAGAAACTATGCTAATTTACATATGAGCAAAACACTACACAAGAATCTTTTTTTATTATTAACTGATAAAAATTAAGGAACATATCAAAGAGAAGACCTTTAGATATAATTATAACACTTGCTTAAAAGGGTTTTGCATTTGCATAGATCTCTAAAGCAACTTCATCAGTTAAAATTCAAATCTACGCCTTATTCGCATTAGAGATTCACATATCTAGTGACACAGAGAACAAGAAATTACATATGAGTAAGAACTACGCAAGAATCGAATTTTAGTAATCGCGTGATATTAAAAAAAAAGGTTGGAAGAATATATTCGTTTCAATTCAGACAAGAAATGGTAAAATCGAGCTATGAGAATCAAAGAATATAGCCAAAAAAAGGTTTAATTTCATCACTTAATAATCAAAAGAAGGGCTTTTTCGCATAGCCAAAATCGTATGAGCAAAAACTGTTCTAACGATCGCGTGTTATGTTAGAAGTCTGAAGAACAGATTCGTCTAATTCAGACAAAATAATCGGCAAAACAGAGCGATGAGAATGAAATTAGAACAAACAATTTTCCGACCAGACAAAGAGAAGCGATCGCCGATTCATAATCCTAAATCAACCACTCGAAACCCTAATTTCAGAGCCGGAATAGCAAAATCAGGAGAAAGAGACGAAATCGGATCAAAGGAAAACGCGAGCTTACCACTATGGATCGATCAAGCTGAAACTGACAACAATCTTCAAACAGAACAAATTTTACAAAAGTCTCTCTCTTTTTTTTCTTCAGGAATTTCAATAGATGAAAACGTTTCGTAGCTGCGTTGCTCTGTTCGCGAAATGACACTTTTGCTTGTTAAAATAAATAATATCAGCCATCTTATAAAAAGCCCTTGGACTTCGGTTTTATTACGAAACCATGCCATTCCTGATTAGTTTTTAACTTTTTACTTAAAACCACCATTGATTTTATTTTATTAAGGTTGAAAAAATTCCCCCACTCTGTAAAAAAGTGAAGGAACATAGCCAACAACAAAAGATAAAAAAGAAGCTATTACATTTCGTTTGACATCATTTGGACTAATTAAGTCTCTTTCTTGGGCTTGTCTCCGTACTTGCGAGCCCAAATGTGTTTCTTGTTGACAATGAACTTGACGGGCTTTGGGGAGCCTCTGAGTATCTTATCCACAGTAGCGACAGAGTCCAACACCAACCTCGCGTACAGTGACTGTTTCACGTCCTCATTCTTCTCCTGCATGAAGACGCCTTCCACACAACCATCTCCAAAACGTCTCGTGAAACAATACTTGACTTCCGACACCGAGACTTCGAATCCGCGTGAGAACGTAAGAAACACCGTCCGGTCGTTCTCGGTGGCAATACAATTTGCATTCCACCCCCAGAGACCACGAGGAGTGATGGAATCCATTGCCATGACGTGAGGCCTCACGAAGATGCCCCCAAATGTTGGATGCGGGAAGCCTGGGATGTTCATGGGGAGGGAGATTCTCGAGGAAGGTGGAAGAACTAGTTGAAGGATGTCGGAGAAGATTTTAGAACAAACGGTGGATAAGAAATTCTTTATACCTGTTATGGCGCTGTATCGATTCTTGTATATAATTTGGAGAGATATTGGATTTGCCATGAAGCGTGTGGTGAGAGGGATCCAATCGAGGGTTTGTGGAGGTTCGGGGGACTCAAGGCAACGGAAGCAGGAGACAGCCTCGTCAGCGAGATCCGCGATGATTGGATCGTTGAAAGCCATGAGGCTTGAGAGGGTGTCTCCGAATCCGAAATCCTCAAGCCAAAACCATGTTGCCATGACAAGGAGTGACTCAGCTGGGGATCTTGCGAAGTGAAGAACCAGCTTAGTGAATATCTTTCTGTCTCGGGCATGGAAAACATGTAGCTGTTCAATGGAGGAGATCGACATCTTTGGAGTGGGGTTTGAAAGAAATTATACTAGAGAAAAAGACGAATTCCAAAAAGTTGGGAGAATGTGATAGCAATTGGCTTCACTTTATACAATAATTAGGTTCTTTAAGATAATGAATGTCAAGATTTCATTTAGATAATGAATGTTTATCTTTTTCTTAACCCCAAATTAATCTCATAGATTTTATGATAGCTTCAGAGTGACGCATACATAGTGACGTATACAAAGTGACAGAGTGACGCATATAGAGCTGTTAAAATGGGCGAGCGGCCCATGGACATTGTCCATAATCCAAATAATCCAAATGATTATGGACGGATCATAGACAAGCCCATTTAAATTGCGGACAAAATTGTGCTTGCCAACTCCTCTAAATATCATCCATTTTATGATTGTCTTGAGTTCAAAATTTTTACTTGATTTCTTTTGAAAATGTTAAAAGTTTAAAAAATGTTTCCATGTTCTTTACACTACAATCATAATCATAATTGTTGAAAGAAAATATCGATCTATTTCTAAAAATCGAAGAGCATTAACTAAATGTTAATATTCAAGACAAGAAAATAGTTATGTTATTAGTTAGCTAATTTCATTTCATTTTTTCTATAGAGGTATATTATATCTCAAGAGAAAAGGTGCAAATCATGTATTCAAGACGATGAAATTCCAAAATATGTATGGAATAAAATTTTCCTTAGTATGTCTTGATATATGTAGTTGATAGAAAAATAAAAAAAACGAGCACATATCAACTAAGTGCAAAAGTACATCAAAGAAGATAGATGATGGAACGGGGCCAAATACAACAAAGCGTCCAAGCCCATTCGTAGGATGATGGAGATAGAACAGAGGATTTTCTTCAAGCTCGAGTATCTTGAAAGTTTTGAACTTGAAAACTGGCCAAAATGCAATGTGGTGGGAGTTGAGTTAAGCTGAATCATCACTTGTATTGTCCACACTAAGGTATGGTGACGTCAAGAATATAATTAGCACGGGTCTATGTAGATAATATTTTTTTTTGTTTTTTTTTGTGAAATCGGAGATACATGTCATTTTTCTAATAGCGAAACTAGGGATAGAGGTAGTATGAAAGACGTAATGGCAAAAAGAAAATGGTTTTTGGTTCTTTCTGACAAAGGTCTCGGGAAATTTTCAGAAATACACATTTTTTTTTTTTTCAAACACAAAGTGTTAATCCTCATCAAATTCCTTCATTTTTCGTCTCTTGTACGTTATGTGGGTGTGACGTTTCCCAAACATAAAAGACAAATAAAGGATGTATATAAGTACGCACTACGATCATCGGTTGTAATCCTTTCAAGTAATGGATCCTCAAAAATATGAGTGCATGAAACTAGAGCTAAATCTAAATGATGAAAGCAATAAAATCATGTAAACTTATGAATTAAAAACGTCGTTGTAAATTCAAGAAATATTTAGAGATTCACAGTTTAGATAATTCAGATTTTGAATAATTGGATACAATCATAGACATTTAGATCCTAGAGCTGGAAACACTAATAGTATAATTCCACCATCGTGGCCTAAAACCAACTTATATCATCAATCTAAAACACACTTTCGTAACCAAATAGATTTGATAACATAGAGATATAAACGAGTTTGACATACATGCTCACTAATAATGTTTATTGTTAGCTTTCACGTTTTAAATATATAGTATGATATCTAATTCAATTTAAGCTAAACAACAATGTTTTGATATAAAATCTCATTCAAAGATATATTTCAAAATTTTCTCTTTAATTACGCACATCAAACAATTAGGATCTGCGAATTTCAATTACTTTTTGAAATGAAATAACCATTTTTTCATGTCTAATCACTATTTATTTACTATGTGCTTTTAAGAAAATTTCCTTTATATAAGATGTTCATGCCTTTTTTTCTCGGTTACTTTATACACTCTCCTCTCTCTCTTAGGTCTTGATCGTCGAGCCCCAAAGTCATCTCTGCTCTTTCTTTTTTGTTTTTTTTTTCCGATTTCAATGGGGAAGAGAGAGAGGGAAGATCCTTGCCGTGTTTGTAGGCATTATCATAATTATGACGAAGGAGAGCCCTGCGACATCTGCGGCCACGTAGGCACCTCCACGAAGGCGGCGCAAATCCAAGTCAGCTCTTTTCCGTCGGAAATACTGCCGGACTTTCTCTATCTCGGCGGATTCGACACCGCTTCCAACTTTAAAATCGATGTGACTCACGGAATCTCTCACATTCTCAACGTAAATTTCTTTAACCCCAGCCAAAAATCACTACTTTTCTTTCACCATTACTGAAAAAGATCGCAACTTTTTAAGACTAAAGATTTGGTTTTTGCTTCCATAGACGGTTCCTTCGTGCGAGAATCTCTACCCAAGTTCGTTCACATATCATCGTCTTCGAGATGAAAAAGCTTTAGAATTTGACAATGCCATCCAATTTCTAGGTCCGATTTTTAAAAATTCCTCCTTTCTACTAGTTTGCTCTTTCTATAATTATGAGAAGTGATGAGATGTCTCATTATTGGTTTTGATTTAACAATTTTGTTCAGACAAATGTGAGATTGACAAGTCCCGTGTTCTTGTGAACTGTATGTCAGGAAGAAACAGGTCAGTGAAACTTTAAACAATAGTACCAATGTTATTAGAAAGTCTTCTTCTTGTTTTTGCTGAATTTTGTTGATTGGTTTCGACAGATCACCAGCGATTGTGGTTGGTTACTTGATGAAACGCAAAGGGTGGAGATTAGCTGAGAGTTACCAGTGGGTTAAACAACGAAGACCAACTATTGACATCTCTCCAGGTAAAAAAGAAAACTCTTTACTCAACAAATTGTGAATTTTTTAAGTCTTTGGAACCTTCAAAAGTTTAAGTTTATGGAAATTGTTTGGTTTAAAACAGAGTTCCAGCAACAGCTCAAAGAGTTTGAAGCGAGGTTATTTGGATCAAGAGATGGCTATGGATTATCTGAGCTCAATAATCAACTTCAAGACTTGGCTTTTGGACCGGTGAATGATAATATTCGTATGGATTACTAGTAAAAAACACCCTGAGAGCTTGGTTTCATCTCTCTTCTTGTGGTATCTTAAGAGGAAATGTTATGCTTTTTGACAACGTATCTTATATGTATAAGCAGTCTCAAATGGTAGTTTTATGATACAGTTTTTACAGAGTAAAATGTCGTAACTATTATTAGCTATGAACCTGTGGTATGTGAGATTCGATCATGGACTTGGCAATCCACAAGAGGCCAGGGTCATTACGTTTGAGTACCAAATATGCTTCTTGTGCTCCTGTGTTTTCCCATACCATCTCTTCCACAAACCCAACCACGGAAAGGATCTCAACCGCAGCTACAAAACATCCCAACACACAGATAAATAAAACTATCATACACATTCTGTTATCAGAAGATGGAAAAGTTATATAAAAAAAAAACCTGCATAGTTGAGAATCTTGCGCTTAATTGCAGGATTTCCCTGAAAACGCAATCATGTAGTAGATCAGATAAAGGAACTATATTTATATCAGAGGCCTAATGAGTACATACCTTACGCAGCCTTTTGAATTTCACTTCATTTGGTTGTTCAATGATGTTCCTGGACCACAAGAATTGTATCTTTAGACACATAACAATGGACTTACATTGCAGACACACTTATAAGTTTCCAGGCAGTGACAAGGTACAATACCTCACTATTTTGAGAAGCATTTGTAGCACATTGGTTGCTTCACTTTCAGTTTCCAAGGCATTTATTGCTTTCTTGAGCCGGTTAGAGATGATGGTAACAGGGTCTTGTATCCTCTGAATCTCTTGATCATCTGGATCAGGCTCATCGACCTCCATGATTGTTTCCCTCCCTGTGACCACCAGGTTATTAAGATCAAGTGAGGCCTGCATAGTTTCATCTGCAGGAGGACTCTTCAGATTCCCATCCGCCATTACAGTGTCATCTGATATTTCCATGTTTTCAACTTCCCCGATACTTCTGTGTGTTTCTGAGTCATCCGGATCAGGTTCATCATCGTCTTCAGCAGGATGTGCATTATCATCATCACTCACGATATCAATCGATCCCGAGTGATGTTCCGGTGCAGATTTGTTTTCTTCAGTGGTATCATCAGGATCAGGCTCACACTTACTCGAAGAATCAACACAAACATCAACCAAGTCATCAGGATCAGGTTCTTGGCTAAGTTTCGAAATCCCAGCGTCATTGTTTTCACTTGTGTGGGAGAGACGGCGATAAGCAGCAGCAACAGACGATTCACGAGCATTTCCAAGATTATCAGATTGATTTCCACCAAGCCTCTGAGAAACTCTTTCTTGCTCATCAAAGAAGTCTTCTTCCTCATCATATTCATTTGTAGTTCTCGTTCCGCTCAATGTGTGACCTCTTGATTTAGTCCAGTCTAAGCTTTCAGCTTCTTTGTTCAACTGTCACACAAACACTCATTATGTAAAATTGAGATAAAATTAAACATAAACCATCACCACTGAATACAAATATATATTACCTGACTATCAAGAGCATAAAACTTTTCATCATGGTCCGTGTATACCATGTGAGCCTGACATTTCGATTTAAAGAATACTATTAGCTTAGCTCTCAAATCAAACTGGTGCAGAAATGTTCAGAAACTTACAAGCTCATGCAACAGAGTCTTCTTTATGCTCTGGTACTTTCTGAATCCTTTGAGATCATCTGTCCGAAGACGTAGAGAAATCTCCTCTCCTTGATTCTACATCATCAGCCAATGAAAATCAAAATCAGAACAGACCAAACATAAGAGAATGATTGTGTCTTATGCACAAAACCGTTGAGTACCTTGTTAAAGCCTAGAAGGCATCGTGGACTAACACCAACATAACCAACAGGGGCAAGTTCTGTCATAATCCCTACTCTCCAACGATGCTACAAAACATAAAAACGTTGGTACATTGTATCGACAAAACTGAACAGTTGTAATGATAAGTTTCTCGTAGTTAATATATAACCTTGTTCATAACAGCGATGATACCAGGGTCTGCTGCAAGCATATGCATTCTCTTTAAAGCATCAGAAGCAGGAGGGTTTAACTGCGCAACAAAGAAACATCTCAGGTCACTTCATATGGACGCAAGAATTCCAATTTCTGCTAGTAGTAAAGTTATGACATTTACTTACCACTAAACCGGGGATTTGAAGAGTGCGGAAACCGCAGAAGATGTAAGGTCCTTGTGGAAGCTTGATTGAAGTGTTTGAGAACTTCTTTTGCCTAAGCCTTCTCTCTTCTTCCTCAAAGCCGAGTATTCTCATGTCAGGGATTGATTCTTTTAGAACTCCCTTGACCTCTTCTTCAGTTACTCCCATCATTTTTATTGTTTTATCCTAAGCAACCACCAAAGAAGGAGACTTTAAAAAAAGTGACACATTTAAAAAAAATGCGTATTGATACTAAATTCAGAAACTTTTAACAACTTTTAAGCAAAATCTACTCAAAACAAATGCGAACCTCAACTATGGAAGATTCCTGCAAGCTCAAGTTTGAGTGTTCATCAGAGAAAGGAAGTATCAATTTTGAACCTTTTTCGTTCAGCCGAGGAACGATCAAGCGGAGTGTTTCGGCCGTAACGCCGGTTAATTTTCTCAATTCGTAACTCAAATCTTTCAGATTTGCACTGGAATCGATCTCTACGGTGTATTTGTTTCCTTTCCACATAACAGTAACTCTGATTGGTTTTCCAGAATCTTCCATGCGATGAGATGACTCTAAGCTACTATCGCCAACGGCCATGGTAATCAGGAATCTGAAGATTGTGTTAATGAATCGATCAATCAATAAATTTGCAATTTCTACATACGAATTGAGTTTTTAACCAAGAATTTACAATAATTCAATTTCATCTCAAATTCATACAGATGAAATGACGAGGAACAGACAGTTAATTGAGTCGTACCTGAATTTTCGAAAAGCTCGAGGTTTTGTTGGGGAAAGAGCTTTCTCTTAGGAACGATAACAAGATTGAAATCAGACAGAACAATGAAGATTGGTAGGAACGATAAATATTTGGACTTGGAGAAGAAGAAAAATAGATTGTCTTTCTCTTAATGATGACGTATGCACACACGATGAATGACGTAAACGGGAAGATATGAGTCAAGGACGATTACAGTTATACTTTGTCAATGTTTATCTCAATCCAAAAAAAAAAAAGCTTTGCCAAGTTATATTTTGGAACACTTTTTTTCTCATGGTTAAGTGTTTTTTTTTTTCTTTGAACATCTGAAACTTTATTAAACAGTGAACTAGTAGAAATCATTCATTAACAATGTATACTACTAAAACTAGAATACATTGAATCAATTTTTTGAGACTTCTTGACCAATAGATCCGCAGAAGTCTTGGATTTGTATCTACAGAAGTCTTAGACACTGTGTCTGTTTTTGGTTCAGTTGTGTCTAGCAGCAAAATTACTAATCATAAAGAACAATAACAAAGCAATTTCCCTCTTTTACCAATTACAACATCGTCATGAGTTATCACCACTCCAAGCACCTTTGTTAAACCCAACCGAAGAAGTTATAAGATCATTAGAGAAAATATACAGAAGAATCAACAAAATGCTTAATTCGCATTCCTCATGTGTTTGCATTAATTCATCCACTATATCATTCGGATTTTCCATCTTAGTCTCAACTTCACACTTCATGAGTGAGTGCTTTCACCGTGTCCCACAAATTCCTACTTTCTTTAAATAGAGGGCTAATACAAATCCCAAATCACTCTATTATGTGTCATCCGTATGATAGTTGTTGTGGTGAGTAAAACTCGAATTCAGATATGTTTTTTCCTTGTTTAAATTCAGATATGTATTCCATGTTTTACACTCTAAACGAATAATAGAGCTGGTTTGTAGTGTGACTGTCTTACATAAGTTCTTATACTACTATAAAATATTGACAAATTTAACGAAAGTAGCTAAGAAAAATTACACTTTTAAGTCTACACTCAATATTCTTAGAAAGCTACAAGAGTTGGCAAAAAAAAAAACATTTCAAAAGGCTTCCCTTTTTTGGGCTTAGACACTTCTGTTTGTGTTAGAAGGTTTCATTGCCTTTTATCTGATTACTTTATCCAAAAACAGTCCTTTTTAATCGTATTCTATCCTCTTTATCTTACCTTTTTGGGTTTCTAAAAGTAGATCTGAGAGTTTCCTACTGTTCGTATCTCCTGGATACTTTCGTGAGCTGCTTACTGTGTGTCTCTGACTGGTTTTTCAAGATGTCTTCGGCTATGGATAAAGCTATGTTGGCTATGTCTCTTGATGAAGAAGAAGATCTTCCCTTTGATATTCCTGATCGTCCAGAATATTCTTCGTGTGAGAGAAATGTTTTGAGTCTGATTGGGAGAACTCTAAATCCTGATCGTCAGAGGATGAGGAATCTTCTTCTGGATATGCCTCGTAAATGGCAGATGTATGGAAAAGTGAGAGGAGTTGCTTTGTCAAGCGAAAAATTCCAGTTCATATTTGATTCTGAGAGAGATTTGATTGAGATTCTCGGAAGAGGAGTTCATACATACAACGAATGGGCTCTTGCTATTGAGCGTTGGGTGGAACATCCGGCAGAGGATCATCTTCAGTTTATCCTCTTTGGATGCAAATCTGGAAACTTCCTGTGAATCATAGAACGGTTAGGACTATTTCAGACTTAGGAGATATGGTGGGTCAAGTGACGGAGGTTGCTTTCGACCCTGATCTCCCTCAGTTGCAACCGTATGTTCGTGTCAAGATTCTACTTGATATCTCAAGACCGTTGAAACGAGGTAAAGTGCTCAATCTTCCTCATGGAGGTTCAACAGTGGTGGAGTTTGATTACGAACGGGTTCAGAAGCGGTGCTATGGTTGTCATCGTCTGACCCATGAAAAAGAAGTTTGTCCGTTTCTGTTGAAAAAACGTCAAGTTCTTGAAGGAATTCGGCATCCTGGTCTGTTGAAAGAAGCTTTGGTAAAACCTCTGATCATCAAACCGTCTGATCCTTTATTTGGAGTCTTAAGTGAAGAACAAGTTGGTATTAATCCATTGACGGGAAGAATTAAGATTGCAAAAACAGTTTTGGAAGGTATGAGGCAATATCTAATGGTGGCTGATGTTAATGAAAGAAATTTAAGAATTGACAAGGTGAAGAAGACTGTTGGAATCGCTGAAAAGGATCCAATTGCTAGGAAGGCTGTGTTAAGCCTTGAGCCAGCTCCTATCTTGTCTAAGGATGTCAATAAAGAGAGAGGTCGTGTTTTTGACTATGAAAGCTCAGACTCAACAAATTGGTCTAAGGCTGATTTTAAAAGGAATAGGCTAATGGATGAGGCTTACAAGACCACATCGTGTCCAGCTCAAGGGTTATCTTCGGAGCTCAGTAATGATTTAGAAGGTTCTATGTCTTCAGAGTTGCCTTCAGGACCTTTTATCTTTAATCCGACGGATTTCAAGATTGGCTTCTCTGAGGCTGGTCCTTCCGGGATTAAACCAAAAAAAGGAAAACCAAGAAAACGTCCTCCGAAGAGAATCAGAATGCTTAAGGCAAGGGACCCCGATCTGACCAAGTCTAATCCAGTGCTGAAAGAAGGAGCTAGTGTTGGTGGTCCTAACAAGAGAAAATCAGATCAAGAAAGGAGTCTTACAAACAAGTGTGCTAGAATCAGTCAACTAAAGGTGATCCCAAATGAGGGATCGCCCACCGCTTAATGAGCATCATCAGCTGGAATTGTCAAGGATTGGGACGGTCTCAAGACTTGGCGATTCCTCGTCTCAAGGAGTTGCGTAAAAAGTACTTCCCTGAGATGTTGTTTTTGATGGAAACTATGCACAGTAGAGATGTTTTAGTAGATTTGCAGGAATGGCTCGGGTATGATAGAGTGTATACAGTGGAACCTATCGGAACCTGTGGAGGTTTGGCTTTGTTTTCTAAAAGTAGTGTGCAGATAGATGTAAAGTTTATGGATAAGAACTTGTTGGATATGCAAGTACAGTTTGGAGCAGCTTCTTTTTTTGTTTCTTGTATATATGGAGATCCTTGCGTTAAAAAAAGACATAATGTTTGGGAAAGAATTTCTCGTTTTGGTGTTGGTAGAAGAGACAGTTGGTGCATGCTTGGTGATTTCAATGACATTTTGCACAATGGTGAAAAATTGGGTGGCCCTAGAAGATGTGACTCTTATTTCAAGCCTTTCTCTGAAATGTTACATGCTTGTGATATGAGAGAATTGAACAGTCATGGAAATAGTTTTACTTGGGCAGGGAGAAGATACGATTTGTGGATTCAATGCAAGTTGGATAGGGTGTTTGGAAACAAGGAGTGGTTCAAACAATTTCCAGCCTCAAATCAATCTTTTTTGGAAAAAAGAGGATCTGATCATAGACCCGTTTTGCTGAATCTTATGGCGTCCAGTTTAGATTTGACAAAAGATTGATGGGAAAGAAGAAAGTAAAAGAAGCAGTGGTTGCAGCTTGGAACAAGAGAAGTGGTATGGTTGAATTTTCTGTGTCTGAAAGATTAAGAGCTTGTCGTAAATCTCTAAGTCGGTGGAAAAAAGAGAATGATTTGAATTCCAGGGATAAGATTTCTCAGATTGAAGTGGCTTTAGAAAAGGAACAATCTGTCCATTATCCGAACGGCTATGTAGTCATGGGTTTGAAAAGAGATTTGGTGAAAGCTTATAGGGAAGAAGAAGTTTTTTGGAGGCAGAAAAGCAGAGAATCCTGGTTGCGAGATGGTGATCGTAACACGAAATTCTTTCATGCTTCAGTGAAAGCTAACCGGAGGAAAAAAAGAATTGAGAAGCTGTTGGATGTGAATGGCAATTTTCAAAGGTCTGAGGCGACAAAGGGAGAGGTAGCTTCGGCTTATTTCCAAAACCTTTTTAAATCATCTAACCCCTCTTCCTTTGATTCTTGGTTTGAAGGGATCATTCCAAAAGTGACTGAAAGGATGAATCAGTCCCTTATCAGGCAGATTACTGATGAAGAAATAAAAGAAGCTGTTTTCTCAATTAAGCCAGGAAGTGCTCCTGGTCCGGATGGTATGTCTGGTTTTTTCTTTCAGTTTTACTGGGAGGTGGTTGGTTCTCAGGTTACTAAGGAAGTGAAGAATTTCTTTCTCAATGGAGACTTTCCGATTGAGTGGAATTATACGCATCTTTGTCTTATTCCAAAGACTATTCATCCAGTGGAGATGTCAAACTTGCGCCCTATAAGTCTTTGTTCGGTGACTTATAAGATAATCTCGAAGATTTTGGTGCGCCGTTTACAAGGTTTCCTTCCCCAGATTGTATCAGAAACTCAATCAGCCTTTGTTTCGGAGCGTCTGATTTCCGACAACATTCTGGTGGCCCATGAACTTGTGCATAGCCTCAACGTTCATCCAGATATTTCATCAGAGTTCATGGCAGTTAAGTCTGATATGTCTAAGGCATATGATAGAGTTGAGTGGAGCTATCTCAGATCTCTTCTTTTGGCCTTGGGGTTTCATATCAAGTGGGTAAATTGGATCATGCGGTGTGTATCGTCTGTTACTTATTCAGTTGTTATAAATGATCAGCCTTATGGTATGATTACACCGCAAAGAGGTTTAAGACAGGGAGACCCTCTTTCTCCCTTTCTATTTGTCTTATGCACTGAAGGTCTAACCCACCTGTTAAATAAAGCTCAACAGGAAGGAACTATTGAAGGCATTAGGTTTTCAGACTCAGGACCTGAAATTCATCATCTTCTTTTTGCTGATGATAGCCTCTTTCTGTGTAAAGCTTTCTCTGGGCAGTGTAGAAAACTGGGGAGTATTCTCTCATCTTATGGAGCAGCGACTGGCCAAACAATTAATGTGGAAAAATCTTCTATTTCTTTTGGAAGCAAAGTCAATGCTCAAGTTAAAAAGGAAGCTCAAGAGATCTTGGGTATATCAAATGAAGGTGGAGCTGGTAAGTATCTTGGACTTCCTGAATGCTTTAGTGGGTCTAAAGTGGAGATGCTTAACTATATTAAAGATAGGTTGAAAGGAAAGCTATCGGGTTGGTATGCTAGAACATTATCTCAGGGAGGTAAAGAAGTGATGCTTAAATCCGTTGCTATGGCGATGCCTATTTTCGCCATGTCTTGCTTCAAGTTACCAATCACTACTTGTTCTGCTCTTTCTAGCGCGATGGCTGATTTTTGGTGGAGCTCTTGTGAGCATTCGAGGAAGATTCATTGGCAGAGTTGGGAAAAACTATGTCTTCCTAAATGTTTGGGAGGCATGGGTTTCAGAGATATTGGCCTTTTCAATCAGGCTTTACTTGCTAAGCAGGCATGGAGGATTTTACAAGTCCCGAATTCCTTAATAGCAAGGATGTTGAAGAGTAGATATTTCCCTGTTAGTGATTTTCTGAATGTTGGCCTTGGAAATAGACCCTCGTATGGGTGGAGAAGTATTTCCTTTGGAAAAGATCTTCTGTCTGAAGGCTTGGTTAAAAAAGTTGGAAATGGAGCTTCCACTAATGTTTGGAGCGAACTGTGGATAGAGGATATTGTTATGCGTTGCCCTCTTATGAAGAACGATAGGATCAATATTGATTTAAAGGTGGAAGAGCTTATTGATTTTAGCTCAAGAGGATGGGACAGGGGTAAATTGGATGATCTTTTTTATCCAGATGATGTTCAAAGAATCTTGAAGCACAAGCCAGTGGTTTCTAAGGATGATTTTTTAGTTTGGAAACTGAACAAGAGTGGACAGTTTTCAGTAAAATCAGCCTATTGGTTAGCGTTTCAAATCAATAAGGGGACCTTTTACAAGGAGCAGAAGCTCTTCCCTCTCTTAATATCCTAAAAGAGCAAGTTTGGAATCTACGAACTGATCCAAAGATTCAAAGTTTCCTATGGAAAATGCTAAGTGGAGCGGTTCCTGTTGCTGATGGTTTAGCAACTAAAGGTTTGAAGATTGATGGTTGTTGCCAGATTTGTGGTTTGGAGGGTGAATCTATTAACCATGTCATCTTTAAATGCTCTGTTGCTCGTCAGGTATGGGCTCTTTCTGACTATCCTCAACCTTTGTGTGGTTTTGCTAATGGGTCAGTTTTCTCAAACGTTTACCATTTGTTAGTGAACACTAACAATGAGCTTTGGCCTCTAGAGTTACGAACTTGTTTCCCTTGGATTGTTTGGACTATTTGGAAAAACAGGAATCTGTTTTTGTTTAAAGGGGAATCTTTTAGCTCTTTTGAGATTGTGTCAAAGATTAGAAAAGATGCAGAGAAGTGGTTTATGGCTCAAAAATCCGGAATTGAGGAGGAGTCGGAGATTTTCAGGTGTCGAAGGGGCTCTAGTTTGTTGAGCACTATAACGAAGCCGTGGGTTGCTCCTCCTTTGGCTTGGTATAAATGCAATATTGGGTTCTCGTGGTCTAAAAGGAACAAGTTTGCAGGTGCAAGCTGGGTTCTAAGAGATGAGAAAGGGTTTGTTCTGCTTCATAGTAGAAGAGCTTTTTCAGGTGTTATTGATGTGTTTGAGGCAAGATTCCTAGTTCTCGTGTGGGCGATAGAAAGTATGATTTGCCACAAAATGGAGAGAGTGGAGTTTGCTTTGGAGGATGCGGTTTTAGTAGGTGTAGTTAATCGGCCTCAGGCTTGGCCTTCTTACAGCTTTCATGCAGCTGAGATTCTTCCCTTGTTATCAATGATCTCGGATTGGAAAGTGGTGTTAGAAAGGGCGTCAGCAAATAGAGGAGCTAGTCTCATTGCTAAAAGCGTTACCAGTGACTGTCGTCTTCAGTCTTATGTGGCGATCAGTCATCCCTTTTGGTTGAATGGCGTTTTTGCGGATGAGAGACTTCTTTCCTTTGTTTGATCTAAGCTTGTTCAGGTTTCTTTTGGATTTTCAGGATAGGCGTCTTACTTGGCTCTTAAAGTTGGTGAAGTGTTTTTTTTGGTGTTTCACTTTCTTGCCTGGTTTTTGGGCTATTTGTAATTCAATCAGAAATGTTGTATTCCTCCCTGTTGTTAATATATTTCACTCAAATGACCAAAAAAAAAAAGAGTCTACACTCAACTACTCAAAGCTTCGTTGACGATTAGTTGACCTAGATAAGATATTTTATATCGAAGCCGGCCTAAATTAGCTATAGCCAATCAAATTATCTTTTGAATTTTCGTATTGACGATGAATATAGCCAAAGCAAACGTTGTCACCCGTTAAAGCCGGTCCTTGTTAGTTACATGTGAGTTGTCTCAACTGAAGAAAGTATCCAGTAATGGAATCCCATTACGTCATAAGGGGTTCGATGCAATGACGTACACATACTTTGTAGTCCAATGACGTATTGGCTATTTGGTGAAATAATCTTAAAACTTGACTTTTCTGATCCCCCTGCTCCTCAATTTCTTTAAATAGAGAGCTGATAGGTTAGCATTATTCACTCGTCACTTGTTCTAAACAGTTGAAGAAAATGGTTTCCAAGGCTTTGCTTCTTGTGGGTCTCTTTGTAATTCTTCTTGCTGTCTCTGAAGTGGTGTCGCAGATCCCAGGTACGTACATTAATTACATTTTACAGTATATTTCAGTATTATCTTACATTGGAGGCTATTTAACTCGCACTATAATTTTGAATCATATAGATCAGCGAAAACTTCAATTCTTTAACTGTGAGCATAGCTGCTGCATGAGCACTAGAGGTGGCTGCCTCAGGTGTTGCTCTTATGCCGGAGAAGCTGTTCAGACTCAGCCCGTTCACTAGAGCTATATAATATCGGTAAACCAATGGAGCTTTTGTAATGAAGTAAGGGCCTTAAGTAGTTAAGTGTACTAAAGGTACAAGATAAACTAAGAGGTCAAACTATGGGAATAAAGTTTCATAATGTAACGTCTGTGTTTGTGTTGTTGTCTTGTTGTTTCCACAATAAAAGCGTTTGCCGTTTATGTTGTTCAGTTTCTGTTTTGCCTAAGTTTCCACTATCATCTTCATGTTAGAGAAAATAAAAACAAGATATAAATAATCTGGCCAGGGAATTTATATTTCTCGAAAGAAATGATAAACATCGAAGTCTCATTTGTCTTAATCTCAATTGTCTCATTTTCTAATTCCACTTCGTTAACTGCGATCCATTCAACAGCAACTTGGTAACACAATGATCTAATTACACTTCGTTAACTGCTATCCATCATATACCATGTTTCCACCGGTGTTGTTCAAGAAACAAAAAAATCTCCCAAAAATAAATATAACTTTCATAATTCAAAAAATGAGGTTTTAAGTACACAAAAGTACGAAAATCCCTCTTTGTTTGTATATATCAAAAACCAAATTGCTCCTCTTTCTTTCTTCTTTCTTTCTTTGTGTTCCGTTTCTCATGCATTGCCAATCAAAAAAATGCAATAACTTCACGCAAAAAACCAAAAAAAAATCAGCAAAAAAATGAACTTTCAAACTCGTTATGCATCTTTATTATTCTCGCCATCGACCTCATCCTCGTCGGCCTTGGACACCAACTCTTGATCTTGAGCACTCGGTGAGGCACTCGGTGAGGACTCAGAAGCCTCATCAAGAGACAAACTCGCAATGTCGCCAGCAACAGAGTTTGCATCGCCTTCATCTCCGGCATCTTCTGAGACATTAGACTCTGTGTCTGATTGTTGCTGGAGACTCCAGTACATGATGCTGGCCGCCAAAATAAGCATCATCTTCTGGTTCACCTGTTTACACAAAGTAAATTCACTCAGAAAAAAACATTCAAGCCTGTTTCAGTATGTATAACATATATATCTCTTACCTCTATGATATCCTCAGGCAACAAAAATATGGAGCAACCGAGCTTCCTTGCAACACTGATGATGTATGTAGCGTTCAACTTCTTGTCTTCCTCTGTTTACATGAAAATTACAACCAATTGTATGAAACATCATCGTTTTATGAAGAAACACGCAACGAGAAGTTGAAACATAATCGTTTTTACCGTTTTCTCCACTGGTAACGAGGCTCCAGTTGACAACTCTTGGCTCGACCGCAGTCAGAAGTTCTAGGAAAAAGATTCCAGTTGACAGATTCTTGTCCTGATATCAGAGAAAAGCAACCATCAAACTGTTAGGTTTTGTCAAGATGGGGTCTCCGTGATTAGCATCGAAACTTGGTTGAGACTTACTCTGAAGCTATCAGCCTGAGAAGTTCGTCCCACTTTCTTCACCTTCCTATTCGCCCAGTTTAGAATATCTGCATCTGTAATTTCTTTACCTTGAGAGTGAGTTCTCAAGTTCTTCAGAAGTTGGAGCATTGTATATCTCATTAGCTGCCACAGAAAAGCTGCACAAAAATTTGATGGTACGAGAAATAACATAATTAGAATCAACTTACGAACAATATATGGAAAGTTCATTATCTTAGTAGTGCGTCTTTCAGGAGAACTCACCGAGAAGGAGTTTCTTGTTTCCTTGCACAATGTCATTTCCAGCCACATTGACAAGGGAGAAGCGAAGATCTTTGCCAATCTTTACAACTTCATTGCAGTTCTCAACCTTTTTGAATGGCATTTTGATGGGAGGTTTATTTGCGTGTTTCCAGTTGACTGAGCCAGGTGAAACTTTGTCGAGAACTTCAAGAAGAACCCACCTGAATGAAATGAGGTTTAGATACAAGCAGGTAAAGAAAAAACCAAAAAAACGTCCAACAATCAGAACTTTATTGCTCACCCATTCCTAAGATCCTCAAAAACGTTGTTGACATAGGTGGCAGTGCCAAGACTGTTAATCCAGAGACGGAAACATCTTTCTTCTCGTGAAGTTTCCACATCATCTGTCATCATCTCAGCAAATGACGTCGACTTTGAATTGTCATCAGTCAATCCATTCCTAAAACAAAGAAAATAGCAACAACATTGGATTTGTTTTAGACTATTATTAATCCAAAAAACCACTGAAGAGATGCTCTCAAATTGTTTAAAGCAACCTGTAAAGTTTGCTACTGACCTGTGCTGGAATATTTGCGCCACAAATGCAAGGTTAAGATTTGCTGAGCCGTCCACTATATCTTTAGGAGAAAGGTATCTTTTACAGTCCAACTTCTCAGCCTGCTCAAGAACCTTTTTGGCTCTTTCTGTGGGGTCTTTGGTTTCTAATGCCAGATGTGTACTGTGTTCGGGAGCAAGAGCATTAAGCAGATATGCATATGCCTCACCGTCCTGAATACAAAAGATAAATCTGAGGTCATCATCAACAAGAAAGTGGACTTCATAATATTATTAGTATCTGAAAAAAATCATGTTCATATTCCCAAAAATGCACCACTGTCAAGACAGTTGTAAACTCGTAACTCATGAGCAATGCTGAGTCTAGTAAAAGAGAATAGTATATGTTATTTAGGACAAAGGGTGAGCAGGGGTAAATTACCTTCACATCAGAAGAAAAATTTGTAACCTGCTTCTCATAACCAGCTTTCTTCAGATGGAAATTCATCCATTTAAGCAAAACTTTTTCAGGAGCCAATCCCATGAGCTCCTCCGCATCCTGCAACATCATGAAGATATTATGAAATTTCAGTCTCATGACAGCAATTTCTCATTGAAGGCATTGAAAACACGTCAAATATATTTACCTGAGTGTCGTCTACCAATTGGAAAAGTGATGGAGTTTTCTTAAAATTGAGATCCGCCAGCATTTGGATCTGATATTTTGCCACAAGAAACAACAAAAATTTCAGGAGTTGGTAATTTTTTTATAACATTAAACATCATATGATAACTGGAAAAGTAATCTGACACCTAGAAATGGTAACGCACTAACGCTTAAGGTGAAGAAGTACCTTTATAATCTGAGATATCAACCCAAGGACGAGATATGGCTGCAAAAAAAAAGAAGAAGGAAGAAGAACAATTAAAATTGGAAAACTAAGCAACCAAACAAAGTTACAAAAGCTTTATCTTCCTTGGTTTTTATGGAAATTAATATATTTTGGAAGACTAAGCAAGTAAACAGAGGAACAAAAGTTATATTCCTTGTTTTTTTATGGAAATTACTCACTCTTCCTTCAGCTATGTCCTGAGTTCCAATGTTAACCACTGTGCACCCAATTGCTTTGGCAGAATTGAGACCAAGAGTAAGATTCTCATTCCTCTCCCATGGGTTAAGCATTTTCTTTGTGTTGATAGCTCGTTCGTCGATGGTCCCAGGAACAGCAATATTTATAAGCTTACTGCAAAAAGGGAACAAGAAAATGACCACTAAGAAATTTCACACTGTACAGTAAAAAAAAACAAAACCTATAAGCAATCATACTACTTATTAAAAACGATCCAAGGAAGAAAGGCATGTATACCACAAAAGAACACCATCTTTAACAAGATCAAAGAAAGCATTTGTAGCGGGATCGATAGGAAGATAGCTCTTCAAGAAAGGATCATCTCTCAAGTAACTATTAATATGCGAAACATAGGAAGCCTTCTCGGATTCATTGATAGCATGATGAACAGTCGTAGTGCTAGTTTTGAGGAACGAAGAGGAACCTTTTGTTCCTCCTGATTTCTCCACTCCTCGAGCTTGAACACTTAAATAGGCCTATCACAATCATCGCAAAACAGGTAAAAAACAGACTTCCTAATCTAAATCTTTAGACTCTAGCAGATAATCTATAAAGCTTATCAAATTCATGCTAAAGGATCTTACTCGGAGAAAGGTCTCGAAATCGACTTCATCATCAGTATTGGAATAAGACTTGTCCAATACAGATTTGATCTCACCCTCGTCGAAAGTGCCGCTAAAAGCATTCAGCTTTGCGAAAACCGGTGGTAAATCGCCGATTGTGAAACGATCCAACAGTGTTTTATTTGAATTAAACTGCACCAAAACGAGAAGAGTTTCAAAATTCAAAATTTGTAACCATACTCTTGAAATCAAAAGAAGGATACGAATCTAGATACCTTCGATTTCAGGGTTCGTAACTCCACTTGTGTAAATTGGCTTTGCAACCATGAATCAGAGACGAGAACACCAACGTAACTAGACATTTTCTATTTCGCGGAATAATAAAAAACCAGTGCAAATTCCTGCAAAATAGATATCCATAATCGGAGAATCATCAATCTCATCTCAAATTAATCCAGAAAATTGTACAGATTGAGGCCTAATGGGTATCGGCAATTGGATTAAGCGCAAAAGCAACGATCGAGATAAAAAATGGGGGTTGATTCATCGATCGGATGTAATGGCGATTAACAGATAATGTTTTGAAAATAGAAATGAGATGATCAAATGATGATGATAATAGACCTTATGTAAGATGAGATTGAATGTGAATCGTGTTCATATCTCCAGCGAATGATGATGATGATGATGATGATAATAGACCTTAGAGACGAAGAGATTGAATGAGATGATTTTCGTGTTGTTTTCAGCTCTATATAGATCGGCGAAACAATGAATGAATGAAATGAAATGAAAGTTTTTGAGAGCACGACCTGCGAGGAAATGGGAATGATGTGACAACGAGGACAGAGGTTGGAAGAAGAGAGAGAAGAGCCTGAGGGTTTCTGTTCATTTATTTTTAAATTAACTAATTTAAAATTACGAATGTTCAATCCGGCAAACCCCAACCGAACCAAACCAAACCGAAGTAGAATTTATACCATTTACAACGTGTAGAATTTTAGATATGGCTCGGATTTAAACCGGTTAAACTCTAAATCTGTTTTCCCAAGAGCAAACCCTTTATCTTTAAATCCCATCCCTCTTTCCCAAGATTTCCAATAAATTCCTTTTCCCGAGCCCCGAGGCTTGAATTTTCCGGCAAAAGATGGACATGAGGGAAACTATCTTTTTTTTTTACAAGGTGTTTTTGGCAGCTTGAAGCAGTAAATAGTGTAGGTCGGTCGGAAGAGCTACAACAACAAACGTACTTTGAGCATCACTTGCTTACCACCATTCTGGGAGAGTAACTTTGTGTGCTATACGAGTTGATTTTTCTATCCTCTAGATATTTTAGGGTCTGCAGTTTTGATCCAACAAATCCTCGAGGCAGTCCACTTGCGATGTTGGTGCCTTGCTACGGACACTTGATGTTGGTTACAATCATCTAACCGGGAAGCTTCCCAGGTCTCTTTTGAATTGCTCCTCTCTAAAGTTTCTAAGTGTTGAAAACAATAGATTCAACGACACGTGTCCTTTCTGGCTCAAGGATTTACCTGTTTTGCAAGCTATCATCCTTCGTTCAAACAACTTCTATGGTCCTATATCTCCTCCTGATCAATGTCCTCTTGCGTTTCCGGAGCTGCGTATAGTTGGAATGTCAGATAACAAGTTTACAGGGAGCTTACCCTCAAATTACTTTGTAAACGCGAGAGCATCGTCATCACTCCAAATAGATGAAGATGGGGCATTATACATGGGAGACTACAGCTTTCCATATGGCTATCGTTATCATGATACCATTGACTTGCAATACAAAGGTCTAGAAGTGAAACAAGGGAAGGTCTTCACTTCCTTCGCCACCTTTGATATTTCTGGGAACAAGCTTCAAGGAGAGATTCCTGAATCCGTTGGTCTTTTGAAGTCACTGATTGAACTCAACTTATCAAACAACGCATTCACCGGTCGTATTCCTCTGTCGTTGGCTAACGTCACGGAGCTTGAGTCACTTGATCTATCCAACAACCAACTCTCAGGGACCATTCCTAATGGACTCAAGAGCCTCTCCTTTTTGGCGCACATAAATGTGTCTCACAACAAACTCAAGGGTGAAATACCACAAGGAACACAGATCATTAGCCAACCTAAATCCTCCTTCGAAGGAAACGCAGAGCTTTGTGGTCTTCCCCTCGAACAAAGTTGCTTCAGGACTAAGGCACCACCAATGCAGCAACTGCCAGAACAAGAAAAAGAAGAACCAGTTTTGAACTGGAAAGCTGCGGCAATAGGGTATGGGCCTGGACTGTTTCTTGGATTGTTGATAGGTCAAGTCATCGCTTCGTACAAGCCCGAGTGGCTCCCCAAGATCACTGGTCTGTATAAGCGCAGAAACCCTTAGGATTGTTTCTTCTTTGTCAAGTCGTTGTTGTTGGTCTTGTAACGAAGCAGTCCCTTGGGATTGCTCTTTCTTTCTTTTTTTGTACCTTTATCCAAAGCTTTGTTGTATTTCCCTGTTCTGATGTAATAAAGAAAGCTGGATTTTCTGTAGTCGTATTTATATACGTAGACATCACTCTAAGGAAATAGAATTTTTAAAAATTGGTTTAGTAATTTTAGTTTTTTTTTTAAGAATGTTTGAAGTATTTTCTAATGTTTTTTTAATACAAATTGAAAGATTATTTTTGTGGTAACGTATTTGTGCAAAAGGATTAAAAATCAGTTTATTAATATTTTTTTTGTCAGAGGATTTCAGTTTCTTCTTTCTTTCTCTCTCTTTTCTCTTAAATCTGCGTCCAAAACAAGTGAACAAATCACCAACAAATCTAAGAGCTTGAGCTCAGAATTGGCTCCGTGAGATCGTCAGATTAGAGAATCTCTCGCTTCTCGTCGCAACGATCCGTAGAGTCTTCGCTTATCCCATCTGAAACTCCCTCACCGATCTCCGAAATCCGTCACCGATCCTATGAGAACCTCTCGCGTCTCGTCGAAAATCGCTTTTCACTGATCCTGGTAAACCCAAGCTCCATTTCAGCTCTAATACAAAATGCATGTCCGTATGCGTGGATCCTGAGAATTTAGCGAGCAAAATGTTGTAGATGCTAATCTGATCTGATACAAAGAGATCTAATTTCTTAAAATTGGGTTGTTTTTTATTGTTTGTTTAGGTGTAAACGAGCTTTTTGGGTGGTGTAATTTCAGAAAATGGGTGGTGACCTGAAAGGTTCAAGTTCACCACTTCATATCACAACAATGGTGCCTTCTCCAATATTCCTTTGGAGATTTAAGGTTTTTGCTTTCAAAATGAGACTATTGTTTTAAGATCATCATATACAGTATCTTTGTAAAATGGTATCATCTGATTTGATCAATTGAATAAAAATTCTTATTTTCAGGTGGTATTGTTTCTTTTTTGGGCTTTGTGTTGCTGCAAGGTAAGTGATTTTCTTTATGTGTAATAAAATGTGAATTTTAGACGATCTTGATTGATTATTTTGGCAATGTTGTTTGATTCTACAGATTGGATGGGATTCAGTCATGAGAATGAGTATCGACCTTCGAGATTTATTTTTGTACGAGGCGTTTCTTTATTACAATCCTCTTCTTCTTGTGGTAAGTTTCAGAGTGTACTCTCTTTTTGGCTATTTTAAACCTCTCTCTCTCTTCTGATTAGATTCATCTTGATTTTTGGCCTTTTAGACGATGATGGTTTGGCTTTGGGGAGTGAATTTATGGGTGTTCTCTCAAGGAAATGTCAGTTATGCCAGAGTCTTTGATCTCGACCATAACCACCTTACTCATAGAGAGATGTGGAAGGTATCTCAGTAAAATTTGAAGTGCTTATTTTTTTTTGGTTTTTGGGATTCTTCGGTATGACGCTTATTGTTCTCAGTTGTTTTTCTTTTATGTGGTTTTTGGCTGCAGTGTAGCATGTGGATGACCATCATTGTCCCAACTAGCATGACAGCATATCTATACCTGTATTCTCATGGGGAAGTATCTTTGGCTGCTTCACAACCGGTTAGCTTTATGTCCTTGTAATCTTTATTGCAAATGTTTTGTTCTCTTCGTATGCTAAGGTCTATGTTGTCACTGCTGCAGGTGCTCCTGTACATTGCTTTTGCTTTGGTTCTGATATTTCCCTTCGATATTTTCTACTTGTCTACTCGATATTTTCTGCTGAGAACTCTATGGAGGATAGCTTTTCCACTGCAGGTAAAGTGGTAGAGAGCTCTTACATTATATTGGACTTTTTATATCAATTTATATAAGCATAGAGATCTGATGCGAATTTTATTTTATTTTGTTTTACAGCCAATTTCATTTCCAGACTTCTTTCTGGCAGATATTCTGACCTCCATGGTAAAGGTAAGACATTTCAAATTCTTCTGTGAGAGAGCTTCCTAGTTTCTAGTAATTATGTGGTGAGGAATTAAGATATCGGTAGCAGGAGGCTTAGTGTAATTGATGCCTTTTTTCTAATCTTTGTTCCACGTTTCTCTCTTTTGTATATTATTTTGTTATGCTGCTGGTACTTGATTCTCATTCAGGATCGACATTGATAATTATATGCAGGTATTTTCTGACTTGGAGCGGTCTGTCTGCCGGATGGTGCATAGACAGGTAATTAGTTTACTCGGTCAGATGATTATTTGTGATTAGAAAAATCTCTTATGCTGGAGGAACTAGTTCCATTCTTTCCTATGATCTGGAACCAATAAATCGATCTGTATTACAAAAAAATTTACGCTTTAGGACTTGACAAACGCCAGGATATGATATATCAGCTAACTATTCGCTATCCTAGTTTTGATAATGAATCAATGCGTGTAAGAAAGGTTAAAGAGGTTTCCTGGACTTTCAGGTCGCAACAATTGCTTGGTTTGAAGCCGATGCTGTCTGTGGCAGTCATCAAATTGCAATCCCTTTGGTTCTAGTTTTCCCCTACATCTGTCGTCTTTTGCAATGTCTTCGACAATACAAAGATACAAAGGAAAAGTCATCTCTTTTAAATGGTAAAAAAATCTACCTATGGAACATTGATGTTAAGTTGTCCCACATTATTAACAAAGATTGTTCTTTTCCTCTAATCAATCTTTTGATTGTTTTCAGCTCTGAAGTATTCAACAGCAGTGCCTGTGATCTTCCTTTCCGCGCTTAAATACCACGTGATGCCTGAGAGCTGGACATCATATTACCGACCTCTTTGGCTTTTCTCAAGTGTAATCAACTCACTTTACTCATTCTACTGGGATGTAACTCGAGATTGGGACTTGAGGTAGTAAATCAAAACTGCATCTTCCTATCCACTAACTAAACAGTATCTGCAAACTTTGGTCATATCATACATAATAACATCACCTCTTTCTCTTTTGCAGCGGTTTCACTAAGATATTCAAGTTTAGCCGTCCAAGTAACATATCAAATCTGTTATATGGCCGGCAATGGGTGAGTTAGACTCAGTTTCCAATGAAAACGCTTCTTGTTTTCTTCGTTTTGCTGAAACTGTCGAATATTTTGTGGTTGCAGGTGTATTTCTGGGTGATAGGTAGCAATCTGGTGCTGAGATGCGCATGGACATACAAATTATCGGCACATTTGAGGCACAATTACATAACGGTGTTCACGATAACAGCCATGGAGATGTTCAGACGTTTTCAGTGGGTATTTTTCAGAGTAGAGAATGAGTGGAACAAGATCACCAAATCGCATCCAATGGGTGAGATTTCACTTGAAGAAGACAAACTACTTGGTTCTACTACACCCCATGATGTTTAGTTTTGTTTCCCTCTCTAATCCTATGCAAAGATTCTGGTTTTGGTATCGGTACACTTGACTCTTAGACATTTTTCTAGAAATATATAATACACATTTTTCAAGAATAGGACCAAATTTACTGAATCTCAGATTAATGGAAAGCCGTTTTCATACTGGTTCAACTGCGTCTCAAAATATAATTTTGACTATTACAATTGATGTTAAGATCACAATTGATGTTAGAACAAAACTCTAACGAGCACAAAAATATGTAGTAACACCCCATGTATGAAAGAAAACAATCCCCAGTCTACAAAATACAATGAATATACGGTATCAAATGTTACGATCGTACGCACCGCACACAAAAGTATTAACATGATATACATTTGTCTTCGTCTAAATTGGCTTTCCTACGTTTTGCACTACTCTCAATGTCATCTTCGACGTTGCATCTTTTCCCGTCTTCCTCATCAATAGGCTCTACACCTCTAGATCCATCGATCTCGGTTTCACAGTCTGAGTCTCCATAGTTATCTCCAGACTCTTCTTTGTCTCCAAATTCATAACTTCCATCACTGTCATTGTTCCCATCGTCTTCTTCATCTTCGAAGGTCCATGCCTTGGGATAATAAAGCGAGTCATCCAGGGACGAATAAAACTCCAAGATCTCTATACCGCATTGTATAATCACGTGAGAACTGCATTTAAACCCAAAAAACACTTCCTCACATACTGCTTTGGTGTCCTTGTCTTCATCTAGCAGGAAAAAGAGATCGAGAACGCACAAATGATCTGATTCGAGTACATGATTAGACATATCCCGCAATCCATACAAACGAACAATGCCGTCGCGTTTTCCCCTGAAACGACAAGTTATGTGGCTCTTCTTCCAGGTCCAATTATCAGGGTTAGGTTCCCCGGCAAGCACAAGACAAACCTTGCATCTCAATAATGCAGAAGTAGGACTGGTGTCTAAAGGAATGGTTATGGAGCTTCCAGTAACTCGGTGAGTAAAGTATGGAGGCACCTCTTTGTCTGGTAAGAACCTGTACTTACAGATCGTTTCCTGGATGATGAGTTTTTCAGCTTCTTCATCAAGGCTTGAGCAGTCAACGAAACTAAGAATGCTCTGTGGGTTTTTGAAGGAGGAAGATATTCTACTAAGCGACTCGCAACCATCCGTGTATAGGTACTCGAGGGAAGGTGGGAGATTTGGTAGCGATTTGAGGTTCTTACATCTAAAGAGAAGAAGGCTACGCAACTGGTAAATATGTCCGACGAAACTGGGAATGCTCTCGAAAACGTTATTGCTCAGGACTAAACCCCCACCAAAAGTTGGCATGTTGCAAGTAGGTTGAAACGTTGGCAAGCTCGCTTCTTCAGTGTTATCCAATAACAGTCTCAGGTTACGTGTTAAGTGATTGGCATAGAAGATTGCTGTGGGGAAACATTCGACATTCTTGCAGCCTGAAAATTCGAGTATTTGAAGGAGTTTTAGCTTGGAGATGCTTGGCGAGATCTTTCTCAGCTCTTTGCAGTCACCCATCATAAGGGTATTAAGCCTGGTGATATTTTGGACCGACGAAGGGACTTCTTCTATCGCTGTGCTTTTCAGAAGGAGATCCTTAATGTTCCTTGAGATATCTGGAAATGTTCTCCACCGTGAGCATCCATTGAGGTTGAGCTTAGTCAGAGATTCCAAGTTGATGTCCGTCGGAAGAACCTCAAGGCTTCTACAGAGGCTCATATCCAACTCCCTCAGTTTATGGAGATTCTGAAGAGACGATGAATGTATCATCACCAGGCTTTCGCACTCTCGGAGGATCAATTTCTCAAGATTTGTAGCATTTGAAAGATCTGGAAATGCAGTCAGATTCCTGGAAAGGCTTAGGTCTAACTCCTTGAGATTCAGTAAGGGCTGAAAAGCAATTAAGAGGGCCAAGAATAAACAATAAAAACAATCATTTTCACCAAAACTGAAAAGTTTTAAAGAGCTAGCCAACTTGCCTGTGTTCCATGCCAGAGCCTCTCAAGCTTACTCTCTGTCATCTCCAGCTTAACAAGAAACTGGGGACTAAATCTAGGTGGCATTAACATCAACGGATATGATTGCCAATGAAGTAAACTAAGTTTAGGTGGCAGATCTTGGAGGCTTTGGGGGTAAATGGACCCTTACTCTTTTGTCATTTTCCTTCTTGATAACTTTCAGAAATTGGAGATTTGGAAGAGTTTCAAAGGTATGATCATTTATGGATAAGTCACAGTTTAACTCGGATGTATTCAAAGATATGCCTATAACACCTCCAGTGCCCTGTTAAATTCCCAAAGGATTTAGGTTTGTTAATACAAAATGCTTGATTAAACTTGCACTTACTGTAAGAACTTACCGTATTAAACGTGAGCACGTCATGAATTTCCTTTGCTTCAACCAGAAACTGGCGTTTTCCTGGCTCATGAAGGAACTGGTTTCGGACAGCTTCTATACCAACTTGTTGTAGCAAATAGTGCATCCCAATGCAATTCTGTCTTGATATATGTATGAGAGACTTGTCCACTAGACGTGTAAGTCCAAAACTAACGTCTAAACCAGTGTTTGCAAGCAACCGCTTCAAACGATCAACCTTTAAACATGCAATGTGAAGGAATAAAGCTTTGTCATCTTCATGTAATGCATCGTATCTTTGTCTATGTCTTAATATATTCTCGAACTTTCCGTTGATGCTGGTTCTGACCCTGGAGAGTATAGCAACCCACTCTTTCTTGACCTTTCCACGCAAAACTGATCCCAAAACACAGATACAAGAGGGAAGATAACCGGCGAGCTTCACAGCTTCAATGGTAAGTTCAACAAAATCAGGAGGCAGAACCTTGTCTGTAAAAGCGTGTTGGCAGAATATCCCCACAGCTTTCTCTTCAGAGGGGAAGTCCACCTCGTACAAGTCCTGGATCCCATGTGTTCTCACAACTTCTTTATCTTCTGACGTTACTATTATCCTACTCCCGGGACCGAACCAGGACGGATGTCTTGCCAATGCGTTAAGTTGCTCAGCGCCATCTACATCATCAAGAACAATGAGGATCTTCATGACCCCCAGCCTTTCTTTGATTCCACCTAGGTGATTTATCTTCATTCCCTTATAATCTAGCATCTCAGAGAGCAGTTTTTGCTGCAAATTCAGTTTGGATCCGTAATTATCAAGACCGGGTTTCCCGTAACACCCTTTAACATTCTCCATGAAATGACTAAGTTGAAATCTTCCAGCGAGTTGATTGTACAAAGCCCTGGCGATCGTAGTCTTACCAATTCCTGCAGGACCGCATATCCCTACCATCCTCACTTCACTCGATTCCAAGTATAATAATGAGATCATCTCCCTCATGTGAGCTTTCATTCCAACTAAGTAATCAAAATCCTTTGAAGGCGTAGAGTTCAGCTTGTTCAGAACATCTTCCGCAATCTTTTCGATCATGGATGGTTCATCAACCCTAACATGAGACATATAGTTATGAGTTAAAACTGAATTTACCAATTGGTCTTAATGTTAAAAAAAAACTCTAATCGAACATGAAACTAACACATGAACCATAATGTGAAACCAATTATTAGCAAGGATGCACTATATTAGACTCTAGTGTAGAAAGAAATCCAACCATTGTCTTGTATGTTCACCAGCTATATCCGCCACAACGGTTAAAGCAAGCCTCCATTTATGCTTCTCCTCTTCTGATTTTCCATGGCAAGCTTTATGGAAAGCTTCTCCGAAATCTCCTTCCTGTTTTCTGACATCAGATGGATCTATATCATAAAAAATGGTCATCACCGTTTGACCTACCGTTTCCCGACACCTCAATATCTCTACCAATTCGTTCAGGCACCAGCTTGAAGAAGCGTAGTTCTTAGAGAGCACGACGATCGCAATCCTCGATTTTGATATTGCCCTGATTAGCTCAGGACCGATCAACTCGCTCCTCTCTATACCGTTGTCTATGAATGTTTGGATTGCCTTTCTTTCTAGACCCCTGAGAAGGTGGGCGAGAAATGTTTTGCGGACGTCTACTCCACAGAAGCTCGGAAAGACTTGGTATCTCCAATGATGACATAGTGGAGAAGAAGAAGAAGCCATGGAACAAGGCTAATAATAATCAGAATTTTCTTTGTTCTTTGTAATGGAGATTAACCTTTGTCCGTTCTTAAAAACTTGATATAGTAGAAAAGTCAAAGTCAAACCCGCACTTGGCTTACTAAATTGGTTTACTAGTTCTTTAACAAAACATATAAAAAATTTGGTTTATTAGCTTATTTTAATGAGAAAATTAGTTAGATGAACACTAGTTCAAATAAATATTATTAATCTAACACCCATTCAAAATTATAAGTGACAATGATGTAAAAAATTATAAAAAATAAGTAAAGCATTTATAAATTCTACACACAAGCTTTACACACATTTAACATCTTATGTAACTTGTCCTTTAATCATCATCGCAATCAATACATCAACCTCTATTTTAGAACTCAACATACATGCTCACATAATCATCAAGGGCGCAGATAAATTAGAAACATTAAATTTATGTTATCTCATCAAACTTTGTTAAATATGGACTATTTTTTTCATTTTAGATATGCTTTATCGGTCCTAAAACTCTTGGCACGGCTCTGAATCCTCTGATAATCATCGCATAATGGGAATCCACAACACCGTTTGACAGACTGCACAACAAGCTTTACACAATTAGGTGTTCTTTAACATCGTGTCTTAACTTGTCTTTAATTCTATCACTTCACGTTGTCATCATAACTCATAATCGCAATCAACACATCAACCACTAATTTAGAACTCGACATTACATATTCACAGAATCATATAATTGCATAATGTGAATTTGTATATTACATCCTCGCCTAACCACAAATCTTTTGAGTCTTATATCCGGAAAAAAAATATTTATAGCGAACCCATGAGACTCTTCATCTCATTTTCATATTAAATCATTGTTTGTTTATTATATATTTAAGTAACTTTTGAAATCTAAAATCAAACCGAACTAAAACCAAATGTAAAACTGTATCATATCAAATCGAAACTAAACCAAACTACAAAATTATTCAGTACTTAATCTAAAGCACCTTTAACGAAGTTTCAAAAGTGTGTGCGGGTCCAATCCCTAGTACAATATAATATGCATCGTGAGAGTAAATAATAGAGGGCGAACAATGGAATTTATCCCAACCATTTCCCATTTGTTATTAAACAATTAAATAAAATTGAAAAAATATGATAGGTAAGAAAATAAAATATTAGATGATAAAGAGTAGCACTAATAATGAAAAGCAAATTCCAAGTTGCCCACTTGCTTCATCCTTCATCTAAATAACAAAGCCCCATACGTTGCTTCTTCTCTCCTTAACTCCTACCTCATCTCATCACACATCTCATCAACTCCCAAAAAAGAAAACACTCGAAAGAGAGTAAAACTAAATCAGAGATCAGAAGATGACTCAGATGCTCACCGTACTCCGCCGCAACCTCCAAAACCTTCGTAAGAGCCCACGCGTGGCTGACGAGACTGAGTTGGCGTCGACTTCCGTCAACATTAACGGCGTGGGGACAGGAGGAGTAGCTCATCATAACGAAAGACGAGATGGGTCTAACGCCGTTATGATGAGGTTCCCGTTCTCGATCATCTCTTGCTTTGCGGTGCCACGTGTCAGAGGAACTGATGGACTTTGGATGTCGGGAGATTATGACAGTGTCTCGGAGGTTAACCATCTCATGGTTAGTGATGGCATGAGATATGCCATTTTAATGTAATATTTAGTATAGTTTTGTCTCTAAAATACAATTAATCATCTTATCATCAGCCTTACGTATGTACAGTTTGTAAATCTATGAGATGTAGAACATTTTTTGTTCTTGTATATAGATGGTTTAAATTTATATACGAAGTTTTTTGTTTGTCTTTCTAGCATAAATTGAGCTTTTATTTATTTATTTATTTTTCAACCATTTATTTGCTACCTTTTTATTAATTTAAAACCAATGAAATACCTTTTCCTTTCCTATCCCATTATTGAAATAGTATAGTTCTTAAAAAGTATTTTTTTGAAATTAAAAAGTTGCATCCCTTTACCTTTAGCTCGACTGTGTTTATGAGTGAATTTGTCAAATCGCAGTACGAAGAAATAGAAAATTTAAGAAAGTGACAATAATGTGATATGTTGCCATAAAATAATGTTTTTATTTATTTAACTGCTAGATGACAAATAATTTTTTCTAAACAATTTTGTTTGTGTAAAAGTTCAAAAAAAAAAAAAAAAAGATTACAATGTTTTTGTTCTTTATCACACAGTTCTTTAAGTTAGTACTGTATATGGTATTCTAATTTGCCGCACAGCGTTTTAGGAACATTACAATGTTTGATTGAATAGACTCCCACTAGACTACTATCAAAATGATTTGATACTACAAAAGTCACCAAACCATTGGTCTAGAATAAAACATTATAAAATCCAAAATGTTACTTTCATATAATCAATGGATCACAATCCATGCCCAAACTAAATTTCGTGATTTGTGGAAAAAAAATTAGTCGAATTATTATGGTACACATTGGTTAGCCGTGATTTAAATAGGCTTAAAATCGCATCAAAAGAAAAACATAAACACTAATCTTTCAATCTTTAAAACCAAAAGCATGATCCATTCTCATAGGTTAAATATGGTGCGTCCATCTAAACAAATTGAAAAGCGCCACGATATGGCGGCAACATAAATATGGCATACGAACCAATAGACCGGTGGTGAGCAGTAAGATTTTTTTTTGGGATTGGTCATATAAGTTAATGGTAACGGAAATGGTAAAAAGGAATTTTAGATTTTGATATAATAAGAAGTAATAAGATGATTCAGATTCGGGTCGACTAGTGATAAAATATTTTACTAAGTTACGAATATCTTTATCTAACCTTAGTGGATAGTAGTCACATTTTCATGATTTGTTCCCTTTCACCTTTTGATGTCCTCTCTTTGTAACATCAATGGAATATGTTCTTCAGAAGCTATCTCTTTACATTCATATGTAATTTATCCGGTTGAACAAAACAAAAATTGTAATTTATCCTTCTTTTTGAAGTGGATGGTTTACATATATTATACTCCTCATTTTTTTAGATTCAACAATAACGAATGAAATTTTTCTTACATATATCATAGCAGAATTTATGAAATATTCTTTCTCTCCTTGCCTGTTTTTATATATACACTTTCTTGAGTGGAAGGTTGAACCAACCACATACTAAATTACGTTTTAATAAAATTCAGAGACTAGATAATGAATTGATCTTACATTTAGGATTGAATGAGATGAAGTTAGGTTGAGGATATTTATTTAATACTGTATGAATGGAAAAGAAAATGTGCATATATAGTGTGTTTTAGGAAAATTACAATGTTTGACTGAATTGACACCGATTAAACTACTATCAAAATGATTTGATACACTACAAAACTCGTTAAACCATTGGTCTAGAATAAACATTATCGTATAAGGGAATACGCTTTTGCCAAGATGATGTGGAGTTGATCAAGAACTTTCTTGTTCCGATGATTGATAATGGGAGTGTGGAGCGATGACTCCTGCAGAAACTTGATACACGTAAACTGACTGAAGTCATAGCTTCGAGAGGAATTCCCCTCATCCTTATTTCAACAAGAATGAGATGTGGTTCTTAGGACTCCAAATCGGATCGTCACATTCTTCTTGAGAAGGATAAGAAGAAAAAAAAATTAATCTGGAAATTCAATCCAGAAGGTAAAATAAATGATGGACAGGGAGTTATTGCTGTCAAACGCATTATGACGCTGATGAATGTCCCTCAGCCAATTCGTCCTCTAAGAACCGCTTGGTCTATGGTGGAGTACGAAAAGTCAACGGATGATGATTGGTAAGATTTTATATTTCCTTTTTTGTTACAAAGTTTGAGTATTTTTAATTTTTTTTTCATATAAATTCATTATTTTTTATGCAGCTTGGTTCTCTGCTGTCTCTCCCACGATCGATCCAAAATTGAAACATGCGACATTCACTACAAGAAATTAGGTAGATAAGTGACTTTAATTAGAATCATTTATTAAAGATTGATATTAAATTTATGATTTTACATCGCTTAAAATATTTGATATCAATACTAATTTGACTAACATCACTTAAAATAAAAATGATACAAATGAATAATGATTTACATCAGTTTTAGAAAAATGACACAAATATATGTGTTTACATCATTTATATAACTGAAGCATTTTCTCAATTTTATTAGCATCAATAATAAATTATGTTAATATTTATTTCCATTATAAAAAATGATGCAAACAAAATTTTGAGTAAACAACTATTTTAATATAATCCAACTGTGTGGATTCGATGTTTCAACATTTGCAGTGTCCGGATCTCACTTGTTATCTGCAAAATTCAAACGAAAAGCCCAGATTAAATTAGAAACAAATGGCAAGATACAGTGGTTAGATCGAAAACACCAAATCAATCAATGGAAAGTTTTTGACAACAAAGAACTAAATCAATATCACTCTCTCTATCTTAATCCATTACTAAGAAAGAAAGAAACTGAGATGTTAGATCCCAAAATAAAAAGAGTAAAAAAAGAAAGAAGAAGCACGATAGAAGAACATAAAAGAAACTAGGGTTTTCTAATTTATTTGGAGGGCTATTTAATTTATTTTGTCAAACTTCAGCGGAAATTCTTTTTTATTAATTTCAGATCAGTTACAGATTGTTTCGTGGGTATTAATTATTCGCAAAGCCAATAATTTAGTATCAAATGTTTTAACTGATGCACATTAACGTAAAAAAACAACACTTTTTCTGAATTGATGTTAATTAAAGAAAATTACAGTTACAAAATTTTATGGTATTAGTATAATTATATTTAGCATCAATTTTTACTGATGTAAATTTTATATCGTTTTAATAAGTGATGTTAACCAAAAACAAGAAATACATCAATCATCTAATCAATGTAAATTTATATAATTATATCAATTTTGTTAAAGTGATACAAATTAATAGAAATTATATCAGTTTATTGAATTGATGCGAAATTAGTTAATAACAACATCATTTATTTATAACTGATATTAAGGTATGTATATTTGTATCATTTGCTAATAAATAATTTAAAATAGTATCATTCAGTTTTGTGATACAATTTAAGTGATACAATCTAGAGAAAATTACTTAATCTAACACTAATTCAACAGTTTATTACTAGATTAGCACCCATAAAAAAACACTTACTAGAATAGCATACAATTTGTGTCAAAAGTCCAAATAACCAATGTAGTAATTGATAATTACACCCATGCCATTGTAATCAATTTTTGGTGTAATTAAAAAAAAATGAAATTTCAAAATTAAACCGTTACAAGATGCATTTTAGGTAAAATAAAAAAGAATGTCTACCATTTCACGAGAGAATCTGTCACTTGTCTCTCCGCCGCCATTAAGTCAACACGATTCCGATTACGAATCCGGCAGCGTTGTCGCTAACTCCGGTATCAGCTTCGACTAATCCGACGTCCGTTAGGTCAGTTCAGTTTTTTTTTCTCTTCTCATTGCCGTATTCAATTTGTTTTCGGGTGTGATTTTAATTTCAGGCTTTGCTTGAGACTCTGAATTGTTATGCGCGAAAGAGATAACCGATTGAGTATAACTGAGAAACAGAGTTGATTGAATTTCTCGAATGTTTCCTGTTTGGCCTTTTTTAACAAAGTTATGTTTTAATTTGGTAGATTGATAACTGTTATTCTTGAAATAGTAGATTATGCTTTGTTTAATAATATTTTTTTAATCACTTTGGTTGACTTTATGTGTTGAATGTACGTGTTGGTTGTTTTGTGTTGTTAGCTATGGCTTCGTCAAGTGGTGAGAAGAAATACCCTCGACGAATGTACGCAGAGGGAAAGGCACCATCGCAAACGAAAAGCATGAATTATAATTGTTATGTGTCTAACATAAAAATGGTAGAAACAGGAGTTGGAAAGGATGTGTGGGAGTCTTTGAAGGAGTCTTCCATTGGAGTGATTGCTAAGCTTAAAGATGTTGAGTATACATTCTCTGCCAAGATTGTGCATTACTTGCTTACACATCAGTTGCAAACGAAGAAGAGCTATGAGATATGGTCCTTGATTGACACCCAGCCAATTCGTCTTTCTTTGCTGGAATTCGGTGATATTACGGGCCTAAATTGTGAGCCATTTAAGGATGAGAACAAATGGGATTTAGATCATGAAGAGTTTTGGGGAGAACTAAATGTCTCTACATTGGAAGGACCGTCCTTGGATCAGTTGGAATTGGTCTTTTCTAAAAGTGCAGATTGGACTTTTGAGAAGAGGAGAATGGTAGGATTGTTGTGTCTCTTGTCCATTGGCATCTACGGCCTCTCTCCGTCCAGTCATATCCCTTTACATCAAGCGAAAAGAGTTCTAAATCGAGAAGCTTTTGAGAGTTATCCGTGGGGTCGAGTTGCATGTAAGAGTTTGATGGATTCAATTAAGATGCTAAGTTACGGTGTGAAGAAAACATACACACTTAGCGGATGTGTTCACGTTCTGCTCATATGGGCATATGAGGCAATTGCTGGTATAGGAGAGTTGCATGGGAATAAAAGGGCTGGTGACGAGGTTCCTCTTCTTTCTTGGGGCGGTTCCCGTCCAAGGATTGAGTGGTCAGACTTCTTCCGGAAAGAGAAGAAAAGTCATGCAAATAAGGTATTCATTGTTTGTTGTGAGTGATGATTATCTTAAAACTATATATCTTTTTATACAAAGGTCTAATGGAAAACATATTTCCAGATTCGTGTTAGGAACTTTATTACACTGTTTGACGGAGAAACCAGTGCGAAATGGGTTGATGAGGAGGAGGATGAAGACGTGAAGACCTTGCTTGATGATATACATCACAATCGGTTAGATGAATCAGCTTGGGATGTCATCAAAGCTAATATTAGCCAGAAAAAAAAACGTAAAGAAGCTGTCGAACATAGTGACGTTGACTCCAAGGAACATGAGAAACCTACAAAAACGAAAAAGAAAGAGAAAAAACTTGAAGGAGTTACAGCGGTTAGTAAAAAAGATACTATTATTTTGAAAGAAAGTGTACTCTTTAATATAAGCTGGTTTACTTGTGTTTTACACTTTTTATTTAATATTGCAGACATCAGATGATCAAACCAGTCTCGTGGATATGATGAAGTTGTTTACATCAAAAGTAGACAACATGGAAACCAATATTGCTAACAAGGTGTTGACTGGTTTAGATGGAGCAATTGATGCCAAAGTTGATGCGAAGGTTGAACTGAGATTCAATCCCATGGATGAGAAGATTGCCACACTTGAGAAGGAGGTGAAATTTCTAAGAGAACGTTTAGGAGAGTGTGACACCAAAGAAGCCGGCAGCTCCAATGTTAACATAGATGATGATGTCACTAGTAATTCTATGGTACGTTAGTTATCTCTTCTTGTTACAAAATGTTGGTTATTATTTATACATGCATTTTTCATGATTATTTGTGCAGCCATGGATGGTGCATGCTAAGTCTACATCACATGATGATTTGCCTATCCACGTTGTCGTTAAAAATGCAAACAAACCATGCAAGAAAATTGAGAAGCTCACCAAGGAGCAAACAGTGGAGGAACTGCAAGCCAAATTGAAAGGAAAACAAGTTCAAACTACTGTCACGAACCAGAAGAAGAAAATAAAACAAGAACCTACTTCTTCAGAGACGTTTTCAAACCCGGTACATAGACGATTTCGTGCTGGATTAAATCTTATGGTAGCTGGAATTTGTGGCGTCAAAGATGATACCTCACTGCCAAAGCGCCAACCCAAATTATCTTCGAGTCAACTCTATCCGTTTGTGGGAAATTCTACTGTGAAGCGGATCATTACCGGTGTATCTCTATCCATCGCAGCGTACGATCCAATGACTGAAGTGGATGAGACTAAAGCACATGATTTGTTGGATTTTATACGGCAAGATGAGTAAGTACTTTCAGAAATATTTTTTAATACATGTTGATATATATTAACCAAGATTACTAACATCTTAACATTATTCTACATTTTCTTAGTATGGAACCAATTGCGACATGGGATTCAAATGTCGAATTTTACATAAAGCTAATTACTCCGAGGGATAAATGGTGTACACAAGACTACGGCTGGTTGGGTAGTTCGGTGAGTTTTGCTGACTTTAAAATGACGATTCATTGGTCAAAAAAATTATACCACATTTGTGAATTTGTGTTTCTCTTTCACAGCATATGTGCTCGGCGATGCATATGTTCTACAAGAGGTCTTTGAGGGATCCATCTCCATTCCATTCACCAAGGATTGCATTCATCGACCAATGGTTTGTCAACGAAATGGTGCGTGATTTCAATCTCGGGACATTCAACCCAAAGACTTGGACCGTGCCTGAAAAATATAAGAGAGTGTTTAATGGTACGTATCCAGCTGACTCAGTTACAAACAAGAAATGGCTTGAAGATGTCGATCACGTGTATGCATGTCATCATATAAATGGAAACCATTGGGTTGCTTTGGATATTGACTTGGTGAAAGAGAAGATTCATGTGTATGATAGTATTCTGACAGTGGTGCCTGATGATAAAGATATAAAGGAGATTTGTAGGCCATTCACAAAGATGATCCCTGCATTGCTCAATGCAATGCTACCAAGAAATATGCGGAAGAAGAGCGACAAGCAGTTCACGGTGATAAGATTGAGGAGTCCTCCACAAAACAAAAACCCGGGCGACTGTGGAGTGTATACTTTGAAGTACATTGAATGTCTGGCTATTGGTTGCACATTCGATGGTTTAAATGATACTAATATTCCAGCATTACGACTGAGATTAGCAGCTGAGATTTATGACGAGGTGGGACAACCGCGTATCGCCTGCAGGTCCACCCATTTAGTCCGTGATGAAGACTTTGGCCAAGAACTACGATTGATTGACTCTCCATAGAGGTTTATGTTGATTTCTTTATGACTTTTGTTTTCTTTGCTTTTGGTTTTCATTGGATCAGTTATTTTTGTTATTTTAAAATAGATTTCACGATGGTCTTTTGTTTTTTAATCGAAAGAGTATTTCATAGCCCTTATGTACTCATTTAGAAAAATTAACTTGAATTCTTGATTCCAACGTAAGTTCCAAGTATGATTCATCAAATAGAGTTCCTATTCCAAGTAGGATTCATATTGCAATTAAAGTTCCTATTTTAAGTAGAGTTCCTATTCCTAGTATGATTCATATTCCCAAGTAGAGTTTCTATTCCAAGTCCACGTATTTTTTTGTAACTTTCGCATTTTGTGTAATGATACTATGATCTAAACCAAACATGACATAGCACTATCACTAAAAGTAAAGAAAAGAAAACAATGCAATAAAATAAGACTCGAAAGAAAAGTACGAAATATAAACTAACGTATGAGTAAAAGCCAAAGAAACAAATTTAAACTCATCACTTCGAATAAAGCAACCCTAAACTTCAATAGGAGCCTTACATGTCTTACAATTATGACCAACTCTATGACATCGAGAACATGTGTATTCTTTACGAGGCCGCTTTTTAGCTGTGGCTTTCTCCAATGCTGATTTCATTCTTGAATTCTTAGGTCTACCTGGCGGATTGCGTACTATGGGAGGTGAACACACTTTAGAGGCGACATCTTCGGAAACAGGTGAAGCAGCATCCCTTGGCATTACAGAAGTGGAGTATGCATTGTAAAAGTAGTTCTTGTGATAGTATGGATCGCATTTTGATATGGGAGAAATTCTACGTGCTTCAGCTGCGGCAATGGCGTGCACACATGGTAACTTCTCCACATCAAAACGACGACACGAACATTTTTTCTCTTTCAGATTTACTACATTCAAAGACATACCACATGTCACTTGTGCATGGTGTACATCTATTGCTTGCACCTTATAGAGCTTAGCTTGTTGTACACGTTTCTGGAGTAAAACAAAGAAAAACAACTACAAATGTTAGCGTATTCAGATTAAAATCAAGCAGTTAATATAGAAAAATATTTTGGCTTGTACCTCCAACAGTTTCTCTACGCCACGAGTCAGGGTTGTCTTCATTGATCCTGCATCCATCCTCCGATCTGCAAACCATCTCGTCATCATTGATCGCACTGCATCTAATACTCGTACTATTGGCAAACTCCTCGCATCTGAAAGCGCTTTATTTATAGACTCTGCTATGTTTGTTGTAGTTAAGTTGTACCGGTCTCCAGGGAAATGCACACGAGCCCACTTTCTAACATCAGCTTTTACGAGGTACCTATGTAGTGCTGGATTCAACACTCCTATTTCATCAAATGTTGCATCGAAATCTGATATTTTAAAAGCATTTGCTGCTTTCTTAACCAAGCGAAATGCATCACGACCACGAAAACGTTGCAAGATATTCTTGTACAGATGGTAGGTACAAACTCCACGACTAGCCTTGGGATAAACTTTTTTAATAGCGTTACCAATAGACTGGTGCCTATCAGAAATAAGTGCAAGTCCTTCATCATCCTGAATCACATTACTAAGCTGCTGGAAGAACCATTCCCAAGAATCATCATTTTCTGTATCTACGACTGCAAAAGCAATTGGAAATATTTGGAAATTCCCATCTTGAGCTGATGCGATCAGTAGTGTTCCTTTATATTTTCCCTTTAGAAAGGTACCATCAACAACAACTACCTTTCTCAAGAATGGAAACCCATTTATACTAGCACCAAATGCAAGGAATAAATACTTAAATCTCTGGAACTCATCGACTTCCAAACGCGTGAAAGTTCCGGGATTTGCTTGTCTTATCTGGTGGAGATATGTCGGTAACTCTGAGTATCCACTTTCTGAGAACCTCTAACCAAAACTCTTGCACGTAGAAGAGTTCGATGGGCCTTCCAATAATCCATCTAGTTACCAAAAAAAAAAAATTACAACATGAGAATAAGAAAGCCAGAAATTCAACTACAAGATAGACGTATATATGGGCATCTTATGTATAACTCAACCTAAAATTCAAACAATACACACACAAAAGTTAAACATAAGTCAATGAATTTGGAACGTCTAGTGAAAATTTCACAAATTTGTAGTGGATGATTTATGATATAAAACAAAATAAAGGATGACAAAATAATACCTTGATACCAAATCTCATGTTTAATGCTTCTGCGACATGTTTTGGTAGTACTTTTGAATCAACACCACCAACGGAATTCACATATAGTAATGCAAGTATGTCAGGAGTAGCTTGGCGGGCACGAGCAGAACGCTCCGTAACAGAACATGTGTGTTTGTCTATGTACACACGAACAGTAAACTTTTCAGATTTTCCAACTGGTGTCGCTCTTACTCGCCAGCTACAGCCTTCCACCCAACAATTAACAGTGAATAGGTCTGTCGCTGATCTGTCGACTTTAAAATCAAACTGATGTAGAACCGACAAAATCTTCAACCTGGTCTCTAGTTCATGTTTCGACTCATATTGTTGTCCAACAACTAGGTTAAGTGAGGATATTTCTAACTTAACATGTTGACTAACTCGTTTTGGTTGAGTGTTCGTAGACGTAGTACCTAATTTCGCAGCTGGAGATTTTTCCTCATTCTCTTCTTCTTTTGGATGCGTCCCGTACGATCTAAAATCTTCATCACCAGAAGATGCTCCGTCCGAATCGTCACAATAATCAAACCGATCACCATCCTCGTCGTCATCTTCATCACCATCTTCATCGTCATCTTGATCTTTGATATTTGCGGATTCCTTTTTCGAAGGACACATAACTGGTTCTCTACCTTTCTCTTTAAGCTCGACACATAAGTGCAACGGCTTATCTTTTCCTTGTTCCAAAAAGCCATGAAGCTGTCTACAACTGGTGACCCTAACCGGTGGTGTACTTTTCGGTAGTGTAAGCAGTATCTTTTTAGAAAACATGTAGCTCAATTGTACATCGTAGATCCGAAAATCGACTTTGTAATCCTCAATCACCATCCCAACGAAATCTTCATAACTTGTTCTATCGTTTGCTGCTATAATTTTGCTTCCTCTTTTGTCATCAACAAAAAATATCCATCTGTCGTCCTGGAACATCCATTTACCGCATACTAGAATAATTTGTGTCATACCTGATATAGAATGGATGTAATGAAATCAGAGTTTAGAAAAAATCAGAACGTAAAGCAAGAGGTGGTGATGAACATGAAAAAATTAGAACTTCCAGAAAAGGTAGAAGACAGCGACGGCTAAACCTAATTTTTATGTGATAGTGATTTTTTTGTCTTTTCCAAAGTCATTAATTTTTGTTTCCATTAACGAGTCAATAATGTCACGTCATCACAATTTTTTACCAAAATTTCTTTACAAAAGTAATTGTAGCATTAAGTCTGTCACAACATAGATAAACAAGTCTGTCACATAATAAATTTGGTAAGAATGAAATTTCTTAAAAATCTGTGCGTGTGTAGGAAAAAAAAACTGTCACCAAATAAATCAAGTGATTTAAAAATATAAATCTGTTGTAACGTAAACTTAAATCTGCCACCACATTAACGCTAATCTAGTAATTATGATTTTAAATTAAATAAGTCTGTTAATGATAACAGATTTATATAGACTAATATTAAGTCCATCATCATAGAGGTCTCAAAATATAAATCTGTAAGCATATACATACATAAGTCTGCCGTTGAAAAATAAATCAACGAAATAAATCTGTAAAGAAAAAACAAGTCTGCCAAAAATTAGTAAATCTGTGGTCACAACGCAAAAAATCTGTGACCTTTGATTTCTAGTCAGATATAAGTCTATTAGAAAAAAAACAAGTCTAGACAGAAGTCTATTATTGTAAATAAGTCTGGTAGAAAAAATAAAACTGTTGTCTCATAGAATAGACTTAAAGATATAAGTCTGTTATTGTAAATAAGTTTGCTACAAAAAATAAAACTGTTGTCCCATGCAATAGAATTAAGAAACAAGTCTGTTATTATTGTAAATAACTTTGTGATAAAAGTCTGTTACCTAATTAAAATATGATGGTTAATTTAAGTCTGTTATCATTAAGTAATAGATTTTTTATATAGACTTAATTTTACAATGGCAATTTCGTTATATTTTTTCCGTTTTTTATTAAAAAATAAATGAAAAATAATGGCATTTTTGTAATTATATTTTTTCAGAACAAATGATATAAGGGCTTTTTGGACATAAAATAATTGTCAGTAATTAAAAAAAAAAGAGCTAATCTAGTAATAAATCAATGAATGTGTGCTAATTAAGTAATCTTCCTATAATCTAACCTTTTTTTGTAGTGTCTATGCCGTTTGTTTGAGGTTTCAATATGAAACAAAACATTCTTGTACCAGTTTTTAGGAACAAACTTGATATGTTTTCCTTTTTCTGTTTCTGCCAAATATTTCATTCAGCTTATTTGGTTTGGAGGATAAACAATTTGTTGGCAATCTCTCACACCAGCCATGTGTCAATAGTATCATAATATTTTTTAGGCGTCATGATTTTTTTCAAACCTTGCTAAGCTTGTGGTTTAGTTAGGAAATAATATCGATTCATGATTCGAAAATTTGATTACGGTTTCTAAATGATCATGCCTTATAAATAATCTCCAAACTTTGATTACGGTTTCTTAATATCGTCCTCTCATATCTCCAGACCGAGAATCATCGCTATGGCCTCGGACAGTCTTCAGTCTGAGGAGAATTCCCTCATCCCTACGGCGTCGAACAATCATCAGTCTGAGGAGGATTCCCTCATCCCTACCGCGTCGAACAGTCATCAGTCTGAGGAGGATTCCCAGGTAACTTTGATTACGGTTTCTAAATAATGTTTGAGATTGTGGGTTCTAAGTACTCATTTGAAACTTTGATTACGGTTTCTAAATGATCATTTCATTTTGATCAGTCTCAGGATGTCTCGTGCTGTTAACCGTTCTCAGGACCTCCCTATGGTAAATTATATTCTTATAATCTGAACTATTACAATAATTTAATCTTTGATTTATAATATCATTTGTTTGCTTTATATTACCATTTTCTAATTCTATTTGGTTAAATCAGGTATCTTTCAAGGGTATCCGCTTTCATCAGGATGATGTGGAGCTTATCTCTGAATTTCTGATCCCTATGATTGATAACGGGAGAGTGGCTCGGTGTTTTCTGGAGACTCTAGATGAAACTGATCTGTCTGTTACCATAGCCTCCAGAGAGATAATCACACATTCATATTTCAAAAGGAATGAAGTATGGTTCTTCCTCAGGTGATCCTGACTCAAATCGCCATTTGCTGGGTGAGAAGTACAAGTGGAAATTTAATCCTGTAAAGAACATCAAGGATGGAAACAGAGCTATTGGTGTTAAACAGACTATGAAGCTGATGGACATCACCCTAGCTATTCGTCCTCTAAGGACTGCATGGACCATGGTGGAATACAAGAAGTCAGCGAATGATGATATGATAGGTATGATTGTATTCGCTTGTTCATTATAAATATTCAAGTAATTTTAATTATGTACTATATCAAATCATTACTTTTAACAGCCTTGTGAATTTTGAGTTTGTGTGAATTTTTAAGCTAATATTATCTACTAGATTGTATCTTAGAATTTGTTTAATAAGAAGCATTAGAGTCATCACATTAGTTTGTGTACTAATCATAATATTACCTACATAATTTGTACATAATTTGTGTGAATTTTTAAACTAATATTCATCATCGAGTTCTCTTTACATTTATTAAACTTATATTATATCTTAATTATTATACCATTTCAGTACTATAATCTCAAATCGTTACACATGTAATATTTATATACCTGAACCATATATCCACGATGAAACACACATAATAGACAAATAACTCCATAGTGATATTTCCATATTGTGAACATCTTTGTTCTGTTATATAGCTTGAGTTTATGAGAATGAAGGATATGCTTTGTTGAATATATATGTTTTCAGTTTCATTAAGAGTTGAAACAAGAGACATGATCAATTTCAGACCGCTAATAAATTACACTTGAAAAATGGACAAACATCTCCGCGAATGCAAATCATCAATCATAAGGAAACAAACTAACTTGTTTGTTGACAAGCGATGAGCAAGAGACATGATCAATTTTTCAGACCGCTAATAAATTACAGAACAGAGCAAAAAAACCACACTTGAAAAAGGACAAACATCTCCGCAAATGCAAATCATCAATCACAAGGTAACAAACTAACTTTTTTGTAGCAATTCAAATGTTGAAAATAAAAGTGAAAACCAAGTGTAGTTGAAATGAAGTTGCTGAACAAAAAGAAAACCAAGTTGTTCACAGGATCTTAATTATTACATAGAGGAGGACCCTGTCAAAAATGAGGTAACTGATGAGTAGTAGGATTCTGAAAAGAGGCAATGCTCTCGATGTGTTGAGGTGAGATACGGACATGACATTCAACTTGTCTACGAATCCATAAGAGCGCCTAAACTCTTGATCGTCTCCAATTCCAAGGAGCCGACTCTTCTGATGTTTGTGTTTCAACATTGTAGTAGAAGATGTAAAAAGGTTGAGCATGGCGTGAGAGCATCGTTGGGGCCAGGATGAGCTCACCAGCCTTGTTGGCGCCTGGAAAAGACAATCGGGAACAACCAACAACATCCCACACGGAAAGAGGAATCTCACACAATGATGTGACCATTCATGTTTGTGGACGTCCTCTAGTACCCACATATCAAATCTTTGGAAACGACCATAATGGTATCCGGAACAATGGAAGCTAGCTTCCCTTTGTATTCGATAAATATTGCATCATCACCATAACACGACGCCAGAGGTGCTTTGATATAACTTAGCTTCTCAGATCTAACATCAAAACACACAATACCTGGTTTGTAGGTCGGTCTGGGCTATATGCACCATAATAGACAAAACCGTTGATGCTTACTCCCCTGACAGGGTATAGTTAGGCATAGTAGTGGGAGGTTTAATAAGTCTCCATCCTCCACCTCCTCCAAGTGTTAACACCTTTTGCTCAAGATGCCTAGTATGTATTCCATTTCGATTCGATGTACCATCCGGATAATGCTTTGTATTGATCACCAATGGGATCGTAACCCACGTGGTGCCATGGGGAGCTCGATAAATTGCTCCGTGCAAGGGTTACATATACTTAACCGACCTTCAGCTTCAACAGCGAGAAAGCCATGGACAGAAGTGCAAGACTGAATCGGAAAAGGTCATGGAAGGTATTGCCATGTCGAAATTTGGAACCAGAGAAGAAGACTCCCCTTCGTCTTCTGGTGAAAACGAGAACAAGAAGATAAGCTTCTCCTCATTAATGTTGCTTATCCCGTTACCTAAAGCAACTATAAGCCGGGTGGTCGCCTTGAGGAGAGAGAGAAGAAGGAACGGACGAATTCTGGGCTCCGGACTATGGAAGACCACATCTTCGACACACATCGGAAATTCGAAAGAGACTTGGCAGGCAATCTGTTCAGTATATCCAGCTTTAGATCAGGGAGCGAATCTAATGTACTTGAGCTTGTGTCTTTCTCATGAATAGCTTGCTGTTTACGTTTCATGACAAAACCCTAAATCTTGAATACTCAAAATAAACCTTAAACTGTCTCACCCGACAAAGGAGGTTCGCTAGCTAGGTATTTCTTTAAATCTAAATCTATGCTACTTTTTATAGGAACGACCTTGAGATGTTTCCTTTTTTTTTCTGCTAAATATTCTTTAAGATTATTTGATTTGGAGGATAAATAATTCGTTGGAAATTTCAGTCACTAGCAATGTGTCAATGGTATCATAATGCTTTTTAGGCGTCATGATTTTATCAGACCTAGCTAATTAAGCGGGTGGTTTTGTTAGGAAATAATATCGATTTCATGCATGATTGAAAGCTTTAAATATCAATATAAAACTCTCTAAGAAAAATCACTCAAGCTCTCTTTCGCAAAAGTAAATAGTACTTTTCCATCAAAAGATCGTCTAAGACTCTTTCAAATCAAAAAGAAGATAGAACTAAGTGATAGAAAGTGGTCTAATACAAGATGAGGATATAAATTTAACAATGTATAGATGAGTAAAGCTCTTGAGGAATATTAAAGATAAAAGATACTAGTTTTGATATATTGAAGATAAAAGAATATTAATAATGTACGAAAGTTAAATCTTTTAAAAATTTGAGAAATCTATTAACCATTCTCAGAATCTCATTGTCGTAAAGTTATATTATGAACCATTAGAAAAGTTTACTCCTTTACTCGTTTGATTGATTATTTCTAAATCATTTGATAATTCTGTTTGATTATATTAGGTACCATACACGTGTATTCAAATTAGTCCGGACGACGTGGAGCTTGTCACAGACTTCTTAGTTCCGAAAATGAAAACTCATGTCCCTGTTTAATGTCCCAGTTTTTGTCTAAGCTCCTCTCAGGCATGGTACAGCCAGAAAGCTTTCTTGGAAAAACAAAAAACTTTGACGTGTGTGGATTTTTAAGAGTACTTTGAGTATTTTTGTTTCAGGTAAAAAACAAAAATTATTTATGACGTTGAATGATACTGGTTTACGGCATGTTCAATATAATGTGTAAGCTCAGGTTCGATCCCAGCTCTATCATCTTCCATCTATTTTTTCATTTTCTTTTCTTTCTAAACCTTTATAAGCTTAACATTTTATGCTAATAATATCTAGAATAGATTTGTTTATGAGAATACTTATTTCAGTCATTAGTTTTCTGAAAAATGTAAACTATATTATATTTACTTTCTAAAAAATTATATAGAAACAATTAATTTTTAAATTTGCCTCAGCCCCTAAAAACCTTCGCATGGCACTGCAACCCAGTCCTAAAAAAAAATCGACATTCTTCCGAAAGCCATCTACGATAGTCGACCAACACTTCTTATGATCATAACCCTAAATTACTAGAGGAAGAACAATATTTTGCGATGCCGTGGTTTGAATATTGTTTTAGAGTATATGTTTTCCTCATGAGCTTTTTCTAGTTTCAGTATCTTCAACTCCTTCCCACTTTCTTCATTGCTTGCCATTGTTTCTTTTTCTGTTATGCATTTGTTTTTAACTTTTCACTGTCAATAGTTTAAGAATTTCATTTCCTAAATTTTCTCAGATTTAACAATAAATACTCTGTGATATGATTAACTGAATTAGACACCCGATTAATCTTTTTTTTTTATGATTCGACGTACATATTTTCTTTATAAGGTAATGGTTTTTTAGAGGATTTTTTTCTCTTTTATTTTTGGGTTTTAGTTGGTATTTTGTTGTTTACATAGAAATGTTTTGGAAGTTTTTGCTGGCATTTTTATCTTTTAAATTAGCTTTTGTATTTTTCTAATATAATTAAAAGGCTTCTTTTCTTTTGGTCAACATATTAATTTATGGAAAAAAACTAAATTCATTTTTCTAATATAATTAAAACGTTTCCTTTTCTTTTGGTCAACATATTAATTTATGGAAAAAAACTAAATTCATTTTTCAAATATAATTAAAAGGTTTCTTTTATTTTTGGTCAACATATTAATTTGTGGAAAAAAACTAAATTCATTTTCTTTCCCTCTTCTCTATCTCTGTCTCTCTATCACTAGTCCCAATCTCTCTCTTTATATATCTCGTCTCCACAACAACTCAAACATCACCAGCAAAAAAAATCTAAAAAGCATTGTTCAGCATAGGTTCCCCGAGATTGTCGGATTATAGAACTTCTCGCGGACATCCGTATAGTCTTCACCCCTTCTCATCTTTCGTGTAATGATTCTTCTTCTTCTCGAACATTTTCTTCTTTTGAACTTCATGGATCTTTTTATATTGTCTTCTCTCTCTGAATTTGATAGAAACTAGGTTTATTTTCTATGAATTTTATTTTTTTATTCGTTACATACTCGTGTGTCCCCATGTATTTGCTTGTGAGATCTCATTTCCTCCTGTCTGGATTTTAATTTCAATTGTTGATTTCGTCTAAATTCATACACACAAAGAAAAGCCACCCTAATGTTAATCTTCTTTGCATGTTCTATTTCTTTGTTTTTGTTTTTTTTTTTAATGTTGAGAGATTTAATTTATTTGTAGAAAGGGAAAGAGATATTGTTAACTCTTCTTCTCGTTCGATACATATAATAAATCTAATAACACATTTATCATTTATATTTACAGGTACTATGTCTGGATTGGTTGTGAACGAAGCAAGTGCTCCAGCAACTCCATCAACACCTGTTGTTGGGAACTTTGCGGGTGCCAATGAAGGAAGGGTGTTGAAACGTCCGCGTGGTCGTCCATACGGACCGAGAAACAAACCAAAACCCGTCGGTGATAACTCAGCTGTTAAAGGAAGTGGTGTCAAACGTCCGCCTGGTCATCCAGCCGGTTCGATAACAAAATCAAAACCTGTTGGTGATGATTTGGGTGAAGGAAGTGTTGTCCAACGTAAGCGGGGAAATAAAATTCCTATTGATCACCTTACGATCCAGTGTGCAACTTGTTTCAAATGGAGGGTAGTTCCCTTGATGGAGATCTATGAAGAGATCAAGACACATCTGGAGGAAGAACCTTTCTTCTGTGACGTAGCATGCCAATGGAAACCAGAAATGTCCTGTGAGGTTCCTGCCGACATATCACAGGAAGGTACAGAATATATATGGGCTCTTGAGAGCCATTTAATCCCTCGCCCACGCGCTGGATGGAGGCGTCTGACGCATATCAGAGGCGAAGGAGGATTACGTTTCGCTGATATGTTAGTCACTCTTCTCTAATTTTTTGTTACAAGACACTTTTTAAAAACCTAAGTTTATAACCAATTTTTTCTTATATTTGTTTCTTTTAGCTATTATATCACTCCCTCATGACAGATGCTTCGATCGGGAAAAGATGTCAAAAGGTTAGTTTTCCTAGCGCTCCATTTCCTTTCTAGTGTTATCTTCCCTTAGAGTGCCTTGCTGTTACGTTTGAGAATATATATAGAGATATAATCAGCAGATATGTGTTATGGGAACCTGGAAGTGTTATCTTGTTGTAATTATCTAGAGCTAGGCTATGATGTGTTATTCAGAAACCCTTGCTTATGTTTTGCTTACTAACGACGTAAATGTCATCCCTGTTTTCATTATACTTCCCTGAATCATTTGAGATCAACAACTTTGGTAGAAGATAATCTTAGTGGTTACTAATTTGATTTCAGTAACATATGACAGCTTCTTTACACGCTTATAAACCTCATTTCTGGCTTGCAGGTACTTGAAAGAAAACCCGCGATACATAATAGAAGGGATGAAGGTTAAGGCACAGGTTAAGAAAGATTTCTCGTTCAAGATCCCGAAACCGCTGCAAACGGACTATGTGAGGAAGCGCCCAGCTCGAAAAATGAATCCAAGTGGTAATTCAAACGCCATAGTAGCTACTGGAGAAGGTATGTTGTTTTACTTCTTCTGTATCAACTTAGTGTAATATCCAACAACAACAAAACTAGCAACTTGTCCACAACTTCTTTCTAGGATATCTTTGTTAAATCATTTGGAATACTTTTTCGTAAAACGAAATTAAAATGTGTGGATTTTTTAAGAATAGGTCATGAATGATTGTGATAAATGTTTTCCCCAAGATTGCTCTTTCAATGCAGATCTTGCTTTGCTTCTCTTTAACATTGTAATCTTGATTTTGTGATGCTGTATATATTATCACTAAAGAAGATATCTTAATTTTTTTTCAAGCTGTTGAATATTATTTTCCCGTTAAATTTCAACTTTTACAGTTTTTATGTGGTCTTGTGTTTTATTGAGCAGGTCCATCGGCATCTAGATCTCCAAATACATGCTTGGCGATACAGATATACCAGCCACCGGAGGCATCGAGATCTCCATATGAACACTTAGCGTTGGTAATATACCAGCCACCTGAGGAGCCTCAACTCCATGCATCTCCAGATGAACAATGCTTAGCGATACAGCTATATGTTCCACCGGAGCAGCCTGAACTCCATGCATCTCCAGATGAACAATGCTTAGCGATACAGCTATATGTTCCACCGGAGCAGCCTGAACTCCATGCATCGGCATCCAAATCTCCAGAAGAGGAGGCACAGTTGCTGCCGGATGTGCCACCGCAGCCTGAGCCTGAACTCCATGCATCGGCATCGAGATATCCAATAGAGCAGTTAGAGTTGCCGCTAGATGTGCCACCGGAGCCTGAATTCCATGCATGGGCATCGAAATCTCCAGAAGAGCAGTTACAGTTGCTAGATGGCTTGTCTCTTCTGCAGCAAGATGAACCAGCGAAGTCTGATTCTGGAACGTTCTGGAGATCTATGTTTGAAGTTTCGCCAGATGTGTCAGCCGAGCAGGAGCTTCACGATTCAGATGATCGACCCGCGAAAAGGATAAGAAGATCAGACGAAGCATCCACCTCTGGTGTCAATGATGGTACAGACCATGACCCGTGTGATGGCTGAAGTTGCATTGCTCTATTATTATTGGGTTTTTTTTAATGAATCTGCTCGAAGTTATATTGCTCTGTCATTTAAAAAGAATAATAGGGTATCTTAATCTGTGTAATTTAATGTTGCTGGATCTAGATTTTACGGTGTAAGTTTTGTCTTCTGCCAGTGAGATTTTTAGTTTGATGTTTCCATATTGTGAACATCCTTGTGCTCTTATATAAATGAGTTTATGTGAATGAAGAATATGTTTTCTCTAATAAATGTTCTCATGACTTACTTAGGTTACGCACTTACGTTGGAAGCATCTCCACTCAGCTATATAAAGGAAGCTTTACCTAGCTTGTCTAATGTATGTTCTAATGATTTTTTTATCATATTGTGAACATCCTTGTGCTCTTATATAGCTGAGTGGAGTGGAGATGCGAATAAGGCTCGTGGGTTCGAGCTTGTTGGTTGACATTTATCAAATTATCATCCTTTTTTTATTGACATTTATCGTTTCTTCTGGTTTCAGACCGATTGATTCTTTGTGGCAAAATTCAAAAGAAGAAGCTCATGGGCTCGCGACAACAGTTTGGCTGACAGACACTTCTGGACAATTTGGAGGAGGTCACGAAACATACATTTATCGTGATGAAAATATTAAAAACAAAGGTACCTTTTCATAACTCATAAGTGAGAGATGAGCACCTCAATTATTGAAAATAAAAGAATGAAAATAGAAACCAAGTTTTTGACACGATCTCATTACATATAGGATCCTTGAGTGAAATGAAGTTACGTAGTAGGATTCTTGAAGAAGGCAATGCTCTCGATGTGTTGAGGTGAGATACGGACATGACATTCAGACTGTTCTACGAATCCATAAGAGCGCCTAAACTCTTGATTGTCTCCAATTCCAAGGAGCCTGACTCTTCTGATGTTTCTTGTTTTAACATTGTAGTAGAAGATGTAAAAAGGTTGAACATGGCGCGACAGCATCGTTGGGGCCATGATGAGCTCACCAGCCTTGTTGGCGCCTGGAAAAGACAATCGGAAACCACCAACAAAATCCCACATGGAAAGAGGAATCACACACATATGATGTGACCATTCATGTTTGTGGACGTCCTCTAGTACCCACATATCAAATCTTTCGAAACGACCATAAGGGTCTGCCGGAACAATGGAAGCTAGCTTCCCTTTGTATTCGATAAATATTGAATCATCACCATAGCGCACGACAGCCGGAGGTGCTTTGATATAACTTAGCTTCTCAGATCTAACATCAAAACACACAATACCTGGATTCGTAGGTCGGGCTGGGCTATATGCACCATAATAGACAAAACCGTCGATGCTTACTCCCACTGACAGGGTCTTAAAGTTAGGCATAGTAGTTGGAGGTTTAATAAGTCTCCATCCTCCACCTTCTCCAAGTGTTAACACCTTTAGCTCAGGAAGATGACTAAGTATTCCATTTCGAAATTCATATACCATCCGCTTGAATAATGCTTTGTATTGATCACCAATGGGATCGTAACCCACGTGTGTGGTGCAACTGGGGAACTCGATAAATTGCTCCGTGCAAGGGTTACATATACTTAACAGACCTCCAGCCTTAACAGCGAGAAAGCCATGGACAGAAGTGCAAGACGAATCGGAAGTAAAAGTCACGGAAGATATTGCCATGTCGAAATTTGGTACCAAAGAAGAAGACTCCCCTTCGTCTTTATTGGAAGTGAAACAGAGAACAATGCAAAGAGAAAGCCTGAATATCTCGTAGATTGATTCAAAATGAAAGATGGTCTCATATAATGACCTTACAACTAAAACTCCGAAATAAACTCAACACGAAACAAACTATAGTCGTTTCCTACAAAACAGGGCAACGACTTATTCTAACATTGAATGATTCAAACTAAATGAAACTAAGAGACTTGAGCATAAGCAAACTTTATTCTTCAAATCTTCCCCTAAACTGGAACTCTCTCCTTCCAGTTTACTCCTCCTTGCGACATACACCCATCTCACCTCTCAGCTTCTCAAACACATCAAGCTTCACAGCTTTCGTCATGATATCAGACAACAGACAACTGTTCTTGAGTAGTACAATAATCAAGCGCAATGACTCCATCATTCACAAGCTCACGCAAGAAGTGAAATCTCACATGAATGTGTTTGCTTCTTCCATGTAGCACAGGATTCTTTGACAACTTAATAGTAGAGCTATTGTCACAGAATAGAACTGTACCTTCCTCTTGAGCATATCCAATCTCTTCAAGAATGTTTCTCAACCATACTCCTTGACACGCTCCATAAGCAGCAGCGACAAATTCAGCCTCAGTCGTAGATAACGTGACTATAGGCTGCTTCTTTGATGCCCATAAGATTGCTCCTCCTCCAAGCATATACACATATCCCGATGTGCTTTTCCGATCATCAGTATCTCCTGCATAATCACTATCAACGAACCCCACAAGCTTCTCCTCATCTCCCTTCTTGTATCTAATACCATATTCAGAGGTTCTTTGCAGCTAGCATGTGTTGTTCTCTAGGATTCTCCATATACCGACTGACCAAATTCACAGAATAAATAAGATCAGGTCTAGTAGCTGCCAAGTACCTCAGACTTCCCACAAGCTGCTTGAACGATGTGGCATCAACGACTTCTCCAGCTCCAATCTTTGTTAATTTGTTGCCAGGTACCATTGGATTCTTCACCGCGTTGCAAGTGTCCATCCCGTACTTCTCCAGTATCTCTTCAGCATACTTCTGCTGGTTGATGAAGATGCCTCTGTCATCTTGTATAACCTCAACTCTCAGAAAGTACTTCATTTTCCCCAGATCCGTCATCGAGAATTCCATCATCATAACTCTTGAACTCATCCAACATCACGATGAGTTCCCTGTGTAGATCAGATCGTCCACGTACAAGCTCACGATGAGAATCTCATCTCCTCTTCTCTTCACGAACAGAGTGTGTTCACAGTAGGCCTTTTCAAACTTCTCCTTCATGAAATAACCTTCAATGCGACTGTACCAAGCCCTTGGTGCTTGCTTGAGCCCATATAGTGCTTTCCTCAGTTTGTAAACTTTGTTGGATTCCTCTTCAAGTATGAAACCCTTAGGCTGCTCTACATAGACGTCTTCATTCAACTCCCCATGAAGAAAGGCACTCTTGACATCAAGCTGATACACACTCCAATCTCTTTTTGCAGCCAGAGCGAGAATCGATCGTATGGTATCCCATCTCGCCACTGGAGCAAACACCTCGTGAAAATCAATCCCATGCTTCTGATGGTACCCTTTTGCCACCAAACGCGCCTTGAACTTGTCAATTTCTCCCCTCTCATTGAACTTGGTTTTGAAAACCCATTTCACTCCGATCACTTTGGCTCCGAGTGGTAATTCCATCAACTCCCAAGTGTGATTCTCTTCGATCGATTTGATCTCAGCCTCCATCGCCTTTCTCCAGACCTCATGTTGCACTGCTTCCTCAAAACAGTCTGGATCATCTGTAGCAATAAACATTGCTAAGATGTCATCTCCATCCTCAGAAATCACGAAGCCTGCATTGCTTGTATTTCCCTGCACGTAATCTTTCATCCAGACAGGCACTTGTCTGTTTCTTCCTCCCTCACGTGCAGGTGTTGGATTAACAACTACCTCTTGAGTTGTCTCTGCTTCCTCGTTTCCTTCTTCCCCATTCTCTTCTTCTTCATTTTCTGTTTCGTCACTCGTCTCTGCATTCTGTTCTTCTGGCTCGTTTAAGTTTTCGGCAGCTCTGTTATCATCCTCTTTTTCTCAGTGAATATCTCTTTCCAAGATAACTCTTCACTCTGCAACTCTGCATCCCATTCCCATCCTTAGTTTCATCGAAATGAACGTCTCGGCTTATTACAATCTTCTTCGTGACAGGATTATACAAACGATAAGCCTTTGACTCCTTGCTCAAACCGAACATCACACACTTCACACTCTTCTCGTCAAGCTTGATTCTTCTTTCGTATGGCACTAGAGCAAAGGCAACACAGCCAAATATCTTCAAATATTCCACCGATGGCTTGTGTTGACTCCACTTTTCTTCTGGTGTGATCTCACCTAATGCAGCAGATGGGCTTCTGTTCAAGATATGAACTGCATATTGAACAGCTTCAGCCCAAAATCTCCTTGGTACTGACATCTCCAGTAGCATACACCTTGTCATATTCATGACACTTCTATTCTTCATCTCTGCTACACCATTTTGCTGGGGTGTGTATGCTGCTGTGAGTTGTCGCTTTATGCCATTCTCCCTACAGAATTCTTCAAATGCCTTAGAGCTATACTCGCCTCCTCTATCTGTTCTGAGACACACCAACTGTTGTCCAGATTCTCTCTCTGCTGCAGCCTTGAACTCTTTAAAGACTTGAAAGGCCTCTGACTTCTCAGTCAACAGAAATGTCCAACATTTCCTGCTGAAATCATCAATAAAATTGATAATGTACCTTTTTCCACTCTCTGAGATTGGTGAGATGGGTCCACAGATATCACTGTGAACGAGTTGTAGTGGCGTTGTCGACTTCCAATCACTCTTCTTTGGGATACTGTGACGATTTTGTTTCCCCCTGAAACAGATGTCACATGCAGCTTCAGTCTCTTCTAGACCCGTGATTGGTAATCCATTCACCATCTTCTTTGCTGCCAAGATTCTCAACCCTCCATAGTTTAGATGACCAAACCTTCTGTGCCATAGCTTCTCTGTCTTCTCTGAGACAAGTAAACACTTCCCATCTTCAGTCTCTCTCGCACTTCTCACTTTGGCTAGAGCAATGAACATTCTGTTCTTTGTCATGATTGAATACATCACCATCTCCTTCTGTTGTTTGTGCCAAATCTCACAAACATTGTCTTCGATGACTACTCTGAGTCCTTTCTCCTGCAGCTGCCCAATACTGAGTAGGTTGTTTCTCAGTCCAGGCACATAGTATACGGATGTGATCACCCTGATCATTCCGTTGATCTCCAGCCTTAAACTTCCTTTTCCTTCCACCACCAATCGTCTGTCATCCCCAAGCTTGACATTGTGACGAAAGTCTCCATCAAAATCAGTGAACCACTCCTTTGTGCCACACATATGGTTGCTGCAGCCAGAATCAAGGAACCATACGTACTCTTCTTCTTCCTTGTTCTCGACATGAGCCATCAGAACCATATCCTCATCAAACTCTGCATAATTCGCTTCTTTGTCCCACTCTGGACACTCAGACTTGTAATGCCCCTTCTTGTGGCACTTGTAACATTCCACTTGTTCCCTTGGGATGTTACCACCACGTCCTCTTCCTTGGTACCCTCCTCTGCCTCTTCCTCGAGTTGGGGAGTTACCTCTGCCTCTGCCATAGCTATTCCATTGCCCTTCCACCTTCAAGGCACGCTCTTCTCCAGCATGCCGACTCAGGTTCTGCTCGTGTACCATCAGCGAGCTCTGCAATCCATCCACCGTCATGTGTTTGATGTCATTAGACTCCTCAATGGCACACACAACATATGTGAACTTTTCAACCAAAGTTCTCATAATCTTCTCAACAACCTTTGAATCTGGCATCTCTTCTCCGAGATTCCGCATGTTGTTTGCTACCTCCATCACTCTCGAGAAATAAGCAGTGATGGTTTCTCCGATCTTCATCTCCAACACCTCAAAGTCTCTGCGCAGTCTCTGCAGTTGCGCGCTTTGAACTCGATCATTCCCTTGATACTTCCTTTTCATTGATTCCCACAGATCCTTAGATGTCTCCTTCTTCAGAATCGTCTTGAGAATTGTCTTGTCAATCGAGGCAAACAAATAGTTTTTTACCTTGTGATCTATCACGGTCTTCTCAGCCAGCTCCGTCCTCTGTGGTCCGGTGAGGATCACGTTCGCCGCTCTCGTTGGAATCCCTGTTTCAATGAGATCCCACCATTCCTTGGATCTGAGAAGATTTTCCATCAGCATCGCCCAGTGTTCGTAGTCTCCATCGAACCTAGGCACGATCAACGCATCTTGTCACTCATTCTTTGTGTGTTTTTGTTTTCAAACTTTCAGGCTCGTTACTGGCTCTGATACCACTTATTGGAAGTGAAACAGAGAACAATGCAAAGAGAAAGCCTGAATATCTCGTAGATTGATTCAAAATGAAAGATGGTCTCATATAATGACCTTACAACTAAAACTCCGAAATAAACTCAACACGAAACAAACTATAGTCGTTTCCTACAAAACAGGGCAACGACTTATTCTAACATTGAATGATTCAAACTAAATGAAACTAAGAGACTTGAGCATAACGTAAACTTTATTCTTCAGTCTTCTGGTGAAAACGAGAAGAAAAATACAAGCTGCTCCTCAGTGCTGCGGTTGTATATCCCGTTACCCAAAGCAACTATAAGGCGCGGTCGCGTTGAGGAGAGAGAGAAGAAGGAACGGACGAATTCTGGGCTCCGGATAATGGAAGACCACATCTTCGACACGCATCGGAAATTCGAAAGAGACTTGGCAGGCAATCTGTTCAGTATATCCAGCTTTAGGTCATGTGGGAGCGAATCTAACTTACTTGAGCTTGTGTCTTGCTGTTTACGTTTCATGATGAAACCCTAAATCTGGAGTAATTGGAGAAGAATCACAATAAACCTAGATGAGGTTCGCTAGCTAAATCTTAAATCTCTGCGTTTGTATGAGGTTTCAATATTTCTTTCAGCTTATTTGGTTTGGAGGATAAACAATCAGCTTGCAGTCTTATCATATTGCTTTTTTAGGCGTTATGATATTTTTCAGACCTAGCTGAGCTTGTGGTTTTTTTTCTTTGGGGTAAAATCTAAGCTTGTGGTTTTGTTAGGAAATAATATCGATTCAAAACTTTGAATAGCAGCATGAAATTCTCTAACAAAAATATACAGTATTGAATATTTCGTGTACAAATGAGAGATCATAACGAAAGATTGTTCTCTCGACCCCATTAAATATTGTAGTTCCAAATTTAGACCTATGCTTATATTAGAGTACTACAAAGTAAAGGAAAAAAAGAAACTGTGCCTTTCCAAAACTTGGAAACTAACGTTTTGTAAATGTAAAAGAGACGTCATAAATATTTATAACGTCCAATTATTCTCCTTTGTTTTACGTTCTTTTATTTTAAATAAATGCGATATGGAAAATCGTGTGAGATTCTCTTCAACTCGGGTTTGTAATTATTCCATTGTATGATATATATCATCATATCAACTCGCACAAAAAAAATGGAAAGTAAAAAATCGTAATAGAGGCACAAATTAACCTTTAAATATTCTAGAGAAGCTGAAGAGCCCTAGTCAATCCCAAATCATGGCGCTTCGTATAAACCAAGTGAGCTTTCTTCTCATTGTTGCTGCTGTGCTCGTGGTGATGGTGGTCGCTTCCGCAGCCGGAGAAAGTTTTCAGGTTGAGTCTCTGGTGAAACAAGATTCTGCAAAAGGAGATGCAAATTGGAAAGAAGTTTTTCCCAATGATTATGGTTCTTGGAGCCCGACTCCAAAAGTTCGAAGAGGTACAGCAGCACCTGTTCCTCATAAATTTACACGACCACGTAAAATGAAGGTGTGATAAAATGACCATCATAAGCTCGAGGTTTTTTAGAATATATAGTTATGGGTTTTTTTAGACCTAATGTTGTTTTAGTTTTTATGTTCTTCTTTAAGCATCTATATGTGATAGTGGTCAAGAATTTCGATACAACCAGAATGTTTGAGAGATTTATATCATCAATTTATCATGCTTTGAGAAATTCATGATAAGTTTTTTTCGTACCACATATCGTTTGTTCAATAACGTGTTCCTAAATTTAACTGACTGATCGATCTTTATTTTTGGCTTGCATATACGGGTGATCCATAATTTTGTCAGTGTCGTTTGTTCATATATGCATACCTTCGTTGAAAATATATAAAGACTATGTACATGAAGCATATAATCACAATGGAACACACATATAAAAGATAAATTACTCTCCATAATTAAATTAATATAGCTATAACACAATGAATAGAATATATAGTATACATACATACATAAGCCTAGAAAAATATCAAATGGAAAAAAGAATCCAAAATTGCATAAAGTGGGACACACAAGAACAAGTGTAGAAAGAAAGAAAATGTGATCAAAACTAAGCCTCCTGGTGATGCTGTCCTGTGGTAGTGGTACCATTGACGCCATTAGAGTACTTGTTTGCAACCGGTGCAGCAACTGTATTACCTCCACGGCTTTTACGTCGAAGAACGATAAACCAAGTGAGTGGCTCAAGAATCAAGACGCAAGCACCAAGAAAAATGAGGATTCCAATATAAGCCCAACGCCATTTCTCGGCCGGGTCCAAAATGTCGAATCCTTTGAAGATATTGATGATAGAGAGGATGATGGTCGTGTATCCCACGGAGTGATGGTACACGTTCCAGTAGATTCGATACTTGTGGTCTGGCTTTGGCCTTAGAAGCAGAGCAAACACTTGAAGTGTTGCGAATGTGAAGAGTGCTATTCCAAGGTTACGATGGGTTGAGTAAGATGTGCCTGGTGTGTCGTTGCCAAGCTTGATTCCGGTGGCCCAGCCAGATACGCCGATAACGTAACCGGAGACTTGGAAGGCGATGTGGAGGTAGAACCATGCTGGTTGGGTGAAGACTTTCATGTACCGAGCCGTCATTGCTCCTAATGGCATTAGTACTCCCCAGCTCACAGCATTTAGTATTCCATGTGTCTGTTTAAATCAGTTTACAATGTTTAGTTTGAGAGATGTAAACAATTTTAAGCTGCGTAATCGAAATCACAAATTTCTAGCAACAAAAGATGGTTTCATACCGTAATAAATGTTGTTGTACGAAAAATGAAAAGACTCTTACTTGTTATATTCAAGTTATGCATGCCAACTTGTTGTATAAAGAAAAGACTCTTGTTCATATTTTAGCAAAAGTGATTTTTATTTTTCTCTGTATTAATTAGTCAACTAAATTAGCTCAGAATATTCAGCGGTTTTTTAATTAAACTAGGACCCGTAACTGAATTTCCATGAATTCTACATACAAAACAAAAAAAGACTATTCTAATGTCAATTTTCATGATGGAAGCGGAGACAAATGTTTGAGTTTGGTGAAAGTGAAACCGTGACGAGAATTCCACTTTCTTTTTCAAAGAAAACCTAACAAATAAAGTCGTTGATATTTGACTAACTTAGAAGAAAATAAAAATATCAATTCCCTATTATTTTATATGAAATATCTATTGGTCTTATATCTTAATCAAGAAAATTATTGAATGTTTGGCTTAAAAATAGACGCCAATCATTTTCATATCTTGTAAATTCAGTATATGACGTATGTTCACAAACACGTCAAAATATGTTTTGTCACTTTGTCTTATGACAGCAATAATCATTTTGACAAAAAAATATATATTATAATTAAAACTCGGTGTCGACAATATTTCAAAAATATTCTTAACTGCACTTATTTTATTCTTCTGCTAGATATTTTTCTTTGATTAAAATAATTCTCAAAGTACTATATATTTTTTCAACAATCACCATCAAAATTCTCTAATACACCACAAACCTATGTTTCGTAGGAAACTTGAAAAATAAAATCGTATATCTTACTAAAGTTTGAAAATAGCCCTTCAAGAACCTATAAATTTTGTGATAAAATTGAAATTCTGCTAAAATGGTTGTATATTCTTGCTAAATTATTTTCTATTTTATTTCCACATTCATGAAACATCAAATAATCGAAGAAATAAAATTCAAAACAGAGAATATATTAAAAAAAAAAAGCGAGCTTAAAAGTGAAGCAAGAGAAAGTTGGACTTACATTTCTCTTCTTCAACCTGTCACCGGAAGCTCCACCAGTACCCGATGACTGACCCGACCGGAAATCAATCGTACTAATCGCTCTCATATTGTCTCCCGATATCAGATGAGCCTGAGGAACACCATTAGCGACCGGACCGGTTTGCCAAACCTGGTTAACCGTGATCATACTCGCCGGCAACTCAAGAGTCGCAAAGATCGTAGCTTCGCCGTTTACCATAGTCGCCGAGATGCGGCTCACACGGAAACTAAGGTTCCCGGGTTCGAGCCGCGTGGCTATCTGAGTAATTGGTGAGGCATATCCTTGGAACTGACCACTAGAGTTGGTGTAAGCCACGAGAGCTTGTGTCCCCAACATCTGAGGACCACTTGGATTAAGTCCCCAAGCGATCCAAGAGGAAGCTGAGGTTCCAGGGTGGCGATAAGCGATCGAAACGGTTCTGTTTTGCTCGTTGAAGGTCCAGTGAAGGAACGAGCCGAGAGCAGAGAGAGGAGAGCATTGAGTGAAAGCTTGGTTATTGGTGAACCTGTGGGTGTTACAATCTGATTGGCCGTTTACGGATAAGACAAGAAGTGTTGTCCAGACGGCAAGAAGAGAGATCTTTGCTGATTTTGGCCGATCCATTTTTGAGTTCTTGTTGATGAATTAAGAGATTTGTATCTCTCTCTCTCTCTCTCTTCTTGCTTTGAAGGTTGGATGAGATTTGTGGGACTGAGAGTTTTAAAGATACTTATAGAAACGTTAACGCGGATGATGCTTTTTTAAAGTCTATGGGAGTTGGAAGCTGTTCTTTGTTGACTTTTTTTTCGCTTTTGCTTACTTTCTCTTTTTTCAGATACATATGACGTAAGAAAAACACTCAAGTTTGTCATAATTTACGGTTTTTGTTTTGTTGTGTTTCTTTTAATAACATGACTAGAGTTTGACCCGCGCCTGCACGGGGAGATGGTTTCTGAATTTGTATTTTTTAATTAAAAATGTCTATTTAACTATTTCAAAATTTTATGTGACAGATTTTTTTACCTTGTTAAGGTTTTTATCTTCGTTTATAGTGTGGAAATTAAACATTTTTTAAAATTATAAACATTGATCATAGACATAGATTAAATATGCTACACTATAGATTAAATATGCTAGACTTCAGCAAGATACATAAAAATCAAATGAGTATATTTTATAAGATAAGAAGATAAAAAGTTTTAGGTGTTTACACGGATTAGAACTAACTTTTTTATTTCTTTTAAAACTAAAACATGTTTTATTATAATTCCAAAACAATCCAACCAATAAAAGATAATCTTGCAAAATCCAAATTGTCAAAATAACAAAAGTATAAGTAATTTTGTACCGAAAAATTGAAACAAATGGAGCAATATTCAAATTTTTGATCAAAATTAAATACATTTATAAAAAATATTATTTTATTTGATTTCATTATACAGTTTAATTAAAAAATCATATAAAATATTAAAAATAAAATAATTTATATTTAGATACCTACTCTCCTACTATACAGTTGCATATCATCTATTTTTTATAATATTTTTATACCTACACACACAACAACATATTGGGAATTTTAATAGTTTTAGTGATTATTTTGTTTTTAAAAATTCAAATCATAGCATATATAGAAAAAAATTTAGATTTTTTTATTAGATTTTTTGTATTGTGTCAATTTTTTATTTTATAAAATAAAGTTAAACAAAGATGAAAGGAGATATAGAATGATTTAAAAAAAATATAATGATAGCATTAAATTGAATCTCATATTTTCCTTATTTACTAATTTTCGTAATTGTCAATTAAGGAAAGAGAATGATGATTTTTTATTAATAATTTCATACTCCCTCTGTTTCACAATATAAGGGGTTTTGGAGTTTTTATTTTGTTTCATAATATAAGGGGTTTTCAAATTTTTGTGCAAAATTAAATGTGATTTTGTTACTTTTGATTATATATATTGTGCAGAATACTTTTTCATTGGTTGGAATGTTTTGAAATTGAGAGCAAATATATTTTATTGTAAAAAGTACAAAAATTAAATGGACTCTTAATCTTGGTGCAAAAACTAAAACCCCTTATATAATGAAACAGAGGGAGTATATGATTAATCTAACTATACATATTTGATTCTCTAACTAAAAATATGAATGGCAATGTTTGTAATTAGTCTGGTAAACTAATTCTTATTTTATATAACACATGAGAAACTCTCTAATGATGACACATCAGCATAACATTCTTGTTAATAACACATCAACTAAAGGTTATTTTTAAAGTGTTTTCTCTTTTAATATATTATAGATTTTAATAAAAAAGTATACCACTAATGAATAATGACCATGATTTGTCTCTTTTTTTTGTAAGATTGGTGGATATTCATTTTTGGCGTGTATTTTTTTTTAATTTTACGTAGATTTCACGTGTGATTTTGAAAATCATCATGCTATTATATGATTTGATGTGTGTTTTGAACATTTGTAGGGTTCAAACCGCCATAAATCCTGTTTTTTTTTCTGATAAACTTATATTTAGCTTTAAATAAAAGTCACTACTCGTTAGAACTTAGAATAAGTAAAATCGAACATATATGAGAAAATGGATTCTCATCTACATGTCACAACTTGCAACATTTTAATGGCAAGGTAAGTTGTGGTAAATGCTCCAAGCCTCCAACCAAAAACATTAGACTGTCTCACTTGGTATTTCAACTAATTGTTATTGTAAATGGTTAATCCGATTAATTTTTATCTTAAGAAAACGTTTTAATCGCTATTCAAGAAGATATTGAGATTCAATAGCGTAGTGTACGATTTTGACTCACTTTGATTTTACTGTTTATGTAGTAATAGTTGAAAGTTGTATATGCCTTAAAACATCCTATATGATGTAATCGTTAATATGAAATATTTTGTTTGTCAAAAAGTAATAGTATGAAATATATTGAAGGTTATAAAAAGACCAAACAAAAGTCGACGCGGTTTTATGGTAGTTCTTAAAGAAAAGGTATCGCAATACATAAATGACAAATGTATACTATTTTATTAATTTGTTTATTTACAGCGGATTAGGTAGATTAGTTGGAAATATCATCGTCAATTTCACATTTACGTGTCTTTCTTCTGATTTACGTGGAGAATAATTTAAATAAATCTCACTAGATTTCATTATGTGATTATTAAACTCCATTTTAAGAGAACTAAAGATTGCTCGTTAGGTTGGAGAAAAGGATAGTCAAATGTGTCGCAATACTCCACGCGTTCACATGTGGTCTTTTAATTCCTCTTTTAAAAATGAATTATTATATTGGGTGTTTTTTTTTTAAATTAACCACACTTAACTGTGCAGTATAATTTTGTAGTCTTTTTAACCCATGCCAAATTTGTTAAAATGTCAAATTTCTAAACATTTTTGAGAATAGAAAAATTAAAAAAAAAAAACCTTTTTCAATAATTACAATAGGGAAGATGGAAAGCACTTTCGTGAAAGACCAAAGGCGGAGTGTAGGATACGACGCCGTCAAACAGACGCTGAAATACGGTGGCCATGAAGTTACCATCAGTCCCCGCTTTGGGACCCATCCAAAACATTACTTCTAGAAGGTGAACTTCTTATTAGACACGTTTAAACTTTAAACTTTAAACTTTAAACTTTAAACAAATTAAATAGCCTTAATCTTGTTCCTTTTCTTTATTATTCATCTTCCATCGTTTTTAAATTTAACTGATAAGCATAAAACTTTTGAATAAAGTGATCTGAAATCCGATAATCTTTACGAGACCAATGTGGAAATTAATTAGCCAAACCACCATACAATTAAGAGTATATGTAATGTAATCTATGACAATGAAAAATTGTTATATAAGAAAAAAAACACTTCCATTTTATGCTCGGGTAAACAAGAGGGAATATGTTTTTTTTTTTTTAGTTTATCAAATAGAGTTTTTGTACGGCTTTTCTCATATAATTTAATTAGTATATGCGGAGCATGTTATTTTTTGTTGTACCAATGTACAACTCTAACTTTATGAAGTGGAAATCACAATTATCAAATGAATTTATATCTGTCATATGAATTTGTGATCTATTATATTTGTATTTGTATTACTATTTAGTGTGTTAAATACTCGTATAACTATTTAAACGAATACTGTATATGAATATATTTTTAAAGATACATTTAGTAAAAAAGATGTGTTAAATTTTTATGTGATTTTTACCATAATTTTGCTATTTTGAAAAAAAAATTAACATTTGTTACTTATCTAATTACATCCTACCTATTTCATTCTACAACTAATCTGCAGAACAAAATACTCTAGTCCTTTTTTTTTAGAACACAAAATACTTTTATTCACAACTAAAAGTCGTGTGCAATGAGCTGACTTTAAAGAGTCAAGTCAACTCTTCACCAAACCTTTAATTAGAATGGAAAAGTTTCAAACAAAGAGAAGAAAAGTTCTTCACCTAAAATAACGATAACACTTCGCACCAATAAAAAAATGAAAATAAAGGTTTGACAAACATTCCCAAAAGACAAAAACAGGGTGACTCGACTAAGAGACAAGTGCACCGTGTCAATCGTGCCGTCTGTATGCAAGAATTTGTTCTCTTTCAATATAACTTATGGACAGGGTTTGGTCACAATGAATGAACTCGAGAGACGTAGTCCAAGTCAGCCTGAAAACAGATAACCTGTGAGATATTTGTTGCAACAAGTTTCCTCCAAACACATGATTTAAGTATCAATTGCTTGATTTGTAAATCACAAAATAATGTATTTATGATTAAGTTTTAATTTGTCTTTATAGTGTTTAAAAACTCTATAAATTTCTTTTTTTTCAGAAATATAATATATATATATATATATATATAAACATAAAACATATGATAATATACATATAAAAACAATAATGTAGTGTGATTTTCTAAACTAAGCAATCGTTTTGATCCTCTGCAATCTCTATGCGATAATGATAAAATTGTGTGAGCTATGTCTATATATAATTTTGTTATTGATTTATGATTATTCGAAAATGTGATAAGATTGTTAAAGTTGTCTAGTGATGATTGAGTAAGCTAAGTCTATAAAGAAAAATTTTGTTATCGTTTTATAATTATTTCAGAATGTGATAAGATTGTCACGTTGTGGAATGATGATTGTGTAAGTTATATCTATAAAAAAAGATTTTGTCATCGTTTTTTAATTATTCGAAAATGTGATAAGATTGCCAAGTTATTAAGTGATGATTGTGTAAACTACGTCTATAAAGAAAAATTTTGTCATCGTTTTATAATTATTCGAGAATGTGATAAGATTGTCACGTTGCCGAGTGAGATGATTGTGTAAGTTATATCTATAAGAAAGAGATGCTGTCATTGTTTTCTAATTATTCGAAAATGTGATAAAATTACCAAGTTGTCGAGTGGTGATTGTGTAAGCTATGTCTATAAAGAGAAATTTTGTCATTGTTTTATAATTATTCGAGAATGTGATAAGATTGTCATGTTGTCGAGTGATGGTTGTGTAAGCTATGTCTATAAAAAGAGATTTTGTCATCGTTTTATAATTATTCAAAAATGTGATAAGATTGCCAAGTTATCAAATGATGATTGTGTAAACTATATATATTAAGAGAAATTTTGTCATCGTTTTATAATGATTCGTGAATATGATAAGATTACCAGCTGTTAGGTGATGATTGTGTAAACTATCTTTATAAAGTGAGATTTTCTCATCGTTTCATAGTTATCCGAAAAAATGTGATAAGATTACCAGATATCAGTGACGATTGTGTGAGCTATGTCTATAAAAAAGAAACCATGTCTTCTTTTTGTAATCATCCGAAAATACACCATAGAGTAAAAGTTGTTCTCTTTGCAATTTCTCTCTTTTTTTTCTTTGTCTTATCAAAGCTAAGTAACTGAGATTCAGGGATGAAATCTTTGAACAAGAGAACAGATAATCAGAGATAAGATGGTCCCTTCTTCCCTCCTCTATACCTTACATTTACTTCGCCATTTATTTTCTTAGATATCTATTACAGTATTACACCAAGAATTTTAGCCGATCCTGATGATTTAAACTTTGCAAAACTTTTATTACAAAGTAAAATTTTATTATAATTTAAACTTTGAAATATAGAAGATTACATTTCTATTGTTTGGTTGAGTTCTTTGCTTTTTCTGCTTGTAGAGCTTCATTTTCTTGTTTAAATAATCTCATTTTGTTACCTTTTCCTCTGGTAGATTTGGACAAAATAGTATTAGTATCACAGGCTTCACTCTGAATCGAGTTTGGAAGATTTATAACAAATCGGTTTCATGCATGTTCTATGTTTGCTAAACCTTAATACCGTTTTTTTTACATAATTATAACGCAGACCTTCGAAAGCTGGACTTGTGGAGAACGATCCTCAGATAACCCGAAGCTATCTTTTGGCAGAGCTATTTCATCATGTTCTTAAGGTAAAGCTTAATGTTGTTATGTTGCATAGTAACTGTCTTCATACATATGTTGCAAAACTTGTAGTTAGATACATTAAGGACTTATCTATATTTACTTACTCATAAAAACAAAATAAGAGCATGAGTCTCTCAATCACTAATTTTACTCCAAGTTCTGTAATCTCTGTTTTGTTAATGGAACTGAAATGTTAACAACGTTAGGAAATGCCAATGTTTTGCATGAGTCTAATGGATAATTTGGTTAAAAGTTCTAGGTTACCATATTATAAGTTGAGTTTTGGTTTCATTAAGTTCTTTGACCATCTCATAGGTTGTTTGGAATTGTCTAATGTCTTTGTTTCTCCGTAGTAACACTTTCTATTATATCTGCTAATGTAGATATCTTCAAGAAAGAGTTGTCACTTCGATCTTTATCAAATTCCCAAAAAAATCTGGCTCAGGAACATCTACAGTCAATGCTTCCAAAGAATTCATCATCCATATTAGTACCAGAAGTATCTTAAATAGAGTCCATTAGCATTGAATCAATGCTCAAGAACTCTATTCCGAATACTTGAGGTACTGATAATTAAGGATGTGAATTCCTTGGGTGCATTTGCTGTGGATGTTCTTAAACCAGATTTTTGCCACATTGATAAAGATCGAAGTGAAAACTCGTTTGCTGGTAACGAGATATGGCCCTGTTATGACTCCATAGATGGGATGCATCGGTCCTATGTCATGATACGTAATGTTATCTCTCCGGATCCATTCAAGGTGCGTATGGTTCGTCTTACTTCAGAGACAAACACACAAGGCAGGCAAAAATTATTACTAGACTGTAAGCAGCATCAGGTTAATTAGTATTCAGTGTAATATAGTGTATTTACTATTTTACCATTGGGTGGGAAATAAGAGCAGAGCTTGTAACACAATATTGATAGATCTTGTAATATATTGATTGCTCCGATGTTGTATATATGATTGTTCTTTCATTTTCATGAACACAATGAGACTAATGTTGTTTCCATCCAAACAAGACCAATGTTGTGTCCATCCAAACAAGACCATGTACACTGTACACATTGGTGTAATCTCTATAGAGGGGTTTCATAGAAAATCTCAATTCACAGTAGAAAGTAACTTGTTTCATTAGATTGGAAAGAAAGCAAGACGTATAGTTTTCTTTATCAAATGTTTCATGGACACTACTTTGGGAAGGAAACATTACATAGTGAAAAAAAGTATAGATTCAAAATCATAGCTTTGCATCTTGTTGCGTCTCGTCTGTTCTGTACTTCTGTCTCATTTAAATCAGGGGATATACTCATAGCGGCAAGACCCATGACCTGTGCCATTCATAGCCAGATCAGATTCAAATGGTTCACTATCTTGTAAGATTCAAGGGACTTAACCAGAAAGAGAGGGACAGAGAGAGCTTACTTGGGTCAAGCTCAGTGATCATAGCAGCACCTTTGAAGTAACAAGAACCACTTCTGTTCTTATAAGTTTGGTAGTAACTGTTAAATGCAAAAGAAGCATGATCTTTGATTGTGTTTGGCAAGAAGCAAGGCTGGTCTGGCTCCTGCATTTTGCTGCAGTCTGCACCGCCTTTTCCGCAAGCCCAGTCTAAGGCTGCCTGCAACTCATCGTCTGGTGTTTGTTCATCCGCTATGCACCATTGTTCTGACTCTGCCTCTGTTTATACATACATCTGATTCATCTGAAGAAGTCCAAAAAGGGAGATATAGGTGCACAAGTATGATATGTTTACCTGACTTTTGAGGAATTGTCATTGCTATGACAAGCAAAGCAAGAAGTATCCTTATCAAGAAAGTTGACATCTTTCCTCAAGAAGGCAAATGAGTGGAGCAGAGAGATTTTTCAGATCTGATCTAGTCAAGAATTTTGAGAGAGCTATACAAGAAAACGAATGCAACTTGACCTCTTTATAGTAACTGCCAAGAATCATCACTCACAAAAGTTCAAGATCTCTGATTTCAATTTTTTAAATGTGAACATCATGACTTGGGAATCTTAGCTTGCTTCAGATGCAATCATGTGCCAGATCTGCGTTTTCACTGGCTTTAAGGAAGATTTTGTTCTGATTCAGGAAGCTTCACAGAACACAGAGTCAACCATACGCTTCCCATAAAGGTCCATTACTATTACTACACATGCACAAGCTGTTTTTACAGTTAAAAAGAGGAGAGAGTTTGGGTTTTATATGAATTAATACAATGGAGCTATACACCAGAAATCTACTATACACACATGCAGATAACAAAAGACACCAAACTGGCTCTATACAAAGAGAAAGATTCTTCTCACACTAAACCAGAAGGTGTCTTCAAGGGACTGGTTCTTTGCCTCTTGATATCAAGTTGAATTTGCAGGCAATGGATGTTCAAGACTATACTACCCGATGTCAAAAAAGCTCTCGGGTCGACTGATTTATAATGCTACAAAAGCAATGGCTTTTTAAGTCACTTAACCGGACTCAAAGAATCTTGCTACCGCTGCGTAGAGAGCTTCTACTTCAAACGGTTTTGAGACATAACCATCCATTCCACATTTCACACATTCTTCATTAGTAGCCTGAATCACATCAGCTGTCATTGCTAATATCGGGACGTGCCAGCTACTGAATTTACTAAACATTTCAGCAGAAACCTCTCCAGAAGCTATCTTCTCGTTGATTTCCCTCTCCAGATCACGAACTCTCCTCGTTGCTTCGAATCTGAACACAAAAATGATCAAGTTATCAGGGACAACATTCAAGAAATCAAGATGCTGAAAGGGATATGATTGAAGAGATAATTTAGTTACCCGTCCATTTCAGGCATCTGGAGGTCCATGAAGCAAGCATCGAAGTTGTGAGGAGGCTTAAGCATAGCCAATGCAAGCTTTCCACTCTCAACACATGTAACAATAGCTCCATATTTCTTAAGTGCTCCTTCAGCGACTCTTCTGTTCACAAGATTATCATCTACAACAAGAATCCGTTTTTCTCTAAGCAAGTGTCCAAGATTGATCCGTTTTCTGTTTGGTTGCCTCTTCTTGCCATTGACAAGGGTTTCTTGCAAGCAACATATCAAGACACTCATACGAAGCGGCTTTATTACCACCTCGTCGATGAGACCAGAAGACTTCATCTCACTGCGCTCAACAAGAGTTGCAGAGGTTGCCAAAAGTAAAATCTTCGGTGGTCTTGTAGAGGTTTCTTTGCCAGTGGTAAGCAACTCGTCAAAGTCTTTCTTGTTCCAGGCGTCTTTGTCTATTAGAATCATAGCCAAATTCTCTGATTTGCTGCAAAGATTCCGGAAAATTTGCACTTTTTAGCAAACCAATGGAATGATACATTTCATTTCGTATGAAGTTGGAAGTCAAAAAACGAAACTAAATGTATGTAAGAGTACCTGACATATGTGCATGCCATTCTCAGACTTGTTACAATGTCTGCAAATATCCCTAATCTCTGAAGATGGTATTTAGTAACCTCAGCTCGAATGTTTCTTCTATCAACAACTAATGCCTTCAATCCTTTAAACTCCTGAATAGCTAGATCGAACCGTTCAAACTTAGTAACCGAAGAATACGTTTCTGCTTTCCCAAAAACACCAGTAAATGAAAAAGTACTTCCTATCCCAGGCTCACTCACAAACCCCATCTCTCCTTGCATTAGCTCAACCAAACGCTTGCTTATGCTCAAACCTATCCCGGTCCCACCATAAGTCCGTGATGTCGAACTGTCTGCTTGCATAAAAGGAGTGAATATCCGGCCTTGTGCGTCCACTGGTATGCCTACTCCTGTGTCCTCAACTGTAACTAGCAGTTTGATTTTATCAGAGTTATGATCCTCACTGCTGTGAACTGTCTTGAAACTCTTCCAGCTTCCCAATGCATTTACAGCAGGAAACCCGCTCACTGTCTCACCGGACTCGCTGCATCCTAAAGCTAGTCTCTGTTTTAACACTTCATCTTCGATATTAAGAGGCTCTCTCACCTCATCTGCAAGGTGCACTGAGATAAATATGTGTCCCTTGTCCTGTGTGAACTGTTATTACAGAAAGAACAAATGAGTACTATAGCAGTGTTAGAGAAGTATGTTGTTATGTAAGAAGTAAGAAACTGATTTACCTTAATTGAGTTTCCAACCAGGTTTGTGATTATCTGCCGGAACCGACTTGGATCACCAACCACAACATCAGGAACTTGACTAGAGACATAAACAGCCAACTGTGACAAGAAAGAGATTTCATTAGATATGGAATTTGTTTGCTATTTAGCAGCGTTAAGAAGAGGAAGTCATGCATTTTATATTTATACCTCAATTCCTTTTTCATTTGCCTTGCCAGAGAGGAGAGACGAAACATTATCCAGAACGAAACGCATATCGAAAGGAACATTCTCAAGCTCGAGCCTTCCTGATTCAATCTTTGCCTGATCAAGAACTTCATTTATCAGTGATATAAGATCCTTCCCACTGCCATGAGCAGTTTGAGCATAGTCCATTTGTTTCGCATCAAGCTCGGTGTCCATCAGCATTTTCAACATTCCTATAACAACATACTCAAACTTACAAACTTGGTTGGAAACTCAATGAGAACATGCAACAACAAAAGGATCAGTACGTAGAAAAAGTACCAAGAACACCATTCATCGGAGTCCGAATCTCATGAGAAACAGTTGCTAGAAACTGCATAAAAAAATAAGCATTTCAGTTAAAAGTAATTCTTGTTAAGCTTTTGAGACTATTTGATTCAAAGAATTTTACCTGTGATTTTGCAACGTCAGCGGCCTCAGCGCGAGCTTTCAGTTCCATCATCTTCTGACAATCCTCTTCAACTATCGCAATTCGAATGATGGCGTCATGGAAGATATAACCAACCAAGAAAGTAATAATAAGAACTAAGGACGATGATATTATTGCGGTCCAAGGAATGGGAAGCTTATGCTTAAACCTGTAAATGACATTTTCATACTTAAGAAAAGAGACGAGTGCAACATATCTTTACAGAAAGATCATTAGAGTAAGTGCTAAACCTGCAGTGCATCTCATGTTTCCTTGATGGATCACCAAAATCAAGACTACTTATGTGCTCTTCACTTATATCCCCAATTTCTGAGCCATACATTTTAATTAGACCCGAGGCGTTAGTTGTATCATAAACATCCACCACAATTGTCTGTTTGCTGGCGAGTTGATGAAGAAGTTTCTCCACCAGCGATGGCATATCATATGATGCCCCAAGGTACCTGTTTCATGTATATCTTATAAGATATTCTACTACAGAATATCATATCATTCTTTGCTACATAATTCATTTGCATTCCTAGAATCATTTTACTTCAGGAGAGAAGATCTTAAAAGTAAAAGCAGTACCCAATAGTTGCTTCAACACGCTGTTCATCTGTAGCGTCAGGTGGTAGGTTCGTGTCATAGACAGCAAAGGTCAAGACAACACCAAGATGATTTGACTTCAGAAGCTTAAACGGAGATGTTAATACTCCTTTTCCTGATGCTCTTGCCCGCAAGATGTTTTCTCTGTCTTCCTGCAAGATAGTAAAGACTTGTGAGTACTCTTTTTAACACATTGTTTTGGCAATAGGTAAGGAAACATTTTAGAGCATTACTTACTTCTCCTGACATCATATCGACCGAAACAATGTGTGAAACAGTTTCTTGAGCAAATATAACTGGCGCATATTCGTCTTGAATAGGTGCTGGGTCAAAGTTCTCAGGAACACAATCTTGAACAAGTGTTTGATCCTCAGTTTCCATTTTCTTTATTGCCCATCCATGCTCCTTTTCAAATTGCTCTCTTTTTGAGTGTGGGACTTTCAAAGCATACGCAACACCACTTGTAAGAGGCCTCTCAAAGTTTGTTCTCTCAGTATATTCACCAAAGGTTTTCTGTATAAATTGTAAAACAAGTTGATGAGATAAAGAAAAGTCTCAAGACACAAAAAAAAATGTTATTAGCAGTAGAAGAAAAAAAGACACATCACCTGATCAATAGCAGATGGAGTTTTCCCATGGTGAAAGGTTGATACAAGAATCGACAAGGCATGAACATGGTTGAGGCTAACATTGAACTGATCTTGTAACACACGGGCTCGTTCCTCACACATGTTTTCTAAAGTCTCCCTCCTTTTCAAGATGATCTTCTCATTGGTGTCCCAAAACCACCAAACGGACATGGAAACTCCTGCGATGACACCGAGGAGGAGGATGTTCTTCCTCCATTTTCCAGCCCCTCTACAACCGGTCTGAGCGCGTTGTTGCTGCTGATTTTGAGCTAAAGACTCTTGCAGAGACACTTTTTCTTTTGTCTCGGTTGGTGCTTTAGAATGAGAAACATAAATCTTATGGCACACTAATACACCAAGGAGTAGTAGACACCACCATGTGTTTCTCAAATAAGATGACAAATCCCAATCCTTCCCTTCTTCATAGTTTTCAGGTTCTCTGTGTTGCACTAAACTCTACACACAACCACAACAAAAGTTTTTGTGAGAACTAGATACTAAAATGTGAGGCATTTCTTCACATTGTGGTAGAATCAAATGTTATCTTACCTGTTCAAGATTATCAAAGACACGAACTTCTGATGAAATAGAATGTTCTAAGCCTGATGGATTAAGATTCCAGGGTCTATCTTGGTAGCTCTGAGTCTCTTGTTTCTCCAAACGCATGTTCAGGGAACATGTAACACCATAGTTTGCCCACATTCCAGGACTAGACTCTTTTCGACATTCAAAGGATGTTACCTGCAAAAAGTTGCAGAGAATTGTAAATTGATGGTAAAGTCTTTCCACAAGGATGTAACCTGCAAAAACTCAAATTTTTGTGGCAGAGGAAACAATAAACAAAGTCAATTCAGATTATTTACCTGATCTGAATCAGAGAACAGAGAGACCAAAGCTTGAATTTCACTCCTTGTGACGTTTTGATGTCTGTACAACACTCTAGCTTCTTCTCCATTACAAGAGCCTGTCTCCTCCTTCCGTGAGAACATCAAGACAACAATCACCAGAGAGGTCAAGCCACACAAAACCATGAAGAAGAAAAGAAGCTTTTTTATCCAATTCTCGCCACCGTTAGACTCTTTTGCCTTCTTTGAAGTGAGATTCGAGAGTTCACAAGTTATAGACATGTCGACTCGTGTCACCTTTGACTCAGATTCAGAGACGAAGAAAAGCGTAGGAATTCAGATCTCTCCGAACACAAAAAGACTAAAATTGTAACAACAGAACAACTTCATGATGTTAAAGCTGAGTTCTTGAAACCCCTCCAAGAAGAAGAAGAAGAAGAAGCTGTGACATCATAGTTTCGATGCGGAAAGCTTAAGCTTTTTCTTTTACTGGAACAAATTAAGACGCAAGACGACAAGACGAACCAAACCCAGTGGTTGCAATGAGAAAACTTGGAGAAAGACATTGTTTGAGTAAAGTTTTTGGAAAAGAGAAAAAGGACAAAGCTTTATCTTCTTTCATGGTTTCAGGGTAAATGCGTAAAGCCTTTTGCTATATTCAGATGTGTTAAGAAGCTTAAAGAAGAGAGAGACTTAGCTGGTGTCTCTCATTAACCAACTGGACTCAATGATCAGACTTTGGATAAAGAAAATAATTATGAAAAAGAATGTCACTTCTCTCTTCTTTTTACACAATTTTGGGAGTGTTTTTGTCTTTTGGTGAGCATTGAGGTTTTTGGGTCTATGATTATCTCATCATCTAAGGTGGGTAAGGTATTAACATAAAATTTAATTAAGTATAAAAAAGATATTGAAGAAATTAACAACAACCCAACTAGAACAAGAATCAATACCCCTCTTGTCCTAAAACCTACTCATTGTTATTTGTTTTTTTTGTTCTTTTGGTATTTGTAAATTGTTTTATGAGCATAACTTAACATCTACTCTAAAGATATGTATATCTTATTCTTTAATCAGTTTGTGTATCTTTGTCTCCCAACCATACTCATGATTCTAATATTTTTTTTGTAAGAAACTATTAGTAGCGAACTTATGCACGAAAGCCTATGATTTAATATGTTAATTATTTTGCACAAAAAATATGTTAACAATTTAAATAAACTGAGAACCTATGTCTTGAAATGGCCGCCAATTGGTCAGCAAAGTCACACTCAGCAAGAATGACATTTGAAATCTAGATAACACATTACCTCTAGCTAACCGGCAATATATAAATGGTGAACAATGTCAACTGATACACCCTACAACAAATACACTAATACTTGACTAAAACGTTCAGATTATAGAAACTTAGAGAAACGGATACGATGATTTTGATCTCCCATACATAGCACCAAAAGGAAACCGGCTCGGACTTTGGCTCTTGCTCTGTAGGGAAATTAGTCGGAGTGGAAATTTCTTCAATAAACAAATGAACCAAACTTAATTTTAATTTTGATTTAAACTTTAAGAAAATGATGTAAAAAAGACAAAAATTAAGAAAATATTGTAAGAATTTTTTTTTTCTTGGGAGACCAGTATAATATTAATCAAAAATAAACAAAAAGACTGTAAAATGAAAAAGAAGATTATGGACCTGATTGGTTGTGGTTGTAGCTTTAAATTTTTTGCTGTAGAATTTTTGCTGTAAAAGTTTTGGTTGTGATTGTAGATTTTAGTGCTGTAAGATTTTTATTGTAGATTGTGGCATTAAATACAACATTAAAACCAAAAAAAATAAGATATAGAAATAATAGATAAAAAAAATAAATGTTGAAAACATAATAAGGAAAGAGAAAAGGGAAAAATTTAAGAGCACTTAATTTTGTGCTCTAGAAAAATTGCTTTCCAAAACCACGGAATTTCCATAAACAAAAAAATTTTTTCTGCATTTCAAAAATGGAAAAAGATTAAATGAGAGCTTGATTGGTGATTTTGGATCGCTATACAGAGATTTAGTGCTCTTGAGAGCAATATGGATTTGTTTTGAGATTTTCTGGTCAATACATCAAACGGCGGTATTGAGAAAGAGAGAAAGAGAGATGTGACCTGACGTTACCAAATACTCTCCATATTTCATAAAGAGTGTTATTATATACTTTTTCACACATATTAAGAAAATCAATAAAAAAGTTATTTTACATAATAAATACATTAAGCTATATTTTCTTTCTAGTTAATACATTAATATAATAAGATTAAAACTATATTTTTATTAATAAAATTGTATTTGAAATATGTAAATTGACATTCTTTATAAAACAAAATAAAATATATACGAAGACTTATCAATTTATGTGAATGCCAACTAAGCAGAGTTACAAATGATTGTTTACTTTTTATTCATTATTATACTCTTTTTGTTTTCTTCGAAATTGAAATTGAATATATATATATATATATATATATATATATCTAAAGTCAATTACGTTTCCCGTACGTTGTTGCATGATCGAAGCATTACATATCAACCTATTCTATTATAATTAGCCAAAAAAATATATTTAAATAGTACTCAACGTGTTTTACCTCACACAAACTCTATATACAAAAAAATGTTTACAAAGACGCCATTCCATTCGCATTACATCTGGAAAGATTCAATAGAACTCAATCCACACCTATGGCATTTTGGCGCACCCTCCTCAGATTATTTTGTATACTTACATTTGTGCTTACGGCAATCTCAACACCACCTGAAGATCCTATCAAGTGTGTGTCAGGAAATACAAATTGTACGGTGACTAACTCATACGGAGCCTTCGCTGATCGTTCCACCTGTCGAGCCGCAAACGTGGCATACCCAACAACCGAAGCCGAGCTCGTCTCTGTCGTCGCTACAGCCACTAAAGCCGGACGGAAGATGCGTGTAACCACTAGATATTCCCACAGCATCACCAAGCTCGTTTGTACCGATGGAACCGACGGTTTGCTTATAAGCACAAACTTTCTAAACCACACGGTGCGAGCCGATGTAGAGGCCATGACTTTGACGGTTGAAACCGGCGTGACTCTTAGGCAGTTAATAGCGGAAGCGGCTAAGGTTGGATTGGCGTTGCCTTATGCACCGTATTGGTGGGGACTCACTGTGGGTGGAATGATGGCGACTGGGGCTCACGGAAGCTCATTGTGGGGTAAAGGCAGTGCTGTCCATGATTATGTGACGGAGATCAAGATGGTTAGTCCTGGCTCGGTCAGTGATGGGTTTGCAAAGGTTAGAGTCTTGGGCGAATCTATGACTCCTAACGAGTTCAATGCTGCCAAGGTTTCTCTTGGTGTTCTTGGAGTTATCTCTCAGGTTAGACTCATTAAATTTCTTTTTGTTTTCTTACGACAAAAAGTTAGTATATTATGAGCAAAAAGTCAGTATTTTGTGAGCAAAAAATCAGTATGTTGTGAGCAAAAATTAATGTATTGAGAGAATGATGAGATCGTTTAAACAAAAATCTAGAAGATTATTAGTATTTGGCTTTGGTCAATAATCTTTTAGATATTTTTTTCTGAATAATTTGGTTATGGTCGATCTCATCGATCTCCCAATATAAATCATACTTTAAAGTTTGTAACTCATTTTAACCACAATTGTTTAGTAGTAAACATTTTTTTTTTTCATGAAAGGTAACTTTTAAGTTGGAACCGATGTTCAAGAGATCTTTAACGTATACTATGAGAAGTGATTCGGATTTTGGGGAACAAGCCATGACATTTGGAAAGAAACATGAGTTTGCCGATTTCATATGGTTACCAAGCCAAGGAAAAGTAGTGTATCGAAGGGATGACAGTGTTCCGGTCAACACATCGGGCAATGGTTTGTTCGATTTGGTGTTGTTCCGTTCACAGCTCTCCGTGGCAATCACCACCATAAGATCATCAGGTTCTTACTTATCTTTCTCTCTAAATGTTTTGTTAAGTGTTTGCATTAGTAAAAAAATAAACTAAGGTACAATCTTTCTCATCATATTTTTCCCTAAACATGATTTGATCGAAACTCTCATTTGTTCGCATTTCAAAATGTTACATTTTCATTTGGAGTCCTTTTTAAATTTTCTTGTATGAAATTTTAAACCGTTAACTAAAAACAAAAGATCTCAACAAAATCTTTGCATCATGTGGCCAAATTATGTAGATGTAGTTGGTCGATAATTGAACAGGGTGGACAGAGGTAATTAATGAGGTGATTCTTGAATTAGTATTCTATAAAATTAATTATAACTCCCTGGCCCAAGAGATTATCGAATCACGATTTCAATAGTTCTAGTCAGAACATGTATTCTCTAGATTCTATGTATCTAAATTTTACACATAAGTTTAATTTTTATTTTCTTGTATACCTATCAAGAGGAGACGCAAGAGACGTTGAGAGATGCGAATGGGAAGTGTGTAGGAGCCAAAGTACTTACATCTGCACTGTTTGCTACCTCATACGGTTTGACCAACAATGGTACTTAAGTTTCTTCAAATTTTCGTTGACTTTTACATAGAATACATTTACTTACCCCTACCTTTATATATGTTTCCAAAAAATTATTGGCTTTAGGCATTATATTCACCGGTTATCCAGTCATTGGAAGCCAAGACCGTATGATGTCGTCAGGGTCGTGTCTTGATAGCCTTCAAGATGGATTGATCACGTCGTGTGCATGGGACTCACGAATAAAAGGCGAGTTTTATCATCAAACAGCTATCAGTGTTCCTCTAACACACGTTAAAAGTTTTATTAACGACATCAAATCTCTTATCAAGATCGAGCCGGAATCTCTATGCGGCATTGAACTCCATTTTGGTATTCTAATGCGTTACGTCACATTGTCTCCGGCTTATCTAGGGCACGAATATGAAGCCCTAGAGTTTGATATAACTTATTACCGAGCTAAGGACCCCTTAACACCTCGGCTATATGAAGATTTTATTGAAGAAATCGAGCAAATTGCATTGTTCAAGTATAATGCATTGCCACATTGGGGTAAGAACAGAAACTTAGCGTTTGATGGAGTTATTAAAAAGTACAAGAATGCGCATGCATTTCTGAAAGTAAAAGAAAGCTATGATCCGACCAGTTTATTTTCGAGTGAATGGACCGATCAGATCCTTGGAATCAAAGGACACGCGACGATTGTGAAAGATGGATGTGCGTTGGAAGGTTTGTGTGTATGTTCGGAGGATGCTCATTGTGCTCCGACCAAAGGATATTTGTGTCGGCCGGGAAAAGTTTACAAGGAGGCTAGGGTATGTACACGTGTCAGTGGTGTAAGTGTGATTCAGTGAACAAGTTATTAAACTTCATTGCTTCTTATATCTCATCTTTATAGGTGATTCCATGTATTGTTTATGACAAGATATTACTTAAAATTTTGTAGTAATTAATAATAGTGTTGGATGCAAGAAAAAAAATATTGGAAATTATCGTGATTACTAGAGTAATAGTCATATGCATAAGCGTGGGTGCGTGGGTTGTCCGTATTTTCATTTTTAGACTTGATACGTGGTTGTCTTATATCCGACTATTTGAAACCAAAGTAACTCGCATGAAGTAAAAGAGACGAGTAAAAAACCAAAATGACATTGGCTACATGTTGATACTTAAGGTTAACAAAGAAGAAAGAAATACAGAATCGTAAGAACAAGCAACAACAACAACAACAACTCAAACTATGTTTTGAGTCTTTAACATTGATAATACAACAGCTCCAATGAACAAACAGAGGCTTGCCTGTATATAGTTCCTGATACAATAATCTAGAAATCTGGTAAATATTAAAGAGAGTTGGGGTTTTCCTACACTGAGTCAAAAACCGTTGCATGGCAATATATAAAGCTCTTACTCTTGTCTCTTGCAGCAACAGGTGAATGATACATTAATATCAATCAGGCTTTTGCTCCAGTGTGAAGCAACTCCTCAGGTATAGCAGCTGGGTCCAAGTCCCAGCAGTTTCCGGGCACACCACTGGTCTCTTTAAGAAACCAAGATGGCACTTGATGCGAAAATCGCAGCATCTCTCTCCTCGGTATCCACTTTCTACTCTCTTCCTCCTCCTCTTTCCTACAATACACGGTTTTGTAACCCTCTACTTTCACAAGCGGGGCGATGCAAACCCCAAACTGTTCAGAATATTCATCAAGGATCTCAACCATCTCGTACTGGTGCCTCACTTCATCTGGTGTTGAGTTGTTCCAGTTTGGTGACCAGTTCTTGTACACAGCCCAAATATCTCCGGTTTTGGGGAATATCCTAACACAACCGCCTCTTCCCGTCTTCCTGTCTTTCAAGAGATGGGAAAATATGTTAACGTGGTCCACTATGTCAGTGCTCCGTATCCTGAAATGTCCACACGACTTTGTAAAACCGTACTGCACCCATTTCATTGTACCAAACTCGATGTCAGTTTTGGAGCTCAGGTAGGCTATGTCAATCTTAAAAGGTTCAACAGAGAGCACTTCCCGGATCACGCAATATAACCGTGGCATGCCATCATCTTCATCATAGATTGCCCATATTTGCCTGGCCTCAAAGCAATCCTCTGATCTGTTCTTATCGAAGTCGTGGAAGTCGGAGTCTGGAACTGTTATCGGTCCGTTTATTTTCCGGACAGATTGATGGCCAGAGGAAACATAACTTCCTGCTCTGGATACATCATCTCCTACCTTGGAGGAGGCTTTTATTTCATCAAGGGGACTCGCTTCCTCTGTAGCCGCTGCTGCCTCTGAAGCCAATCTTATCATCTCTAGTCTTTGCTGAATGTTTGTTTTAGCTTTGTTAATCAACAGCTTCCGCGTATCCAATCCTGTTGCAGCAGACCACCTCCTCGTTGAACCATAACTATGGCCAGGATGTTTAGCATCAGGTTCCATGTTTACATCCAAATCCGTTGCTTTTGGTACTGGATTAGATTTTGGAGTGTTCTCAACAAATCCATTACCAGATGCCCCAAAACCAACATTCCTCTTCTTCTCATGTCTGCTGGCCTTAATCACCGAAGGATCAGCATGCCAATTGGGTGGGCTCGGATATATCAGATCAGAGGCTGTGCTTTTCATCGAGCTTGTCCTGTGAGCGCTTTCTTTAAGTTTCTTTCTTCCCCTAGAGACTACTCCATTGTTGAGCTTATAAGGATATCCGTTGGCCGCTGAAGCCGCTGAAGACATGCGGTTTGATTCCATATTCGCAGGAGATGTTCCCACGTATGAGTTCCAGTTATATGACTCATTTGTAACATATTCATATCCATGTGCAGGATACTGGCCTAAGTAGTAAGTGGAATTGGCAGGCATGCCATGAGCTCCATAGCCATTACTTGTTGTATGAGATGGAGGCGCATACTGAACTGATGCACTAACAGGAGCCGGCCCAGTCTCCACAGCAATGAATGCTCCTCGACAGTTCTTACATGAAAGCCGCTTGTTCACATACTTCCGAAGATACTCATACTGAACTTTGCAAGAGGTGCATACAGTCCAGAAAGTATCAAGTCTTTCTGAAGCCGGTGGCGGTGGTGGATAACAACCAAATCCTGCAGTCCCGGGGACATACTCGGTGCTGATGTTCTTCTCAACCACCGTGGAGTCAATAAGTTTCTTTCTCTTGTAATAGAAAGTGCTCTTCTTGAACTCATTCGACAGGAAAGTCCACGCTTCAGATATGATCTGGAAAGCGCCGTTGGCTCCAAGGCATTTGTTCTTGTCAGGATGAAGCAATACAGCCATCTTCTTGAACTGTTTCTTCACTTCTCTTTTCCCAGCTGATGGTTTTAGTCCAAGAACTGCGTAGTAATCAATTTCCCCACTGCGTCTACTCTGAGAAGCTAAGTAAACTTCGTAGGTCGTGACCATCTGAGACAAACCCTCCAACTCTGGAAACAGTGACCTCGCCCTCAACGCATAACTCCTTGCGCCTGTAAAATCTTTTTCAGCAAATCTTCTCTCAGCGATATGCTTCGCTTTGAGCGCCTCTTCTCTATATGCTTCCATGTAGAATCAGGTCACTTTTTCACCAACACTTTTGCAAAAGGAAACTAAGACCGTCCTTGCAAGCTAAATCGCACAAAGTTGTCCATTTACAAGCACCATAAACATCATTTTATCTGCAACAATTCACCAAGGTTTTAATTATTATCTACGGTCACTAAACCAAATACTCAACCAAAGAGGTCAAAATACAACATTCTAGAATCGAACACACTACAGAAAAAATCGCACTCACTAAAGAACAATGCTTAGCTCAACTTTTACTAGAATCAACTTCGCATTCAAGATCAACCTCAAAATCCTTAAAGTAGAAAGTAAACCCACTTCTCCAAGCTTCATTTTGGAAACAGTTTATACTTAACATCTTTCAGAATTATCAAGTAGATTTGGGTATTTTTAAGCATCTTAAGGTCAAAGTAGTTAAATTTCTCTCCTTTCTCGACAAAATTTTCAGTTTGAAACAGCTACATCGTCAAATGTTAGCTAATAAAACCCAATAAGCTACAATAAAGGCTACTTGGATTTCGCTAATTTTAACCTAACAATCCACAATCAAAATGGTAGCGAGAAAACCAAAAAAAAATGTCGATTTCTCAAAAGAAAAAAGGGATATAGCTAACGATCTTACTGAGATTTTGTGCAGAAAATGGGAACAATGCTGTAAATCTACCACAGCAGATTCTTCTTCCAGAGCTAGAACAGATCAAGCTCGGCGAATCCTAGCTTAAACACGCCCAAATCCCAAGAGATTGTAGATCCACTAAACTTAAATTAGGGTTTCCGATGAAGTGGGATTCACACATCCCCGAATGAATTGCCGGCGAACAAAGCTCGAGATTTGCCCTCGATCGGCAATCGAAAATTTAGGGGAAATTAAGGATAAATAAAAAAACAGGTATTTCGATATTATTTTTTGTTTGGTTAAATAATTTTCACAAGTGAAAAGTAAACTAAACGATGCTAATTTGCTAATAGTACTTTATGCTATCGTGCACTGTAGTGAGCAATGCGCATTTATATTTTTTAAAACTTTTTTAAATCATATTTCTTTTTTATAATCATAAATTGATAATACTTATGAAAATATTTTTAAGAGCCATTGGAGGTAAAACTCAAAACATGAAAACTTTAGTCTCCCGCCAATGTGGCACACAAATTTGCTCATGCTTCCCATATAAACTAGCCAACACTCCTTTGTATTAGTAATGGTTAGTTATACTAATTGAGTTATCAGGATAAAATCTATCAAACATAATGAATTCTGAAAAAAAAAAAAAACAATCGGAAGATATAAAAATATTGAATGAAGCCAAAAATAAAAACATACAAACCGATAACCAGTTCAGTCCAAAAACAAGTGTCACACTTATGGGCAAAACTTTACTTCGGAATCCAATAGTATCTTTTATTTCATCCTCGGAAATTTCTAGTGATGACAATCTTTCTTCCTATGTTGTTGTACAATTTTTTTTCTCTTATATTACAATTCATGTTACACACAATATGAGGATAAGAAAGACTTGGCTGAGAGTTGATTATCTTAAGAAGTTGGAAAGGTTTGTAAATAGTTTAGTTGGAATTGCAGAAAATTGTATATTTGAAATATATATCAAAATATTTTACTATGATGACTTTAAAAATCTAAAAAAATATACCTAGTAAGAACTAATTAGATGGCTCAATCATCTGGCGATCTTTATGTGTAGTTCCATATATTTTTTTTTTTTGTTAAAGGTGTAGTTCCATATATTACTTGTAATAATGTTGGGATGCAATAAAAAAAATATATTGGAAAGTTTCGTGAGGCAAGATGCTTAATAATTTCGTTCTCTTGGTTGACTGCCAATCACAAGAATTATTTATACTAGAGTAAGATAAGCCTTAGGTTGTCCATATTTTCACCATTAGTCAGTTTGAATTAGACTTTTAGCGTCTTTATTTGGTTAGTTGATCCTCAAGTGATCAAAAAGGCACTGAATGCCAATGGGTATACTATAGTTGAGCCTCTTACTGGGTCAGAAGTAAAACTGATTTCTTATGATGTTTGAACAGTTGGAACCAAAGTACTCACATGAAGCAAGAAATACTAAGGTTATCAAAGAAACAAAACGATATCGGCTACATTTTGATACTAAGGTTAACAAAGAAAGAAAAAAATACAGAATTGTAAGAGCAAGCAACAACAACAACAGCTCAAACTATGTTTTGAGTCTTTAACATTGCTAATAATACAACAGCTCCAATGAACAAACAGAGACTTGCCTGTATATAGTTCCTGATACAATAATCTATAACTCCTGTGGATATAGAGAGTTGGGTTTCCTACACTGATATAATATTAATATCAATCAGTTTTTGCTCCAGTGTGAAGCAGCTCCTCAGGTATAGCAGCTGGGTCCAAGTCCCAACAGTTTCCGGGCACACCACTGGTTTCGTCTTTAAGAAACCAAGATGGCACTTGATGCGAAAACCGCAGCATCTCTCTCCTCGGTATCCATTTCCTACTTTCTTCCTCCTCTTTCCTACAATACACGGTTTTGTAACCCTCTACTTTCACGAGAGGGGCAATGCAAACCCCAAACTGTTCAGAATACTCATCAAGGATCTCAACCATTTCGTACTGGTGCCTCACTTCGTCTGGGGTTGAGTTGTTCCAGTTTGGCGACCAGTTCTTGTACACAGCCCAAATATCTCCGGTTTTGGGGAATATCCTAACACAACCGCCTCTTCCCGTCTTCCTGTCTTTCAAGAGATGGGAAAATATGTTAACGTGGTCAACAATGTCAGTGCTCCGTATCCTGAAGTGTCCACACGACTTTGTAAAACCGTACTGCACCCATTTCATTGTACCAAACTCGATGTCAGTTTTGGAGCTCAAGTAGGCTATGTCAATCTTGAAAGGTTGAACAGAGAGCACTTCCCGGATCACGCAATATAACCGTGGCATGCCATCATCTTCATCATAGATTGCCCATATTTGCCTAGCCTCAAAGCAATCCTCTGATCTGTTCTTATCGAAGTCATGGAAGTCAGAGTCTGGAACTGTTATCGGTCCGTTTATTTTCCGAGCAGATTGATGGCCAGAGGAAACATAACTTCCTGCTCTGGATACATCATCTACTACCATGGAGGAGGCATTTATTTCATCAAGGGGAGTCGCTTCCTCTGTAGCCGCTGCTGCCACTGAAGCCAATCTCATCGACTCTAGACTTTGCTGAATATGTGTTCTAGCTTTGTTCATCAATAGCTTCCGCGTATCCACTCCTGTTGCAGCAGACCACCGTCTCGCTGAACCATAACTTTGGCCAGGATGTTTAAACTCATGTTCCATCTTTACATCCAAATTTGTTGCTTTCGGTTCTAGATTAGATTTTGCAGTGTTCTCAACAAATCCATTGCCAGATGACCCCAAACCAACATTCCTCTTCTTCTCAGGTCTGCTGGCTTTAACCACTGAAGGATCAGCAGACCAATTGGGCGGGCTCGGATATATCAGATCAGAGGCTGTGCTTCTCATCGAGCTTGTCCTGGTCGATCCTTCTTTAAATTTCTTTCTTCCCCTCGAGACTACTCCATTGTTGAGCTTGTAAGGATATCCGTTGGCCGCTGAAGACATACGGTTTGACTCCATATTCGCAGGAGATGTTCCCACGTATGAGTTCCAGTCATACGAGTCATTTGTAACATATTCATATCCATGTGCAGGATACTGGCCTAAGAAATAAGTGGAATTCGTAGGCATGCGTGACACTGCATCATAGCCATGAGCTCCATAGCTATTACTTGCTGTATGAGATGGAGGCGCGTATTGAACTGATGCACTAACAGGAGCCGGCCCAGTCTCCGCAGCTATAAATGCTCCTCGGCAGTTCTTACATGAAAGCCGCTTGTTCACATACTTCCGAAGATACTCATACTGAACTTTGCAAGATGTGCATACAGTCCAGAAAGTATCAAGTCTTTCAGAAGCAGGTGCTGGTGGACAACAACCGAATCCTGCAGTCCCGGGGACATACTCGGTGCTGATGTTCTTCTCAACCACAGTGGAGTCAATAATCTTCTTTCTTTTGTAATAGAAAGTGCTCTTCTTGAATTCATTCGATAGGAATGTCCACGCTTCAGATATGATCTGGAATGCGCCGTTAGCTCCAAGGCATTTGTTCTTGTCAGGATGGAGCAATACAGCCATCTTCTTGAACTGTTTCTTCACTTCTCTCTTCCCAGCTGATGGTTTTAGTCCAAGAACTGCGTAGTAATCAATTTCCCCACTGCGTCTACTCTGAGAAGCTATATAAACTTCGTAGGTCGTGACCATCTGAGACAAACCCTCCAACTCTGGAAACAGTGACCTCGCTCTCAACGCATAGCTCCTTGCGCCTGTAAAATCTTTTTCTGCAAATCTTCTCTCAGCGATCTGCTTCGCCTTGAGTGCCTCTTCTCTATATGCTTCCATGTAGACTCAGGTCAGTTTATCACCCAACACTTCGCTTTGAGTGCCTCTTCTCTAAGATCGTTCTTGCAAGCTAAATCGCACAAAGTTGTCCAATTACAAGCACCATAAAGATCATTTTATCTGCAAAGGATTCACCAGAGTATAACTATTATCAGTATTTGGCAAATCGTAAATGACAACATTTTCACACGGAACACAAAAGAGAACCAATCGTACTCACTAAAGAACAATCCTTTGCTCAGCTTTGACTAGAATCAACTTCGAATTCAAGATCAATCTAGAGTGTAAAACCAGGTAAATCCTCAAACAGAAAGTAAATCCACTTCTCCAAGCTTCATTTTAGAAACATTACATCTTTCAGAATCACAAAAACCCTCAAGTAGATTTGGGTATTTTTAAGCATCTTGAAGTCAAAGTAGCTTAAATTTCTCTCCTTTCTCGACAAAAATTTCAAGTTGAAACAGCTACAGCGTCAAATGTAAGCTAATAACTTCCACAAAAGAAATCACGAAAAAACCCAATAAGCTACATTAAAAGCTACTTGGATTTCGCTAATTTCTAAACCTAACTGTGGAGAGGGAAACAAAAAAAATCGGTGTAATCGAGAGAGAAAGAGATACAGTTAACGATCTTACTGGGATTTTGCGCAGAAATGGTAAAAATGCTGTAAATCTATCACTGCAGAGTCTTGTTCCAGCGGATCAAGCTTGACGAATCCTAGGCCTGGCTTAAACACGCGCAAATCCCAAGAGATTTCGGATCCAGCGAGTAAATTACACTTAAATTGGAGTTTCCGGTGAAGTAAAGCTCTGAGATTTACACATCCCGAATAAATTGCCGGCGGAAAGCTCGAGATTCGCCGTCGATCGGCAATCGAAAATTTAGGGGAATTGGGGATAAATAATAATAATACCTATTTTCATTTTTCGTTTGGTTTAAGTAATTTTTTTTCACAAGTGAAAAGTAAACTAAACGATGCTAATTTGCTGATAGGTGCTTTTTGCTATCGTGCACTGTAGTGAGCTGTACGCATTTATATTTTTTAAGAACTTTAAATCGTATTTTTAACATTTTAAATCATCATATTTCTAAACATTTCTATAACATAAATAAAATCGTTATGAAAAATAATTATAGGAGCCATCATCTGTAAAACTCAAAACATGAACACTAGTCTCCCGCCAATGCACACACAAATTCGCACCTCGCCATCAACATCCCATATAAACTTGTAGCATCACTCCCTTGGACTAGTTATTACTTATTAGTGAGTGAACCATTATAAACACTACATCAATCAAATTCAACATGAGTTTTAACTATTTATGAAACATCACACGCAATAAAGTATTGCTAAATATTTTACAACACATCATAACACTTAAGAGAAACATGTATTCAGAATCACACATAAGTACAAGGTACAATGCTCTTGGATGAACGGTTTCTATACTTATTGGCTTCACTATCATATCTATCATATATGGATCCTAGTTTCGAGTATTTCGACACATTACCTTTGGTTTTCCCTAAAGTTTTACCAGAACGACATTAACTTATTTTCTTTCTTTCTCTTGCTGTTTCTCTACATAGGTTTCTATGATTTTGAGAGTGTGAATTTGTTTAGGATGTGGAGCCTTGAAGGGGAATTAATTTGGCGATATAATACTAACTTAGCAGCCTTCAATTAGCTATGATAAATATAAATGACTAAAATGCAAAATGATTCGAAATTGGCCTTTTGGAATCAAACACCAGCCAACCTCGAGTATATAAGGAGGTTCTTTTTGGAGATGTCTCCAAGATAATTGAATTTAAGCATCTCATACTAATAACAAAACGCTGGATCTCACGATTCACATTTTAAACCCTTCAGTTTTACTCATTATCACACTTCGTATAAAATATGTCTTTTTGATCAAAATTAACATTTGGAAACAATTTTACAAATAATAAGCTTAATAAAACAATTGGAAAATGAAGAAATTACAAAGAAAACAAACAACATCTCGTACAAACGTAAGATTTAAGAACCCTAAAACGTTGTCAGAGAGATAAAATGAAAAAGCGAAATGCAAAAGTCCACTTTGTTTGGTTTTAGACAAAAACAGTAACATACTTTTGGTCAAACTCTGTAAGAGAGAATCAATCTCTCTTGTTAAATCTCACCCCTCCTGTCACCATCTCCCCCCTCAGTCACTTTCCCAATTAAATTTTAACTCAGAAACCCTACATAGCCTCATATACACCTAGGTTTAGGGTTTCGCTTTTTCAGAGAAAAATAGTTTCTTTTTCCTTTTAATCTTAATCACAAATTATAATCTGGTACGCTACAGTGCACCGAAATCCCATAGATGTATAGTACTCACAGCAGCCGTCGATGAAGATGAAGATGAAGCAACTGCCACATGTCTATCATCGGCAACAATAGCGTCAACTTCTCCTACTCTCTCTCTAACACTATACAGATACTCTCCTCTCTCTACTTCCCACACGCGCATCACTCCTCCTGCGCACATTAGCGCGTGCAGTCTATTAACACACCCCATCACTCTTCTCTGCGCCGCTCCACTCACACGGAACTCACACACAACTTCCTGCGTCCTCACCCTGCGCACGATAACGTTACCTCTACTGTCCATTCTAACGTAAGCGTCGTCGTTAGCGTCAAAACCAGTCACTAATAGTCCTCTCCGTTGCTCTTCGTCTTCTCCGATGATCACTCCTTGGTTTCTAAGATCAATCGCCATGATCCTCCACCGAGTACACGCCACCGCCGTTTCTCCGCCGGAGATTCTGAGCCGGCCAAGGGACGTCGTTAGCTCCGTTAACGTGTGCCATCCCATGACAGCTTCTGGATCGGTGAGCGAACCACCGACGAATGTTGTCTCTTCGCTGTTACAATCCCAAATGTGAAAGGCCCGACCCGGGACGCCAGCGAAAAGCCCGACCCAGTAACGTCCACATCCAGCGAAATCCACTAACGCACCGTCGTTAACGATATCCCCGGCGTAAGCCGTGCGCGTGTGAGTACCAACACCGTTAATTTCCGCCACGTGGATGTCTCCGTCCATCGTGGCGAAAACCAGTCTTGAGTCGGAGATAACAATGCCTGAGACCGCTCGTGAGAATCTTCCGAACCTGTCACGTAGAGGCGGACGTAGAGTCCTGACATGGAGACGGTTGTTCAAGAGAAAGAGCCGGACGGTTCCGTCGGCGAATCCGGCGGCTAAATAGAGATCGGAGAGTGTGAGACAGCGGCAAGAGAGGCTATCCGGTTCGTCCACGTCGGACGTATCAAAATCGAGCGTAGAACGAACGTAGTTACGAGACCGGAAGTTAGTAGCCGTCCGATGACGATAGATAAACTCGTCTCGCCACGTGTCGTGCATCAAACGTGTTCTTGCCCAAACTTGGCGTGAGATAAGTTGCCATAGATGGTCGGAACGTGAGACAGCTTGCCACGTCGTGCATACCTGATACATAATTAAAGCAAATATTAGTACAAACTGACGGAATTAATTAGCTTTTAATTAAATGTAACAGTAGTTTAAGTTAAATAAATAAATGAAGGACAGTAAAAAATTAGACATGGAAAGAAGATAAGTAGGCCTGCGACGAAGCATGAAAGACAACAAAATAGGGACTAGGAAGTATTGAAAGACAAAGACAGACTCAGACACAAGCTCTGGCGTATATTTGTCTTACTGTCTTACTCATCGAATATACAACTTTATTTATGTATAATGTGTTCAATTGACGCGACTAATCAGTATCTGCAAGCTACAGATTTTACAAAAGAAGACCCTAGTTAAAAGGAATAACGAGAGAAAGCCCTAGTCCCATGTCAAATTTTTTTTTCTACAAAATTTATTAGAAGACAGATGAAGATATTAAATGAGAGGAGAGGAAGTAACAGAGTTAAGCTGAACATGAGATTACGACTTTGCCAACAAGCGTGCCCTTCTCTCTTTCATTTCCAAGAAAGGATAGCTTTAAGCCTTTGTCTTGTTAAAAGTAGAGCTTCCCATATATATACAAGTTTTACACTAATATATACGTTTCTCTCTCTAATCTCTCTCCAAGAATCCGTGGACCTACATTCTCCACATTTACGTATATGTGCTATTTCTTTGACTTTCGTACTATACTCTCTAGAATCTCACTTTTGAACTCAAATTTTAAAAGAAAGAAAAAGACCTTCGAAACCAAAGGTGTCTATTATTCCAATACAACAACAATTATTTAGGGGAACGATCACGATCAAAACATGTACTCAACTTTAGACAATTTAATAGAGTAAACTTGTGATTTAAGATGGAGACAACTAACTAGACTTTTACTTACAAATCGGTTATAAGCTACAATATTTAGATTTTATGCATTAGATAGAGAATGTATTGCCTACTGCCCACATGTGGTCAACTTGGAGAATAGCAGAATATGAACTAAATATAATAGGCAAAATATGTTGGAGTAGCAAATCCATTTTGTTATTATGCAAACTACCAATCAAGAATCAATAATCAAATGCATTCAGAAAATCAATTTTGTTAGCTTAGTAGAATATTTTATATCAAATGCAAGAAGATAATAGTATAATTTAGAGACACCACGTGCTGGTAAGTGTAAAAGACCCTTAACATTGGGTTCCATGTGCTTTTCGGCATAAGTAGTGCCCATACTTTCTTTCTCTTTTGACTGAAAATATTAAGGAAAGAAACAAAAGCTAAAACCCACTTCGATGGAAAAGATGAATCCATGATCAATTTCAAAGTGTAAAACAACAAGGAAAGCTCTATGTTTATACCCTTAAATCTCTGACAAAAGTGTTTTGCTGTAAACCACACTGCAGTTTCTTAAATATATTTTAGGCCTTTAGGGTCAAATTTGAAAAAATATGTATATAGAAAAGGCCTTGGAACTAATAAAGATTTTACATATATAGAGAGAAGAAAAAAAAGAGAATGAGAAGTTGTCAGAAGCTCTGCATGCATTACTCACTGGATCATAGAAAAAAATAACAAAAGCAGCAAGCAAAAAATGTACATATGTACTCGTATAACTATTCCTCGTTACTATATATGAGAAAAAGCCTAAACATTATAAATATATATACATATATCGTTGATGAACAAAAAAACAGCAATTTACATATGATATAGGAGTATTGAAAAGAATAATATATATGGTTGATATGATCCATATAGTTTCAATGAATGTAGATAACAACCTAATGTGGTAATATAAGACTTACATTGGCAAGGCAAAAGACAGGGCCTTACTTAGGTTTTTTTTCCATTCTCTTTTTAGATGTTCTTAAATGTGCAACGATATTTTCTAATTTTACGAGTCTGTCGTTGTGAGAGGTCACTTTCTAAGATTTGATCTTCAGATTTTTGGAAGATAAATACCGTTAGATATATATAAAAATAATTATTAAATGTCTTGGGCATTGGGTTAGATACTGTGCCTATTGTCTATCAACAATTTTCTGGGTCAAGAAAGTGTTTAAATTGATGTTAAAAAAAAAAAAAACAAAAGAAAAGAAAGTGTTTAAATTAATTATTGTTGCCAGGACTTTTGAGTCAAAAGAAGTGGAATTCTTGATCTTAAAAAAGGTTTACATGCCAAGAAAGAAAGATCGTAAAGCCAAAAAATCAAACAAAGAACCTTGATATTGTTGCCCTAATGGATCCAATTCATATTATAATATTAATATTAGAGTTACATGTCCCAAATTTCACAAAGATACACAATATGAAATGGGGTTATATGGTCTCCTTTGAGGATCCAAAAATAGACATTAAAAGGTATCAGAAGTTGACGAGAGAACAAAGAAATAAACTTATTGGGTAAATGGAAGACAAAAAGTTTCCAAACGTAAAAAAGAAAAACAAAGCCCCAAAAACCATATGATATATTGAAAGAGACATCAAATTAATGTCGTCTTGTTAGACATAAAAGTTGGACTTGGACCCATCATAAAAACACAGAAAGGGCGGTTACCTTTCCAAAGGTCAGTTTTTTTTTTTTGAAATTTTTTTGTGGTCTCTTCAGAATCCCACTATTAGAAACTACATTCACATTCAATGTTACTTCATCACTTAGTTATGAATTTATGATCTAGAGAAGAAGGACGTGATTTCTAATTGGATATCAAAAATAAAGGTATGCAAAATCAAATCTAAGCTTACAAATAACAACAACAACTACAGTACAAGACTTTAAAACAAGCAAGTACATTTGACTAGACCAAGATTGTGTCCCTCTCCCCTGAGGTTATAGACCCACAACTACTTTGACTTTGTTTTGTCTTTGTTAGATCTATGTGGCGAATATTTTCAAGCTCGAATATTAAACGAATTCAGATAGTGACATGTACGTCGAGCGAGAGATCTACTATAAAAATAAAATGAATAGTATGTTTTTGTTGTAGTGTTTATGTATCTCGAACGTTACGAAACTAAAATAAGGTAATTAAAAGAACTGACCCGAAAAACGTTGGCAAGAGCCGGAGCTGCGGCGAGACGACCGGCGGTTAAGGAAGCGTCGACGGCGACTTGAACAGCGAGGGATTCGAGGAAAGGCTCCGGCCAGACGTCGTTGGCGCCATGTCGAGGGCGGGAAGGAGATGGAGCTTCGTAAACGTCGCCGCTTCTACCGGCGCCGGAGGTAGAACCACCGTCGGTGTCTCCGTCGTCGGAAGAAGAAGAGGAGGAAGACATGAGAAGGTTTTATAAGAAGGTGAACAGTGGGAGAAGGAGAAGAAGAAACGGAGAAAGAATGGTGGGGGAGAGAGGAAACAAAGGACAAAAAGTGTAGATAAAGACACACTTCTACGAGGTGGGGGACCCAGGTTGTGGAGGTATGTTTTTTTTCTATGTATTTTTTTGTCTTTATTTATTTATTTTTATATAAATGAGACAGAGCTATAGAAAAACCTTCAAATAAATCAAGGTATTGGTTCAAACTGGTGACTAGTTTACCGGATTTTCAACTTTAAAATGCTAAAAACAAAAAGAAGAAATTTCTCCTCCTCGCATTGTATTTAGTTAAATGACAAAAATATCAGGTGTTTGTCATACTTCTTAAGTCGGTTTAAATTTCAGTTTGCAATTTTAAAGCTGTAAAAGAAGAAAAATCAATATCTTGGGTTTTATCTTGTGTTATATTATTTGAAAACTCCGTCTATTGTCAATATTTTCGTTTTAGAAATATGTAAAAACATGTTTTCCTTAAATTTGGAAACACGATTAAAAAACTTATTTACGTTTTCGAATATACGAAAAACTTACTTTAAAAAAACATAATTAGTAAACAATTAAGAAACATAAAATGAGATTAAGTAATTGATGAGATTAATCTTGACATTACTGAGTTTGAAGAAATTATCTCAATGAACTCAAGTTGGCATAGGTATGGTTGATGGAGCAAATGAAAATGCTAAAAAAAATGATAATAAAAAAAATCTTCTAAACCTTTGAATTTGACCGTTATAATATTTATTTTTAATATGAATAGTAATCCATTAAACTAACCCAACTAAAACACATAAACCAAAACTGACTAAAAAATAATGTCCAAAAAAGAAAGAAGTGAAATTGCAACACCTTGTCATCGTTTATGTGTTCTTGTTGAGTAACAAAGTTTAAATATCCAAAGAAATGGGATACGATAATGTTGGATACCTCTCTTTCTATCACACGCAGTGTGAAATCTTCATATTTGAGTATGAGTACACAGCTGGAGTGACAACGTCACGGAATTACCAAATGATTACCATTTGAAGCTAAGATATGGGGACTGACACTTCCCCCGTAAACTCATGATTCCCCAACGATTACACATATAAAGCTATTAACCATCATGTCAAGGACACTAAGGTCATGATCGACTACAAAGACAATTCTACACACACACACACACAAACACCGTGTAAGAGACTAACACAGGCAGATTATATCAAATTGAGATTGGGAGAGGGTTGTTATTACTCTCAGAGTCTTGCAAAAGGCATATGTGATGATTGATGAACGACGAGTTAGATTTAATGTTTGGTCAGAATAGTCTTCTAGTTAGATTTCGAACTTCAAAAGAATTTCACGAATCGCTGCTAGCTTGAGACTGTTAAGAGTAGATATTTATCTTCTAGTTCTTCATCTATTATTATCTAATTGCCTAGTTTCATGATCTTAATGCAAAACCAACTACTAGTAGCTTAGATGGACTCCCACTTTACAATTGATCATTAGAGATCAGTCCAGCAAATTTCTCGTTGATCACCAATTCAGAAAAAAAAAGTAGCACAATGATACAAAGCAAGACATTAGTCTAAGCAAAGCTCACAACATATCTACAAGATAGCTCGTCTCATACTAACACAGTAACACCTAACCTTTTTATATCACCAGATGCATGTTTCTCTAAAAAAGCTTACGCATCTTCAAGATCTCCCCATCTCACATTGTATTTAGACGCAAGGTAATGTGCACCAACAGGACCTCTGCTCCCATATGGATACAGCTCAGGAACGATTTTCTTCTCCTCAAGTTGCTTCAAAGCCGGTGTGAATAGATCCCATGCTGCATTTAGCTCATCACTTCTGATAAACAACCTCCTCTCTCCTTCGATCGCATCAAGAAGCAGCCTTTCATATGCATCTGGTATCTCACTTGGATACCTATCAAACCCAAAATGAAGTCAAAAACAAATAATCTTAGAATCTGAAAGTATGCAACTCTTATACAATTATTACCTGGATCGATACAGAAGGTTAAGGTCGCTGCGGTCCAGTCTCATTCCAAGACCAGGAACTTTGTTGTTGATCCTCAGGTATATGCCTTCATCAGGCTGGACTCTGATCACTAGCTCATTAGTTGCCTTGTCTAAATCAGTCGCAACAATTTTCTTGTACAAGTTTCCTGGGACATGTCTGAACTGAACTCTGATCTCCGCTCCTCTGGTGTGCAGAGCTTTTCCGGCTTTCATAAGGAAAGGGACGCCGTCCCATCTCGCATTGTTGATGAACATAGCCGCTGCAGCAAATGTAGGAGTGAGACTGTTGTTTGGAACCGTTGGATCGTCTATGTAACCTGGATAAGCTTTCCCTCCTTTGCTATGCCCTTTGTATTGACCAACAATCACATCTTCAAGCAGTAACGGTTTCATTGACCTCAAAACTTTCACCTGACAAGTGACAGGAACACATAATCATTGGCATGTTATTATCAACCTAAACCCTTTTTGTTAGTGAAATAAGATGTTACCTTTTCGCTTCGTATGTCCTCAGCATCTAAGCTCACAGGCGGCTCCATTGCGAAAAGTGCAAGTATTTGCAAGAGATGGTTCTGCATGATGTCTCGTATGATTCCATACTGATCAAAGTAACTGCATGGATTTAACATTAGCTAAGTTGTTCCATGCTTGAAGACAGAGAAGTAATGAAAGCTTACCCTCCGCGTCCTTCTGTTCCAAAATCTTCAGAAAATATCAGTTGAACATTACGTATGTAGTTTCTTGACCATAGAGGCTCGAAAACAAGATTTGAGAATCGAAGCACGGAAAGGTTCTCAACAAGCTCCTTTCCCAAATAGTGGTCAATCCTAAGTATACCACATATAACGTTGCAATTATATCAAATTCCAGCTAAAGAATATAAAAATGGTGGTGATGGCTGAAATGGCTAACCTGAAGATTTGCTCCTCTGTGAGATACTGTTTCAGACATCTGGTTAACTCTCCAGATGATTCAGAGTCACGACCGAACGGCTTTTCGACAATGACTCTTGTCCAGCCATTCTCTGAGGAAGCTCTAAGGCTTGCACACCTTACAACATCGACGAATATGTTTGGGGGTATAGACAAATAGTACAGCCTGTTTGATAACTTCCCTGCCTAAAAAGAAGAAGTTAAACAAGATCAAATGAAAAAGAGAGTAATCAGAATATGTTTAGTTACAAAAAGTTTACCTCTTTCTCTTTGAGCTTGGTGTTAAGTTCTGCAAAATCGTCTTCCGAGTCATACTGACCCGAATGGTAAAAGCATCTACTTAAGAACTGATCCATCTTGTCGCCACAATTTTCCCTATTTTTGATTCCAACCTTTTTTGTCAAATTTAACCAAAGCAAAGGTTTTTAACTGAAAACACACACTAGAATGTATAGTAGAATATACCTTTGATCTATCCGGCAAGTTAAAGTTCTACTGATCATAACACGAAGCTCCTCATGACTGAGTTTGGTCCGAGAATAACCAAAAACAGAGAAGTCCTGAGGAAGACAACCTTCGTAGAAGAGAGCAAACAATGCAGGGAATATCTTCTTCTTAGCTAAATCTCCAGAGGCTCCAACGACTGTAATGCTAAGAGTAGACTCTCCTTTTGTGACGTGTTCCTCTGTAAGATGATCTCCAGCTGAAAAGAATCAAACATACACTTTCAGATTCATACAAAAACAGAGACTTTATACACCAAATCCTCACTATTTGCTAAATGACCAACTCATTACTATAATCACGGAAGAGAGAGCAAAACAGAAACTTTTGTATGAAACATGGAATCTTTTTGAGTAAATGCCATAGAGAAGAAACAATCTTGAAGAAATTTTAAAACCAAAAAAAAAAAAAAACTTTAAGAAATTTGAAAACTTCATTAAATAGCAGAAAAGTTAAAATTGAGAGTAAAATAAAAAACCAATGGCAGGGCCAAGAAACTTCAGTTTGGCATTCTGTCAAACACATTGTGGTTCGCGATCGCTACAAGGAACTAAGACTGAAACTACAGAAGAAACTCACAGTCTTGTAAAGATGCGAAATTTGAGGCACATCCATTTGAGGAATCGAGCTGAGACTGTTTCTCGGCAAAGAATCTCAATCGAACGCGAGAAAACGAGGGTTTACTCGGGAATATGAGAGATCTAGCAGTGAAGAGTGGTAGAGTTTCTCTTAACGGAAACGCAGCAGAGAGAGCAGAGGAGGAAGATGATGAAGAAGAAGAAGGAATGATCACTGAATGCGTCGCCATGCAAGTTTTCTTGATTTTTTTACAAAGAAGGGAAGTAATCAAATGCGATTGCGTTTGTGAGGCCATTGTATGATCTCTTACATTATCCACAACACGTCTGTTATGTCGTTTTCAAGAAAATTGTCTCTCTCGCATTATTCACATTTATGGATTGTAAAAAGTAAAAACAAGTTTAATTTCTATTTGGCACTTTATAAATCAAAACAATGTAGAAGGAGTTAATTAGTATTTTTTTTTTATTCTTAAAAAAATCTTAACTCAATAATATTGATTACTAACACTTTGTTACCGTGAAAATGAGGAAAATATAATTAAGCTATAAAATTAGTTAAAATCAGCAAAATAAAAAACTTACATAATGAAACTTTGGTATGTTTGGATAAGTTAAACGGAACAGCAGAATATAAATGAGCTGAAATGAATTCAACTATTTCCAGTAGTAAGCTACTTGAAACTCATTTTGGATTGTTCTCTGTATGTTTTTAATTTTTATTTACTTTTCCAGTCTGCTTTTTTTTTTAATTGGTAAAATACTTGTGGAATGGCATATCAAGGGAGGAAATATAATTTACAAATGTTTAATCTTCAGATAATCATGAAAACATTATAAACTTGCTTAACATTTGGAATTATAAATGAAACGGCACGCAGTTTACCACTCGAAACACAAGACACAACTTTTCTTGGTCCATGATTCTACACGCCACGCAGTTCACTCATTTCAGTTTTTAAAAAGCATGACGTTTAGTGCATCTATCTTTCTCAGCTTTCTCACCACCATTAATGAACGTTCCAAAGATGCAACCTCTGTAAATTCTTCAAACAATCGAGAAAATTCGCAGCAAAAATCTCGAAGAAACGAAACTCTAATGGGGCACCTGAAATTCCCGCTCCACTCCAATCCTTGAATCTTTTGGTTTGTCTCTTACCCTCAATTTCCAAATTTCCACTCGATCGAGTAGAAAAAAAGCTTTGTGATTCTTCTGCAGATTCGTTTTTGAAGAGAAGAAGAAATGTCATCTAACTCGACAGAAAAAAGAAGCAGCAATTCTCGAAGCTGTTCTTCTCGATCCAGACAAAACTCCAGAATCACTTCACAAGTCCTTGCCGATGCAAAGCTACACGGAAACTTCGAAGAATCAGAGCGTTTATTCGACTACTCAGCTTCAATTAACTTGAACATGACGAGCTCATCTTTCGACAATCCTTCTTCTTCAGCTGTCTCAACTTACTTACAGAAGATTCAGAGAGGAATGTTGATCCAGCCCTTCGGCTGCTTAATCGTCGTTGATGAGAAAACGCTCAAAGTCATCGCCTTTAGTGAGAACACACAAGAGATGTTGGGTTTGACTCCCCATACAGTGCCAAGCTTGGAGCAAAGAGAAGCTCTGAGCATAGGAACAGATGTGGAATCACTCTTTCAGTCTCCAGGCTCTTCTGCGTTGAAGAAAGCTGCCGACTTTGGTGAGATTAGTATCTTGAATCCGATAACGCTTCATTGCAAGTCATCAAGTAAGCCTTTTTATGCGATTCTGCATCGAATTGAAGAAGGTCTTGTTATAGATTTGGAGCCAGTGAGTCCTGATGAGGTGCCTGTGACTACTGCTGGGGCATTGAAATCGTATAAGCTCGCGGCTAAGTCAATTTCGAGATTACAGGCGTTGCCTAGTGGGAATATGTCATTGCTGTGTGATGCTTTAGTCAAGGAAGTTAGTGAATTGACCGGTTATGATAGGGTTATGGTGTATAAGTTCCATGAAGATGGGCATGGAGAAGTGATTGCTGAATGCTGTAGCAGAGTAGATTTGGAGCCTTATCTAGGGCTGCATTATTCAGCTACTGATATACCGCAAGCTTCTAGGTTTCTGTTTATGAGAAACAAGGTTAGGATGATTTGTGATTGTTCATCAGTGCCGGTTAAAGTAGTTCAGGACAAGAGTCTGTCACAGCCAATAAGTCTTTCTGGATCTACTTTGAGAGCTCCTCATGGGTGTCACGCACAGTATATGAGTAATATGGGCTCTGTGGCGTCTCTTGTTATGTCTGTGACAATCAATGGGAGTGATAGTGATGAGATGAACAGAGATTTACAGACGGGGAGAAGCTTATGGGGCTTAGTGGTCTGTCATCACGCGAGTCCTAGGTTCGTGCCGTTTCCGTTGAGGTATGCTTGTGAGTTCTTGACTCAAGTATTTGGCGTGCAGATTAACAAAGAAGCTGAATCAGCTCTTCTGTTGAAAGAGAAGCGTATTCTGCATACACAGACTGTGCTATGTGACATGCTTTTTCGTAATGCACCTATTGGTATAGTCACTCAATCTCCTAACATAATGGATCTTGTTAAGTGTGATGGAGCAGCTCTTTATTACAGAGAGAAGCTATGGTCGTTAGGTGTTACTCCCACAGAGACACAGATTAGAGATATAATTGATTGGATTCTCAAAAGTCATGGAGGAAACACCAGCTTTACCACTGAAAGTCTGATGGAGTCTGGCTATCCGGATGCTTCTGTTCTTGGGGAGTCCATCTGTGGAATGGCTGCTGTGTATATTACCGAGAAAGATTTCCTTTTCTGGTTCCGGTCTGGCACTGCGAAACAGATCAAGTGGGGTGGTGCAAGGCATGATCCGAATGACAGAGACGGTAAAAGGATGCATCCTAGATCCTCATTCAAGGCTTTCATGGAAATAGTCAGGTGGAGAAGTATGCCATGGGATGACATGGAAATGGATGCGATTAATTCTCTGCAGCTGATAATAAAGGGCTCATTGCAAGAAGAGCAATCAAAGACTGTTGTGAATGTTCCCAGCGTGGATAATAGGGTTCAGAAGATGGATGAATTGGGTGTTATCGTGAACGAAATGGTGCGCTTGATCGATACAGCTGCGGTTCCAATCTTTGCAGTTGATGCATCTGGTGTTATAAATGGTTGGAATTCAAAAGCGGCTGAGGTAACTGGTTTGGCGGTTGAACAAGCAATAGGCAAACCTGTATCGGATCTTGTTGAGGACGAGTCTGCAGAAACCGTGAAGAACATGCTAGCATTGGCTCTTGAAGGTAAACATGTTCCACTGTAGTATGGAAGCAAATATTCTCTTTGTTGTTTCTGGCTCCCTTTGTTTTCATATTTTCTGACTGTCTTCGCAGATTTTCATCTGTGCCTTGTGTTCATAAATACGTAATAGGTAGTGAAGAACGTGGTGCTGAGATCAGGATCAGAGCGTTTGGTCCTAAAAGGAAAAGCAGTCCGATTGTTTTAGTCGTCAACTCTTGCTGTAGCAGAGACGTGACGAACAATGTTCTTGGTGTGTGCTTCATTGGACAAGATGTTACAGGACAGAAGACGCTTATCGAAAACTACAGCCGCGTGCATGGAGATTATGCCAGAATCATGTGGAGCCCTTCAACACTAATCCCACCGATTTTCATGAGCAATGAGAATGGGTACTGCTCAGAGTGGAACGACGCAATGCAGAAGCTCTCTGGGATAAAGAGAGAAGACGCTGTGGAGAAAATGCTTCTCGGGGAGGTTTTCACCTCGAATGATTATGGTTGCCGCCTTAAAGACGATGACACGTTAACTAAGCTGAGAATAGCGTTGAATGCTGTGAGTTCTGGCCAGAATAACGTAGAGAAGCTGTTCTTTGGCTTCTACCATCGTGACGGTAGCTTCATCGAGGCACTGCTCTCTGCCAACAAGAAGACTGATATAGAGGGAAAGGTTACTGGGGTTTTATGCTTTTTGCAAGTACCTAGTCCAGAGCTCCAATATGCTCTACAGGTCCAGCAGATATCAGAGCAGGCAACGGCCTGCGCCGTCAACAAATTGGCATATCTCCGCCAAGAAGTAAAGAGCCCTGAAAAGGCAATTTCCTTCCTTCAAGATTTGCTACATTCATCTGGACTAAGTGAAGAGCAAACGCGGCTCCTGAGGACAAGCGTTTTGTGCAGGGAGCAGTTAGCCAAAGTCATAAGCGACTCAGACATAGAGGGAATCGAAGAAGGGTACTACTGAAGCCAGAATTCTTCTATTGTCGTTACTAATTTTTGAATCTTTCGTTCTAATCATGTTCGTTTTCTTGATGGCTTTGAATCAGCTACGTGCAAATGGGTTGCAGTGAATTCAACCTGGAGGAATCATTGGAAGCAGTTGTGAAACAAGTGATGGAGCTGAGCATAGAACGTAAAGTGCAGATCATATGCGATTATCCTCAAGAAGTTTCATCAATGAGACTGTATGGAGATTCACTAAGGCTTCAGCAAATCCTCTCAGAGACACTCTCAAGCAGCCTACGCTTCACACCTGCATTGAAGGGACTTTGCGTCTCACTCAAGGTGATCGCGCGGATAGAAGCTGTAGGGAAAAGAATGAAGAGAGTCGAGCTAGAGTTCAGGATAATACATCCAGCGCCGGGACTGCCTGAGGATCTGGTAAGAGAGATGTTTCAGCCTTTGAGGAAAGGAACATCAAGGGAAGGTTTGGGACTACACATCACACAGAAGCTGGTGAAACTCATGGAGAGCGGAACGTTGAGATACTTGAGAGAGTCTGAAATGTCAGCCTTTGTGATCCTCACAGAATTTCCCTTGATCTGAAGCTTAAAGATTTTTTCATAATTGAATAAGAGTGATGTTTCTGAAATCGTCACTTTTTTCTATATTCACATAAATATATGTCTACTTAATGTAACACAAATATAGGAAGTTTGAGCTTGCTACAATTCACATTTCATCTACAGTCATTTTTAACCATCAAATGTTCTTACAACTATATATTTCTGATAACACAATTCATTAGTTACAAGTACTATTGAATCAACATACAAATTACATAGTTAAGCAACATATAAAATATATTTTATAGCCTAGTTGATTAATATCTAAACATATTAACATTATATGTTTAGATTTTGTCAAGATTTTCCACACGTACGGGTCCCCTCGTCAAATTGAGAAGACGGTCCCCATCTCCTAGTTTCACTCGCATCTTAGGTAAACGACATTCCTTCCGAGTTAATGTCACTTTCTATGCAAAGCTCATTAACAACTTTGGTTAAGATTGGTTAATCAAGAAATTTATGTAGTAATTAAAGCTGTTAATTCATGGTTTCAAGGTGCTTTGTATCCGAAATTGCAAACAAGAGGGGTGCTTAGCTACTACCCTAGCAACTGGCCGACAAGTGGCACCTTCTTTTTGGCACGATTTTTATACTTTTTTTTTGTTTTGCGTTTGTCATGAAGTTATTTTTGGGGTGCTTTCTTTGCATTTTTGGTTTATTTTATTAAATATTTCGCACTCTTGTTTGCTTCATTTCTAATTTTAATTTTGTATTTGGACCATTTAGTTTAACGCAAATCCTAGTCCTTTTTCGTTGATTCTTTTTATGTCTACTTGATCAGTGATCACATATATTTATATCTTATTCAATTAACGTGTGCTAAATGTGTTGAATCTAATTGAGTTCGAATATACTGTACATGTTTTTGTAAATTTCTGCAGGTTTTTCTGTAAAACATAGACAAGTTTTCCCTTAAACTTGGGAAAACTATCTATAAAACAGTAACCTTTATTCTTAAAAGCTTAAAGAATAATAAAGATTCATAGAATTATAACTTTTTCCCTAACTTATAACAGATTATAACTTTATATCTTTATAATTTGTTTCAACCGCAGTCAAAGTTTAACGTTCACACACATAAAAGTATACACATTACACATGTGTGGGTATATAATTAATTAGTGCTTACGAATTGGTCTCGGCAATTTTAAGTGCACTGATTTTATCAGTTTTGCTGTTTATCGTCCAAATATGAGCATGTTTAGTTTTAGGAGACAACCTTTCAGGAAATCTATGAAAACACTCCACCATCCTGTTCGTTGGATTCTGTCATTCTCACATCATTTTGGTTTATAGAAATCTTGTCATTTATAAGACGAAAAATTTTCTAAGCAAAAAAAAAAATTGGTCGTCAATCGTCATTGATCCAAACTTGAGAACATTCATAAAACCGTAAGAAATCTATAAAAAATCAGAACATTCATAACCACTAGTCCACCGTAGATCTAGCAGATCAATGTTAATTATCTTTGGATTGTAGTTGAGTTAAATATTTCAGATTTAGAGGGAATTAAGATGTCGCCAGGTGCTAAGCACAGAAGGATGCACATGGCGTACCGACAGTTTATATGCTGCCTTGGAGAATGGGCAAGAAAGTACCTAAAAAGGTTTAGAATTAGGGTTTTTTGGCCTTTCGACTTATTCGAAAACAAAATAAAAAGTTTACAATATGTTAAAGTTTTTCTTCTTTCTATCTTTAATTGTTGATATCAAAACAAGTTGATCAAGTAGATATTTGTTTTTCGTTATAACGTTTGAGTATATTGAGAGAAGTTTAAACTAAAAAATAGTTATAACTTATAAACCAGAACTAAAAAAAGAAATGTAAGAAACGAGATGCCTATGACACATAAGTAAATAGTCGTTCCAAATCCGAAAAAGCTTTCAACTACAACTGTAAACTATTAGCAACATAAAACTCTCGAGGATCATCAATTGTGAGTTGTGACATTTCGAACAACCACAAATTAATCTACAGTTGCATTTGAAGATTCACGTTCGGTAAACAGTTTATTATTGATACGAAATCAATTCTGTTTCGAAAGATTGGTTTTCAAAAGAGAATTTGTAGAAAAACATATTCTGCATAAATTATTAATAAAATAACTAATAATACAGTCATTATAAAATTTTATTTTCAAAGGTGATAAATTTAATAAAAGATCAAAGAAAAAGTATTACCTTTTTATTATTTTGTGGGAGTGAAAAATTCTAATACAATTTGTGACCAACAAAATTCTAATATCGGGATTCCGAATTTTCACCCATTGGAAGGACTAGTTAGGGATCGAGCTGTTGCTCCTCAAATCTCGATGCAAGAAACAAAAAAACGTATACCATATGCTTCTCTATCTATCTTCTTCTTATATAAACCCTTTCTCGTTTCATTACTTGAAGTAGACTTACACTTAAACATCTTAATTAGATAAGTCTCGTTGAACATAAGTAATCCAGATCCTACGCTATAACTCTTTTCTTTTCGTTTTTTAAACATCAACCTATAGGGTTTTTGTTTTTGTAAAGTATTTGGATCAAACATCATTTCCTTCTGCTTTTTTTTTTTGTTTAAAATCTGAGGGTTATAATGGTTGAACTCTTATTTCTCCTATCTTTTTTGGTGGAACTACAAAGTACTTGCCTTCATATGAATCTTGAGAGAATAATAATGAAAGATGGGGTGAGTTTTATTTCATTGCTTTCTAAGAGACCAGTTTCATGGTTATCTTTTCTTGCCGCACCACTTCTTCACATCGTAGGACTTGGCTTCTCACAAATCCTCATTACCTCAGCTGCTTTGTTCTTCTCTTCTCTCTTCTTCCCTCTCTCAATCCAAAAACCAAACTCTCTAATAGACTCCAAGGTCGAAGATCAAGATCTTGATAAGCAAGACTCTTCAAGAGACATGGAAATGTCTAATGACGAAGACGACGGGACAATCCCTGATGAGGAAAGCCTCATAGAGCTCTCCTTGCCAAGCGGTCACTACGTAGGCCACCACTTCAGTACTATGAATGGACGACAAGATTTCAGGTTTATCCAACTATCAGCCGAATTTGAAGACGATAATCTTATCGAAATCGACATTTCCATTGGTTCCATCAAGTGTTCGGGGTTCGAGATCAAAGCCTGATATACATCTTCATATCATTTCTACAACTATGAAGCGAATAAGTAATCGGATGTAAAGTTATTGCGGTATTTTTGCACTTGACAGGTGCTATGTCTTTTTTTGTTGTAGTTCTCTCCAGTACATGGGGTTTTGCTATTGTTATGTATTAGCTACAACACTATTACTATGTCAATTTCTTAAAGTTGTGACTAAGATCCAAGCAGTATGAAATATATCAAACACATTTACTATTATTGATTTAAGTTTATATGCTTGACATCATACTATAGATGTTCTGTTAATGAGGGAGTTAATTACTCAAAAAATATTATAGACTGTGTTCATAGGTACTGAATCATCAATATATATAGAACTTTGATGATCTTCTCATCTTTCATTATTCTTGGTATGCTAAAACTTAATGCATGCATGCAGTGGAAAAGCTACGAGTTGCAACCTTCGAATTTTGTGAGCATGCAATTAACTGGAGTCATTTGGTAATTTCAATAACCAAAAATGACTCATTGATACATGAACGAAAATGAAGATAGTGAATGTAGCCATAAAGTAAAAGACCATGGAGAACTTGCTTGTAAGTTGATCTTTGATTATGCAAATTAAAAAAAAAATGAAGATATTTCATACGCGATGTCACATTTGATCGAAAGCATGCAATTTGGCTATTGTTAGGGAGAGCTGTAAAAAGTTGCCACCATTTGTTGGGTTGATTAACCAACACAATAAGCATTCCAAATTTTAATTGTTACAATTGTTGAACCTTGAAGCTTACTAGTTGCAATGGTTAAATGATAATGGTGAACTATTTAAGTATGAGTGACATTGCACTAAAGCAAGATATGCAATCAAAGACGACGTGCTCTCAAATGCAACATAACCGGAACAAAACCCCTTTCCAACATAAGAATCCATGACGACGAGTGATAGATGTTAATTTGGAACTGTGGATCAGATTTAATGTTTCGAACAAATAGTTTGTATAACCAAGTCCCCAGTCAAAATGGGAATTCTGTAGTAGCTAAATGAAAATGATCTCAACAAAAATCACACCATTCACCACAACTAAAATGAATAAAATTTAAACAAAACAATCAAATATTGACTGCCTTGTTATCAGATCACACTTCTATTACCATACAGTTGGGAGAGCAGTGAGTGAGGATTTGGCAGCAGCCTTTAACTCTTGAAGGTTGCACTTCGGTTCCCGGAAGCCGGAAAGGCTTGACGCCGTTTTCCTTGCCCAAACTCCGAATCCTCCGGAGCAGGCCCTTTCTTCTTACCTCCTGCTGCTGAACCTTCTCTTTTCCCTCCCTGTCTTCCCTTTTGTCCATCCCCAAATTTCACCTCTTTCCTTGCAGCTTCATAATCAAACGGCTCTATGTTCAAAAACTCCGGCTTCTGGGCCTTGTTGTTGCTCTTATTCATGGAGTTAAAGCACTTCTGAAAGTTTGTTGACAATTCTGAGAGCGACATTGGTTCATCTTCCGCATCAGCTTCTTTCCCATCAGCACTGTCTAACAGTATAACATCTTCTGTCCCAAAACCAGATACTTTGGATTCTGAATTTCTACCAGAAGTTTCTTCTGAATCATCTTTCAACTCTGTCACACCATCTTGCTTGGAAACAGAGGATGGCATAGCAGTGGGGATCTCTTCATGAACCTTCATAGCTGACTTTGAGTCAGAACCTTTGTCGGTAAAAGAAGGGAATGCGAGGTTTACAGATGACCTTATCTGTTCAAGCTTCACCTCTTCCTTCTCCTGAAAACATTTTTCTTTATCAATCATTCTGCAACCAAGACCAATTCTAGAAATCTCAGTTAAGCAAACTCACCATCTTATCAGTTCGAGACTTTTTCTTTGAGGCTCCACTTCCCAGTAATGCTCCTAAACCACTGCTTGGTTTCTTAGAGATTACAACAGGCGCAGAAACCTAATAAACAACAGACAGGTCTTTTGTGAGCCCGGCATGGATATTAAAGAGAACCAACCAAAATAAATAGCAAGGTGTCACACCTTAACTGAACCAAAGAAGCCTGTGCCTAAACCTCTCCTTTCATTAGTATCTGCTGCAACCGTGATTGGCCCTGTGATCTTATTCTCAAGTCCCAAAGAATTTTCCTTCAAACTCGGAGAAGCTACGTAGGCTGTGTGGTGATTACTGTCTTTCCCCTCAGTAGTAGTAGGTTCAGTATCCTTATCCATTACCTACAATAAGAGAAGCACATAATTAAAACTACAGATTTGGATCACAATTAGCCTTGACATTAAATTCTTCCAACACTAATCGGCTTTGAATTAGTTTATACACCTCAGCTGAGAGCTTACAGTAATAGTTGTATAAACAGAGATGAGACAACAATCAACAGAGATATCTTACCGTTACAGAAGCCCCTTCTCTTAAAGATTGAGCAGCAGACTCAAATGCTGCACAATTTTGCATTGATTGCCTGATGACACTAACCACTGAATCAACATTACGCTCGATATAAGGATGCTTTGACTTCAACATCCGACGCAATTTGTTAACACTGACAGGCATCTCCTTGGCTATATAATAATAACAAACACTAGGCCAAGTTAGGAATCGCCAAAGAAAAATCCACTTACTGGTAGATGGTAAAATCGAACTCTCAGCTATATACCTATTTCAAGAAGAACTTTGTTTGGCAATACATAACCAGTGCTCTCATCCTCCGCACGTGCAATGTAATCCCGCCATTCACAAAGCCCCTAGAAGGCAGAAAAGTTTAAGCTCCATATAGTATAAAAAAAAAGCAGAGTCAGGATGCATCATCTATTACATCAGACAAGAATATCGTACCGCAACAATGGCAAGTTGAGCTGCCTTGAAGCCCGCTGCTTGAAGCCTAGCAAAATACCAGGATGATAAAAATAATATTAGTGATTATGTAACTTAGCTTAAGTGAAGATTCATGAAGTAATTTAGGTTTGTCAACAAAAAAGTACGGCTTGTCTGGTGATACAAAACAAAAACAGAAGTATGTTGATTCTTTCAAGGAAAAGCAACAAACCCATATACGTGAAGGTATGAATTCTCAGTCAAAAGCTCTTTCTCGTATAATTGTGTGCACACCTCATAACTGCGCTTGTAGACCTGTAAGAAACAGTAAATCAAAAGGTTAATTTTTTTGAAGAAAGAGCATATTCTTCAACTAGATGAAACAAAATTTAAACAGGCAAAGATGTTTACAAGTCAAAGGTGCTAAATCACCAATTCCAGACAAATGTGAATGCTAATAACCACACTGAGTTCCCGAAACATGTGGTACCAGATTTCATTTTGCCTTTGCTTAGAGAAGGCAATTCATGACAGATATATGCATGACAAAAGCCTCCCAAAGTTACTCTCAAAAATAGCATAAGAGTGTTGTAAATCCAGATAATCACGTAGGTGAGGGAGATAATATACAAAAGGACACAAAACCCAGCCATTTAAACCCAACACATTCGGCCACAAATAATTTTCTACAATGCTATGCCATCATAAGTTTTTAAGCCACACAAATTCCTACTTGGCCAGTATGGGAATCTAACAGAGAGATAGTAAGAACAAAGCACAACAACAAAGACAATTTTACATCTATCCTGAAAATACCAACAAGCAGAAGAATATGAGACTTGTCAGCCTAGTTTAATTATGACTACCTCAAGCAGAGGAGAGTCAGTATTCTCATTATCCTTTGCCATTCCTTGCAGTTCTAATTTGAGTACATCATATATGTACAATAGATAGTGGGTATCTTCTCTTGCATATCTGCAAGGAAAAAAAATGTGAGCTAAAATCAAGTTATGCCAGAAGGTCCAGAAAAGTAAGTGTACAGGGTAGAGAAGAACTGACCTTGTCATTTCCGCTGGAAGGGGTCTTACTCTCCAGTCTGCATTTTGGTATCTACAGCAATAAACAAAGCAGATGTTGATAGACAAGTCAGAAGGCAAGAGTGAAAAACATAAATAAAAACAGATTGGACTAGGACGCACTCTTTATTTGCAGTAACTCCACAATAATGCTGCAAAAGAAACTCTAGGCTGTTTCTCTCCAAGTTAAGCACCCTTGAGGCCTGAAATAAACAAAATGTGAAGATGTGAATCAAAACCTTCCTACTTTTAGGGATAAAGGCTACCGAACTGATTTCTTTTCATATATCTGCTCTTAAGTTGCCAGTTGCCACAATATGAGAGCCAAAATTTCCTAACTAAACCTTTTTAACACATGCCATACGCTACTAACAGTCAGGACGGTGATAAAAGTATCTGCTAAAATGATAAGTACAAATTAAGCGTTGTGCAAATTGTTGCCACTTATCTCCTGGATGGTGTAATTAACTAAAGCATAATCTCATAATGTACGAGTGATAAGTTCTACTTTTCCATTTCCAGGATACTCAATTCAGATGCCAATAAGTTGCACATCCTTCTTTCATATATTCATATAGCAAAACGTGTACGTTATGGTAATTGGATCTCCTACGTTTTAGTGTGATAAGAAATATCACAGAGAAAAAAAAGAAACCATTGCTAAAGCCAAAATCAAACCTGTCCGGTGTCGAAGAGATTGCAGACATATATGCCAAAGTCCCGTTGAAGCCAAAGAATATCTCGATCTGCTCCATGCATTACCTTATTATAAATTAATAGATTTCAGAGTGCTGAACAAGTATTTTAGACCTTTTAATAAAGGAAATTAATGTATCCCAGGTAAAACCTTTTTCTTTTTAGGGTCTTTGAAGATCTCCCTAAGGTAAGGACCAATGTGAACTCGAAGCTTGAATGTATCGATAATATAATCCTCTGTCCTGGTGGAAATTTGCATCAAGCATGTCAACCCTTGAAAAGATCGATACTGGTTATGCTCCATATCAACCTAAACAGAGTAAAATAAAACGCCTTTAAGAGAAGGGTAGAGGCATCAACCTTGGAGGCTCATAATTTGAATTGTTTTGGGCCTCTCTAATTGAAAAGACAACTTAAGGTAACGCAATAACAGAAACTTTATATTCTCCCACCAAAATGCTGAAATAACTATCACATTGGTAGTTCGGTAACAATAAAATTCTCAAATTTCTTACTACTCCTACCAAAAGACATTATTGCCAAGCAATAAAGACAATAAGAGAAGAAATTTACCGCAAACTCTTCAACACTACGCAACTTAGTAGCTAATTCTTTCAGATCTTTCACTTCTTGAACGAGCTTGAATGGAGTCTCTTCCAATGGGAGGGGCTTAACAGGTTCCATCTCGTTTACATCTTTGTCAACGAAGTCAGTCACTGAGAGTTTCTCCTGCATGGTATTATAAACACATCAGAGCAGAAAAAGCTAAAAGCAGACAGCTAAGTAAAACACCTAAACACTGAAAGAGCATATCTATTCCAAAGCATCCTTTTCATCAATACAATACCGTAAACTTATAGAATCTAGAGTCTTAATGAGGCAGTTAAGAAAACGGATAATGCTAACCAAAATACAACACTATTGGCAGCAAAGGACAGTTTTTTCAGGATTGGTTCACTACATTAGGAGCAATCACATAAAGTCTAATACTTTCAATAAAAAACCTGCAATCACATAAAGTCTAATACTTCCAATATCTCAAATCATATTTCCAAGAAACATATCTATTCCCAAGCCAACTCTTGAAACACAGCAAAAATAAATCTTCCTCAAAATTCTTTCAATACCTTAAACCAATTTCCAAAACATTAACAAACATTCAAAAGACTAACCAGTGGATGCACAACCCTCAGATTATCTTCACTCCTCTCCAACCAAACATGCTCAAACGGTTGATTCACATTGTTCACCAATATATTAAACTCCTCTTGAGGCTTCTTTATGGTTGGTACATGGAAAGGAACTTTAGCCTTACCGGATGATGAGTTCTTATCTCTCTCAGCCACCTTAACATCAATCAAGGAACCACCGTTCCCAACAGAGCCACCAATCACATTACTGACCGGTTTCTTCTTCCTCCCATAAACCATTTGAAACCCATTCTCGTCACAATCAGAAACAGAGGCCAACGGCCGACCAATCTCCTCTTCTTTCTTCCTCAGCCTCTGAAACTCGTCAACAGAGACATCAAATCTCTCGAGAAACTCATCGTTCACATTGCAAAGCCAGTCATCTGCGTCGTCTTCTTCGATATCTCCAGGGAATTTCATCGATTTCCCCCAAACTTGCTCTGAATCACCGATCGTCTCGAGAGCTGACTGAGAGGTTCCAGCTATTTCGCCGATGGGTTGCTTGAATTCGTCGAAGTTGTTGTAAAAGTGAAAATCTTTACTTGATGGAATCACACGAGACGACGAAGAGAGCTTCGAGAGGGTCTTCGAGAAAGAACCATCGACTAATGACTCCAAGGACTTTGCTTTCAATGAAACCGATGATTCGTCGACCTCCATATTACCATCGCTCATCCTCGGGGGCACGAAAAGGAGAAAGAGAGATCAAATCAGAAATTTTTGTGTGTATCTTAGGGTATTCTCTGGCTTGGCTTGGCTAGGGTTTTAGGAACTCCATTGAATGTGAGAATGTTGTAGAGCTACTTTACTTTTATTCAGGGGTAAAAACGTCAATTTCAGTCGAACACCTTTTGGTCAAACTTACTGAGATTCATATTATATTCATTTCCTTTTTTCTGAGCTTATACTGTTTTGTTAAGTAAAGTGGAGTAATTCACAAAAATTCTTTGTATAAACTCAATGTAACAGAGTATGTAGTCTGTACTAAATACAGAGTCACAACAGAGTTAGTTAGAAGTCTGTTATTCCGGTTAAGCTTATTCGAGTTGTATATTGTATATAAACACTTGTAAGTAAGATCTTTGACTGAAGTTAATGAGAAGATCATTTTAATGCCAAGGAAGAAGCTTGGTTGATACTATAATGTCAATTCTCGTTTAGAATTAATTTCTTTACACAGTTGTTATTGAGTTCGGACGCAAAACGCAACTCTCAAGAGAGAGGCAATGCACATAGTCGTCACGACAGCCAACAAAAATCCGGCCACCGATCATCACTGGTGAAGAGAAAACGTCTGCCTGCAACTCCAACCTCGCGATTTCGTCTACTTTTGAATCTCTGCTGAGATTGGGACTCACACGAAGGATATGAACTCTTCCCGAGCTAGAGCATACAGACACCAACCTGTAAGATACATGGAAACACAAAGAGGAGGTATCATCATACCTCCATGGTAGTAATTAAATACATTCATATTTGGGATACTCTTGAATTCATACCTGTCTGATGCAAGCAGTTGGTGAGATTCAAAATGCAGATTCTCATCGATGTATGCAGATGCTGTGATAGGGTCCCCAATATTGTATTCCCAGACAAGACACCCAGATTCCTGAAGCAAATTCGACAAAACAATCATGACTCATAATGATTCAGAAGTTTCGAGACGAGTGAACAACTGATACTCATGTATCTTACAGTTATACAAGCACCGTCCTTATCAATGTCTTTGTAGTTCTAAAACTCAAAAAGAGTTTAATACATTCCCTTGGAGCGGATTTGATTCCACTGACTTAGAAACAAAAGCAATAAGTGAAGTATACACTATCCATGTCCAGGGGGTATAGGAAAGTACCGACTCTAGTGAATAAACACTTCCATTTCTACAGCACACGAGCACCTACGCGAGAAATAGACATGTAAATAGTCTTAGACAGTAACCTCTACACAAAAAGGATGGATTGTAGATGTGCTCAGGAAGCAAAGTGATGCACATGAATCAGCCTAGATAATTTTCGGATTCAACCACAACAAATACCTGAGATGGAAGCACATGCGACATACAAGGCCCTGCAAATATTGGCCCGCCAGTTGTATACTGCATCGATATATAACTGAGTAGTTAGAGCGCTGTGAGGCGACCAAAGCAAACTGATCATGAAAGCACTTTTGACTAGATAGTTAACTATCGTTCATTCAGTATCTCTTAGCTTTATCAACTTTACGTTCAAATGCACTGAGATCAAATCATACACATACCCTCCAGATAATAGTTCCAGATGGACTCATTGCAACAACTTGGCCATTAACTAGGCAGCATATAACTGTGACAGAGAATAGAGAATAACACTGATGTCGAAATCAAGGAAACAGGATGGAAATAGAAATAGAGAGAGAGAGTAAAAGATACCGCTTTGGTTTGTCGGGCTAATGGAAAGAGAACCAAATATCGGTGCCTCTAGTTCAAGTAGCCACAAGGTGTGGAATGGGGAATCCTACATTTGCAAAACTAACCAGAATAAACGAGGTTCCATCTCCACTATTAATCTATAAGAAACAAAACCCCCACTAGAGCCATTTGAAATGTAATGCAGGGCACAATTTTGGCCCAAATACTTTTATTTTTCAATGGAATACAAAAGATATACAAGCAACAACACGTAGGACTTTTAAGATTGTGGAAGTCCCATACCTCTACTGATACAGCTATCACGCGACCATTTGTAGAAGCCACGTAAAGTGAACTATGACTCTGGGTTCATCATAAAAGATGAATCAGGTGATATCAATAAAACTCCAGTAATCAAAAACAACACGACCACAGATGATGTGCTTTTAGCTTTGGAAAAGAAACTACGCATAACCAAGTGGATAGAGTAGTTTAAAGCCTTCACCTCATCAATTACAGGTGACGCAAATACGCTCCCACCACATTGCAGCTTATAAACACAGCTTTGGCTCCTATAGTCAAGGGCATAAAGAGTGTGGTCATGTGATCCGCACCTGCATGAATGGTGCAGAATTTAGCTTGGTGGTTGTTGACTTTTATAAGAACCCCAGGAAAAATACAGAATGAAATAAAGGTTTTTCAGTAAACACAGATGGAGCTAAACAGTAACAGAACGAGTCATCACAGTATTACCATATCAGTTGTGAATATGTGTCCACAACAGGTTGGCACTTTATCTTCATCGGAAAAAGAAAGCAAATTGTTTTAAGTCAGTAAGCCATCTGAGAACAGATTCTAGGAATGAGAAAATATATTAAAGCTGAAATAATGTAGACAAACAGAATGCAAACTTATGATCAATCAATTTTCCTGCAGATCATACCTCGCCACATGCTTGGAATGTCCAACATAAGCTTCCAGTTGAAAAGTCTAAGAAATATAATTTTCCTATGTAGCATCCAACCACGACCTAGCATCGGATACTGTTCAAATGATTTTTAGAAAGGATAAAACGAGCTATACAAATTGATGAGAAGACTAACCTGAGAAAAATCACCAACTACCATAGCTGAACCTTCGATCCTTCCTTCTAGAACGGTCTCCCAGCAAATAGAACCACTAATTAGCAAAGTAAAGTGTATGTGTACAGTTGTTAGAAGTCCAGCCTAATATCTATAAAATCTAAACCTAATCCTCTCATTTCATTTAGATCCAAATCCAATGGTCAGTAGTTCAAGAAATACTTAAAACTTCATATGCTTGATACAGAAAATTAACAAAGATGCGTACCTTTTCGCGTCAATGCAGAAAAATTTATGTGAGTGAGACCCAATAAATAGATATGTTTTCGAATGCTTCAATACTACAAGGGGCGAGGCATCGACACAAGACTCCATATGAACTTTCCATAGCTCTTGCATAGAGACCACTTGATTCCTTGGAAACTCCACCGACCAGTTTTCTTGGTTTCCCCCCTCATTACTACATGAGTTTGGAAACTGTACCTTGTTGCACCTACTGAATGCACATTGTATTTGAGAAATTCCTGAATCCCATGATTTTTTATCTTCCATTCTTTTGGACGAAAACTGTTCTGAATTGATTTTCAATCGCTTTGTAGAGACACTCTTCTCGCACTGAATTCTTGAAGGTGTTGGGTCTGATGTAACACCAGAATGAAGTGTAACAGTTCTACTAAAAAACTCATTGCCATTCTGATTCTCTATATTGTTTTCTAGCTTCAGAGTGGTATTGCGTTGCATATCTTCTCTTAACTTTCCTTCCTTCTCTGACAGACAGATCAAAAGCTTAGATGGACTTCGAAATTGGTAAATCAATCTCATATCGATACCAAGACTATGAGAAAGATGAGCTGCGGCTAAAGAGTCTCCACCAATCACAAAGAAATCATCATCGTCTGAAACTTCTTTGACCACTAATGCATCACAAACGGCCTGTATCAAAAGTTCAAGATATGATATAACTCTTTTTGTATAGTCAATTAGATTCTGCAGATTACAAAAAGTAAAATAAAAACAATTCTCCAAGTTTTTCATAAGCATAAACCGCTCAAACAAGTGACATTCTACGTTTATCTGTTCATAAAAGAATTTTCTAATCAGTATCCCACATATATTGCATTTGCTTTTACTTTCCTTGCACCTCATTTTCTCTACTCACTATTCCTTTACTCCAGGCTCAACATTGTGATCGAAAATCGACAGAAAAACACCCTTAAAGACCCCTAACATTATCAAATTCCTTTCCACAACTCTAGTCTCTTCCTGATCGAACTATATCTACCAAAGGTTACTCAAAGAAAATTATCACAGATTTTACTTCAAACATAGTTAAACATCAGATACCAAAAGGGTTTACTCATAGGGAGAAAACAAAACACGTATGTAAGCACAGCATTGAATCTGTCTGACCTTTTTAATAATTTGCAGTAAACTATCAGTTCCATTGCTATGCATCATATCTTGAGCTTGGGTTGTAGGACATTTCAACCTTGCTAGTGCTTCATAATCAACCTTTCCACTTGAAGTACTTGGCAAGGACTCCACCAAAACAAAATGGTTAGGAACCATCACCGAAGGTAGCTTTTCCCTCATCCAATTTCTAATAGAATATATGATACCTTCATCGGACTTGGTTTCCTTGTTTAGTACTAAAAAGGCCTCAAGTGAAGTAAGCTCCGTCTGATCTCTGTTAAGTCGAACAACCGCTTCTCTAACATCTGGATTTAGTTCTAGAGTTGTTTCAGTCTCTTCAAGGGCAATGCGTTGTCCATTGAGTTTAACAGTTCGATCCCTTCTCCCAATAAGAACTAAATCACCGCTAGAAAGCTTTTGGCCGTAATCACCAGTTCTATAATAAAGCTCGCTTCCACAATCATTGGTTAAATGATTACAGAGAGAGCTATTATGTAGCTTCACGTAGCCTTGGGACTCCATCGAGGAATGCAGGTATCCTTGCGAAAGACAGAGACCACCAACACATATTTCTCCCTCATTAGGTTTATCTTCATCACCAAAAAGAACAATTCTGCAATTGGACATGGGCTTGCCAATAGGAACACTACCAATCTTCTCAGTCTTCAAGAGTTCTGGCAACCCACTACAGTCAAAATAAGTGCAGTCCCCTGATACCTAAACAAAACGAAAGGCTAATCAATACAGATTCAGTTCCAACGCACTGCTGCATAAGTTAAGAGAATGCACAAAGGATATAATAACAACTCAGACCTGCTACAACAAGTTAGACTCAGCCTAAGTATCAAACAAACGAAACTAAGAAGTCTTCTAGTTATCAACATTTTTTAAACTATAAACACAAGGCGGTAGCAACTAGCTGACACTGCTAAGATATTTCAAGCACACTAGCTGAAGAAGATATCCTGAGATGATAAGCGTATTTTCTCACCTCTGTACTCCCATATAGATTCAGAAAACATGTTTCAGGAAATAGGTTGCGAAGTGAATCCCACAGGCTCATAGGAAAGGGTTCGCCGCTTAAAATTACCAGCTTCAGGCAACTTTGGAGCTTATTGTGTCGATGTTGTAAAGTAGGTAGAATAGCTCTGATCATCGATGGGACAGCTAGGAGCCTACTGATAGAATACGCCTATCAAGATTGATAAAATTTCGCCAATATTACTCAAATGGAAAGTAAAAGTCATGCAATTAAAGACAAATCAGTTTTCTCTAGTGATAGGAACCTTAACCAAAGCAACCAACAAGAGAAGCCATATCTATTATTCGTCACAAATGAAAAATTTACTAAGAATTCTAGTCACCCCATATACTGTTCTTGAAGAGAAATCATAAGTAGATTAAAGTTCAATAAAAGAAACTATGAACTCGCATTCAATGGATTTATCTTTAAAAATATATATAAGATATGATACAATAGCACTGTATACAGTGTTTATTGCTCTAAGTTACGACTAATGTTTTTCACAATAAGCCACCTAATGAAGATGGTTAAACCAATATCAATTTCCACATTTTGGAACGGATACTTCAAAAGCAATTAAGGAACAGATTATTGGCAACAAAAATAGGATTATGACTTCCAGGGATCTTAACAGCATTACATCTACAGAAGGTGGTTGTAATTTCTTTCCAAACTATAGAAACAATAACTCTTACCTCTAGAAAATCAATGATGGAGATCATATTCTCTTTTAGGAACTTAAATGGAGGGACGACTAATGGGGTGGAATTCAGAATAGCCCCAAGAAACTCCTGCAGATGATCAATAAATCCAACTGAAGTCTTGAAAGCCAATTGCTGCTCCCCAACAACAGGATAATGCTCTTGCATCCACATGAAGCGATTTAAAAGTCCTTCAGAAATCAACGGACAGCAGTTTCAGATATTATCACTTTGGATGAAAAAGAAGAGCTAACACAAAAACAGCAGATGAACTCATTTAAATTAGCTACAAAAAAGGTAACCTACCATTAGTAATTTATTGGCGTTAAGCCCTAAAATACACTATGCCACTTACAAGGAACAGAAATTAAATTACAGAATCATAAATTCATAAAAACAGCTAGGTGACTAGACAACCTTGGGCAAACTAGAATGTATAAGATAAGCTACAAACATGCTATATCTCTCTAAGGATCAACATTCTCATGCAATCCCAGAGAGTTCAAAGAACAATCAACAATCTAACATTTAAATGCTATAATAAGACTTCCGAATTTCAAGTTCGTCATACCTACCAATTTATGAACATTTACAAAAGATAAACATCCTAACCTTGCTCAGTGCCACATACTCCTTTTGGCTTCCCAGTAGATCCTGAAGTATACATCAGATAACAAAATTTCCTTTGCCTCTCTTTCTTGCAAGGCCAAACAAAGCTTGATCGACTAGTTTCCACACTCAATCTTTCACTCATCGAGAAGAACAATACAGGGCAGACCATGCTTTCCACAAGCCAGTGTGATCTCTCGAGCGGCTTACACCCGAATTGGTCGAAAGAAGAGCCACAAGCAATAACAAGAGCAACATTCGAAGAGGAAATCATAGACAACACTCTTTCTCTTGGCCATGAAGGATCTAAAGGTAAAAAGGCTTCTCCACACCTCAAAACAGATAGCACAGAGATTATGTATTCAACTGAAGGTGGCATATATAAAGCCAAAACCTTTGGCATATATACTACATCTGAGTCAGTCTCCAAGTCAAGTTTCTCTGCAAATGTCAAATTTCAAACTTTATGAGATCGGTAAAGAGAACCTGTCGCTATTAAACTCACAGAAACTCGAAAAGAGCCAAAAAGGTAACCTTGAAATCGTGGTCTGATGAGGTTAGGATCTCTGTGACTGGGAACATCGAGAATGCGACGGAGACGAGAGCTCAGGGAATCAATGGATGATGAGAGCTCGGCGAACGTGAAGCATTTGTCTCCGTCGTAAACAGGTGGTGTGCACGACGGAGAATTAGAAGGTTTAAGTGATTCCGAATCCGACTCGATCCTCGCCGCCCAGCCCGAAGCGTGAATGACGGCGATTTTGTCTGGGTTTATGGAGGCTGCGTCGACGAATTTGTGAGAAATCCAGCAATTGCCACGCTTCTCCGATTTGCTTGGGTTACTACTCTCAGTCATCTCTCGGCGTGTTTTATCGGAAAGTTGTTTAGGAGTTCTGCGACACAGGCTGCTCCGTCATGGCATGGCAGCCAAACCACCGGAAAGATTGAACACTGCTCTGTAGCTCGACGAACTCTTCTTTTTCTTAATTTTGCAATTTTTGAGGTTTCTCCTCCAAAGTTTGCAATTTTTGGGTTTCTCCTCCAAATTTTGCAATTTTTGAGGTTTCTCCTCCAAAGTTTGAAATTTTTGGGTTTCTCCTCCAAATTTTGCAATTTTTAAGGTTTCTCCTCCAAATTTTGTAATTTATTGAATTTTCTTAGAAATGTAGTAGAATCGTTTTTGCAAAGAAGATAATAAAATATTTAACAACCAATTAGATTAAGAGATTAAAGCCATGTCACATTAAAATGTAATATTTTTTTCTTTCTTAAATTGATCAAGGAGTACGTCAGATTTGTGGCCGTTGAATAAAATATATCTGAGCTAACATAGGAATATTTTCATATATGGAAAAAAAAGTAAGGGAAATTGTAAAATGTATCTAAATAAAAATTCTCCATTTATATTTCTTAAAAATGAAAGATAAAATATTTCATATATTAGCCTTTATGTTACCATGTAAAATTGTAAAGGAAAACAGAACATGAAGGTACAGCTACAAGAAACTCACGTCCATATATGAAATGAATGGTACACTCTTGCTAAAGAAAAAAATAATGAAATACATGCATATATAGATGAGAAATGAAAAATGAAAACACCTTTTATAGTTTAGTATCTGGAGATTATCTTAACACGTACGTATGAAAATCTATTTGTGGATCAAAACATGAACATAATCTCAACATATGTATGTGTAACCAGCTATCTACCAGACTACGACTATCCCATTGACCTTATAAATACACATCAGGTTGTCTGAGTAAAAAACTCACTATTCACTTAAATACAAAGACAATGGCTTCTCAGTCCTCTTCAGGTTTCTTGTTTCTGTGCTTACTCTCTTCACCCTTTCTCTCAAATGCAAACACTAACGCAAAGCTCGGGTTCACCATGGATCTGATCCACCGTGATTCGCCTCAATCTCCTTTCTACAACCCGTCAGAGACCTCGTTCCAGCGTACAAGAAACTCTATCCGCCGATCCATAAACCGTGTTTCCCATTTCTCGGCCAAAGATGCATCAACTGAGATCACCTGGAGTAGCGGTGACTATCTCATGAGTGTATCCCTAGGAACACCTCCGTTCCCAGTCATGGCGATTGCTGACACAGGAAGCGATCTCATCTGGACGCAGTGCAAACCTTGCGATGAATGTTACGAGCAGGCCGATCCTCTCTTTGACCCTAAAGAGTCTTCTACATACAGAGAGGTTTCTTGCTCCTCAAGCCAATGTGATTCTCTCCAAAATGACGGAACTTGTTCAAGCAAAGACAGCAGCTCTTGCTCTTACGCTGTATCTTACGGGGATAACTCATACACAAAGGGTAATCTCGCTACCGACACCTTAACGCTTGGCTCGAACAATAACCGCCCCGTGCAGCTCAAAAACATTGTCATCGGATGTGGTCACAGCAACAATGGAAAATTCAAGACAAAGGACGCTGGAATCGTCGGACTTGGTGGTGGTCCACTTTCGCTCATTTCGCAACTCGGCGAGTCAATCGATGCAGGTAAATATTTCTCATACTGTTTGGTCCCTCCATCTTCAGAAAATGGTGTAACGAGCAAGATCAACTTCGGAACCAATGCTGTTGTGTCGGGAACGGGAGCTGTCTCAACTCCTTTGGTCACGAAAGCAGTACCGTCCTACTATCACCTAACCCTAGAATCCGTTAGCGTGGGAAGCAAGAATTTCAAATACCCAAGCTCAGATTCTGGAAATATCATCATCGATTCGGGAACAACTTTGACACTCTTACAACCCGGATTTTACTCCGAAGTCGAAGCTGCGGTTGCGTCTTCAATCAATGCTGTGAGGAAAAATGATCCAGAGGACGATTTGAGTCTGTGTTACAGCGCAGACACGGATCTGAAAGTTCCAGACATTACGTTTCATTTCGATGGAGCAGATGTGAAGCTAGACGTTACCAATTCCTTTATAAGACCCTCAAAAGATTTGTTTTGTTTTGCCTTCCATGGGAGCGAGGACACGGCCATTTACGGGAATGTGGCACAGAAGAACTTTCTTGTTGGATATAACACCGTTTATAAAACGGTGTCATTTAAACCAGCAGATTGTGCAACGCTCTAGATGTTTTATTCTATTTTCTTTTTTTTCTTCAAATTTATAGTAATGGCTGATTTCACTTTAGCCTAATTTGTTCTTCAAACTATGAAATTTTGTTTTATTTGAATTTCCAAAATTTTACAAATTTAGATTCAACAAAATTTTCCTATCTTGCTGGTGAGTTCATCTCTGACGTCAGATATAGTCAATATAGGTATATATTTATATAGAAAATAAAACTAAGAAAAATTGTACATACATAGTATCTAAATGATTCATGAAACAAAATGAGGAGAACTGAATTGTATGTTAGCATGTAAAGGAAAACATAACATGAAGGTACAAGCCACAAGAAACATTTTACAAAGAAAGGTAAAATCCCATGCCTAATTTCTCCTCTAAATTTATGAATTTTCTTTTAGAATGAACTAGAATCGTTCTTACAAAAAAAATAATAAAACATTTAACAACCAATTAGATTAAGTGATTAAAGCCATGTCATCTTTTTTTCTTTCTCAAATTGATCAAGGAGTACGTCAGATTTGTGGCCGTTGAATAAAATATATCTGAGCTAACACAGGAATATTTTCATATAGAAAATAAAATTAAGGGAAATTGTAAAATTTATCTAAATAGAAATTCTCCATTTATATTTCTTAAAATATTTTGAAAGATTATATTTCATATGTTAGCCTGTAGCTTACCATGTAAAGGAAAACAGAACATGAAGGTACAGCTACAAGAAACACACGTCCATCTGAAATGAATGGACAGATGGTACTTCCTAAAAAAAATTGAAATACATGCATATATAGATGAGAAAATTTCTATATGATGAATGGAAAACACGGTTCATGAAATGAAAAATTGAAGACACCTTTTATAGTTAGTATCTTGAGATTATCTTAACACGTAAGAAAATCTATATGTGGATCAAAACATGAACATAAATACATAATCTGAAGTTCTGAACATATATGTGTAACCAGGTATTTACCACTGTCCCATTGACCTTAATTATATATACACATCAGGTTGACTGAGTAAAAAACTCTCTATTCACTTAATTACAAAGACAATGGCCTCTCTAGCCTCTTCAGCTTGCTTGTTTCTGTGTTTACTCTCTTCACCCTTTCTCTCAAATGCAAACACCAACGCAAAGCTCGGGTTCACCATGGATCTGATCCACCGTGATTCGCCTAAATCTCCTTTCTACAACCCGTCGGAAACCTCGTTCCAGCGTACAAGAAACTCTATCCTCAGATCCATAAACCGTGTTTTCCATTTCTCGGGCCATGATACATCAACTAGCTCAACCCAAACTGAGATCACCTCCAATGACGGTGAATATCTCATGAATGTATCCTTAGGAACTCCTCCGTTCTCATTCATGGCGATCGCGGACACGGGAAGCGATCTCCTCTGGACGCAGTGCAAACCCTGTGATCAATGTTATGCTCAAGATAATCCTCTCTTTGACCCTAAGGCGTCTTCTACATACAAAGATGTTTCTTGCTCCTCAAGCCAATGTAATTCTCTCAAATATGACGCACCTTGTTCAAGATTCAATACTTGCTCTTACACTGTATCTTACGGGGATAAGTCATACACAAAGGGTAACGTCGGTACCGACACCTTAACACTTGGCTCGACTAATAACCGCCCCGTGCAGCTCAAAAATCTTATCTTCGGATGTGGTCACAACAACAATGGGGTATTTAGCAAAAAGGACTCTGGAATCGTCGGACTTGGTGGTGGTCCACTTTCGCTCATTTCGCAACTCGGCGAGTCAATCAATGGTAAATTCTCATATTGTTTCTTCCCTCCATCTTCAGAAAATGATGTAACGAGCAAGATCAACTTCGGAACCAATGCTGCTGTGTCGGGAACGGGAGCTGTCTCAACTCCTATGGTCACGAAAGAAGTACCGACCTACTATCACCTAACCCTAGAATCCATTAGCGTGGGAAGCAAGAATCTGAAATACGCAAGCCCAGCTTATGGAAACGGCAAGGGAAATATCATCATCGATTCAGGGACAACTTTGACACTGTTACCAGCCGCATTTTACTCCGAACTAGAAGCTGCGGTTGCGTCTTCAATCGATGCTGTGAGGAAACATGATCCAGAGATCGATTTGAGTCTGTGTTACAGCGTAGACACGGATCTGAAAGTTCCAGACATTACGTTTCATTTTGATGGAGCAGATGTGAAGCTAGACGTTACCAATTCCTTTTTAAGAGTCTCGCATGATTTGGTTTGTTTTGCCTTCCGTGGGAGGAGCGATAACTTGGCCATTTACGGAAATATGGCACAGAGGAACTTTCTTGTTGGATATGACACCGTTTCTAAAAAGGTGTCATTTAAACCAGCTGATTGTGCAAAGCTCTAGATATGTTTTATTCTGTGTGTCTTATGTTTTCAGTATAATAATGGCTGGCTTCAGTTTAGCCTAGATTGTTCTTTAAACTATCAATTTCTTTATAATTTCACAGCATTTATAAGTTTTTATATTTGAATTTCTAAAATCTTACAAACTTAGAGTCGATTAAATTTTCCTATTTTTTTCGATACCTCTATACATTTTTGAATGTTCTGCTTTATCCAACGGAGACTTGTATTGTTTCTCACATAGGGTTATATGTACATGCTTTTGCGTTTTACTACTTGTATATTCAATAGATAAACAAAATTCACAAATAATAGTCTCTATATATACGTGATAATAAAAGCGATGACACTGCCATTTACATCTTATTGGTGTGACAAGTGATGCATAATTCTCTTTTATCCCCAAAAAATGATATGAGCCCTCTTTACCTCTTCAAGATCTATTTTCTGAATCTATCTTGCCGGTGATGAGTTCATCTCTGAAAGCTTTCCGATAAAATGGAGCTCTGCATTTCATGATGCACTTGAGATCGTTCAAGTTGCCTTTCAGGATCTCAACCACCTAAATTTTAAGAGAAAAAATATCAATTAACAAAAGGCGATTTCTTTACTTGTTATACAAGAAACTTCGGTTTAGGTATATACCTGACTCATCCCAGGCCTCTCTATTGATGACTCTTGGATTGATAACGAAGCAGCTAAAAGCACAAGTTTAATCTGCCTCCATTCGTACTCACCCGCTAGAGATTGATCGATTAGCTCTCTTATTTTGTTCTTCTTCATCAATGGTTTAGCCTGCAAGAAACACACAAAAATGAAAGGAACAACTATAAGCACAAATGTGGGATCTTAACCCACGTATGGTCGAGAAAAAAACTCTCACCCACAGAACAAGACTTTGCTTGGAGTAGTCGAGAGCTCGTCTTCCGGTAACAAGCTCTAGTAACAGTACGCCTAACGAGAACACATCGGTCTTTTCATCTACGATACCGTGAGTTAAGTACTCAGGAGCAAGATATCTGAAAACAAAGGACACAACATCTTTATCTCTATAACTTTCTTGGTAGAAACCAATATCCAAACTTATAAAGTGTTAAGACTCACTCACCCAAATGTGCCCTCAAATTTGGAAACAATATGGTGAGTCCAATGTTCAGGTAGCCACTTCGCAAGCCCAAAGTCACATATCTAAAACCAACAATACATTTTCATCACAAAACAAAGAAAAAAATTGAAAATGTGTTCTGTTTTGTTTCTGAGCATCATACCTGAGGCGAGAAATCATGCGTGAGAAGAATGTTTGCGGCTTTGATATCTCTGTGTATGATTCTCCTGTGACATCCTCTGTGAAGATACACTAAACCTTCTGCAACTCCTAATGCTACCTTGTACCTAATGCTCCATTTCATCTTCTCCTTTGAGCCTATCATATATATATCATCAAACAATTAATTTTCTTTTTTCATAGAGATGTGATGATAATCATAAAGGCAAGATGATTCATTACTTACTATAAAGCATAGAAGCTAAGCTTCCATGAGGGGATAACTCAAGAACTAGATGCATTCCTCCTTCGACTCCATAGCCTAAAAGCTTGGCTATGTTCGGATGATTAACATGTGCCATTATACCCATTTCTGTTAAGAAATCTACAATGGTCTCTTCGCTTGTTCCTCGCATGAGCCGTTTTACTGCTACCATTTGTCCATTTTGTAACTTCCCCTTGTAAACTTCTGCGTAACCTCCTTTTCCAATTAGATTCTCTGCCAAATTCCAAAAAAAAATAAAGAAACATTGCTACAATTTCATGAAAAATCTTCATCTTTCTAATATATATTCAATATTCAGTTTTTTTTTTCAATACATATCAAACATTCCTAAAGAAATTTGGTAAGAAGTTGTGAAGTTTTTCGTCAAAACTTCATAATTAGATTCAGAATTTTGTATTCTAATTAAAAAAAGGTTGTGAAACTCTGTTATATTTCATTGATGAACACAATTGTACTAAACCGGAAAATCAAAAATTCTAATTATACTAAACCGATCCTAAATACAAATTGCAAAAATAGAGCTAATCCATTGATCGATACAGAGAGAATAAATTTTCAGATTATTGTGACTTACCTAAAGCGAAATTGTTTGTAGCGATCTTGAGCTCAGAGAAAGTGAAGATTCTTCGAGGAGAGAGCAGAAGAAACTGAGCATCACTGTTGCCAAATCTGAGATTCTCTCTGAAGCTACTACATCTTCTCAGAGAGCTTTTAATGGCATTATTGTTAAACGGAATATTCTTCAGATTCTCCAGCGATTTTTTCGATCTGCTTCTCACGAGCTGAACGATTTTCCGGAAACGAGAGGAGGAGGAGGAGGAAGGGTTCTTCGCCGTCGTCGTCTCGGAGCTTTCGAATTCTTCGGTTCTGAAGAATTCTTCGAGAACTCCGACAGGTGAAGAAGAATCTGGAACTTTCATAATTCACGATGCTCTCTGAGAAGAAGAAGATGACAAAACGGGTTTTGAATTTTGATAGACACATAAACGCATTCAACATTTAATTTGAAACTTGAAGCGGCGCATTTTTTTATTTCCGCCAAAAAGGGAAAGTTTTTTTTTGTTTCCTTTGTAATAAAAGAAGAGAAACTCGAACATGGAAATTTTGCAAGCAAAGTTAACAAGAAACATTCCTAGAGAAGAGTATAAAAGAACTTAATTTGTTTATTGTTTACAAATCAAAACCATTTGAAATTGTTAACAAGATGTCAAAATTCTATAAACCATTTTCGAAACAAAAGTAAACAATATGCTTGAGAAATTAGAGAAAATATTATGTTACTAAAAAAAACTAGACAACATCTTAGAAACAAATGTATGTTGGAGCAATGAAAATGGCATAAATTAAAACCATTGTAATTAGTAAACAAGTTTTGCACATGTCAAACTATCAAAACAAGTTTACTTCAATATCCAAATTCCACTGATTATTAAAATAAATGTAAAATGCGAAAATAGTAGCCAAGAACAGAAGAAGAGTAGCCTATAAACAAGAAGCATACTAAGAAAATAGAAAATAATACAATAAAATAATAAGAAAGAATAAAATGCAGAATCTAAAAGAACAAGAAAAGAAGAAGAACATACCATGAAAGAAGAGAAACCAAGTACATGAAGTGAGAGAGTGTGTGAATGGTGGAGACTATCACTTAAGGGTATGTATGATAAACCATCGCTTTCTTACCAAAATATATAGAATCAGACCAGCCAATGACTATTTTTTGTTTCCTTTTTTTCATATAAGCTTAGGGAAAAAAATGAAATTGAAAAATGTAACATGTGACTAATATAAACCGAACAGTGTGGATCAAAGGTGGGTTTCTGGTTAGTTCTATGCAAGAAGAAGAAGAGGAAGAAAAAGATTCTCTTCTAATTAGTTAATTTGTTTGTATTTGGTAGCTCGTGGTCCAAAAAAATTATCGTAATTTGTATTGTAGAGTATAAATGGTTTCAGCTCGTCTTGTCTTTCGCCATTACATTAGGCGAGAATTGTCGTGTTTGTAATACGTATGTGTGTTTCCATTCTTTGGAATTATGTCTCCGGAAAATATCTTTATTTTTCGTCGTCTTCAACTCTTTCTACTGGTTGTTCACCAAGAGTAATAATCCCACATGTATACACGGTAATGATGCGCTAAGAGTGAGAGTTTGTATTGTAGATCCACCAATCTCCAAAGATATGGAGTATAAATTACTAATAGCATATCTACCAAACTATAATCATTATTGAGTAATTAAGGAATTCTCTTCCTTCGAGATAAAGTTACGTTAATATAGACAAAACAATCATATGACTGTCACTAGCTGTTATGTTACGTGGTACAAATAGTTCAGAAAACATACTTTACGACCAAATCAAGGCATGATTATTTGTTTTCTTGTTTGTTCCCAGTACGACGTTACACTTGCAATAATTTACTAGCCACTAAGCTGCCTATTATATTTCATTGAATTGCTACAATACTACTAACTAAAATGATAGAAAATAGATTTGGAGAATATAGATCACTACTTCAAATTCGTTTGGTTGTGTTTGTTTTACCAAATCACAACATATAATGTAATCTAGTGATTTTTGGAAATATGGTCATGTTAGTTTCGCATAGCGATCAGCAACATGTTTTATTGTTCATTTTACAGTTGTAAGTAATCAACGGTTGGCAACAGAATTCAACAACCATTGACAAAATTGAGAATACAAACTTTTATCGTTGAGATTTAAATCGCTATCACTTGCTATTGTAAAACGTGAATATGTTTTAATTGCGAGTCGTAGTCGCTATCACCAGCGATTACGAAACGATCATGGCCTATTTGTCACCAATTCTGATATTTCCAGAAACAACCCACCCGAATCCGGAGAGTTGTCCGGACAGATCTTGCGGATCCGTTCGACCACACTAACCACATCTACGTTAAGACTTTCATTTTTGGTCATTTAACCGGAGGAACCAATTGTATAAAAATATACATGAATTATCTGTTTTTTCATATACAGTCTACTTTCTGTGGTAACAATTGAATACAGATATTTTCCTGTACAACGAACAACTCGCCATTGAATTATTTTACAACCCAGAGAGAGAGAGAGGAAGAGAGTAAGAAGAAGATTCTTTTTATCTTTTGGTAGTACTTACTTTGTATTTTGGCGGTTTTTTAGCCAAGGTAAGGCAACATTGGGTCCATACCTAGTCCTGACCCTCCCAAGCTACCTGGATCCGCATGTTTCACTCTCCCGAAATGGCGTATGTGACGTAACAGTCTTGCAAGGAACGTATTGTGGCAGATTGTAGAGCTATCGCATACAACCGCCACGTGTTTCCGAGCTCTTGTTATGGCTACATTCATCCGTCTGCTATCTCCTAGGAATCCCACTGCACCTAAATTGTTCGACCGTACCTATAAATGGTTTTCACAAACACAGTCAAGGACACGAGACTTATTCGCACTTAGGCAAAATGCTGAGAAATAACCGCTCTATGAACCATTTGACATACGCTAATTCTACAACCCACAGCTCGGTTTAGGAATCCACTTGTCAAGTTATGAGCAGAGGAAGAAAATGTATGCATGGTGCTTAAGGTAAAGGAGGAGGATAGTGTACCATTGAGATAATCACTGCATCAGCCTCCCGCCCTTGGAAACTGTCGATGGTAGCGACCTCAACTCCATCAGCTACTGGAAAATCATCAAGCCTGTCTCTGAGAAGTTGCACCTGAGCAACATATGGTGATTGAACAGCAATAGCCATTGGACTCACACCTACAATCACGTCGAACAAGTTGGTTATTAGGTTATCAAACGCAATTAATATGAGTGAAACTCTGGCTCATTTTCTAACTTACAACCAATTGAATATATATCACTCACCAGCATATATCAAAGAAATGACGTGATTAACCACGATGTCCGCTTCTCCTTCGTTGAATAATGAGCCTGTACCAGCAGGATCTAGACGCTCCTCGCAGCCCACTGATAAACTCCCATATGGCATTCTTGTGTCAAGAAGAAGCAGTGGGCATTGCGTAATCCAAGTAGGCTGCAGTAAGTAAACAAAAAGGATGTTACTACTTCTAAAGAGTCATGGGGTTACCAAAGTGCTTACGATCACAAGCAAATCAAGACACAAATCATCAAACTTACAACCAACAAGCAAAGATAATATCATGAAACACAAACCAACAGAGTTGCTAAAGAAACGGAGTAATGCATAAAAGCGTAAAAATAAGAAGAAGAAGTACCTTCACAAAAGGAGAATCGATAAGCAGATGAGAGGCAACACTTGGAGCAGATTTCAACCATCCACCATACATCTCCTTTGATGCCCAGCCAGCGATTACATCATTCATACGATACTGTGTAGTCAGCTTCGTCGTAAGAAGTCCATCATGCAAAGACGCAGCTCGTTCCAGCAACGATACACCAAGCCCACCTTCCAAAGCTTTGCGTGACAGAATAACTGGCGCTAACTGGCATGGATCACCGGCAAGAATACAACGTTTCCCTTGCAATATCGGGATCCAGCAAGAAGGCTCAATAGACTGACCAGCTTCATCTATAACAACCAAATCAAACGTTTCTAGCCTCCTAACCAAATTATCAGCTGCTCCAATGTTAGTAGCAAACACAACCTGTGCATTTGATAGTACTTCCTTTACAGTTTCTTTCTCCTTCTTCTTCAACGTTTTCCCTTGCTGTTTCAAGAGCTGTCGAATGCCAGCTGCAAGAGAATCATCCTTCAGGCACTGCCGAAGATCTTTTCTCAAATCCGACTTCTTCCTTTCCAGCTCCGCTCGAAAGCTTGCAAGCTTAGAGTTCACAATCTCCCCCAGAGACTTTGAAGCAACAGCTGATGAGATTCTCGCGGGATTTCCTACTCGGACAATGTTTAGTCCAAGATGTGAGAGCTTCTCGACCATGTTATCAACAGCTGCATTCGTAGGTGCTGTTACGAGCACTCTCTCCCCTTGCTGAACAGCGAGCGAAATGACCTCCTTAAGCATTCCAGTCTTCCCCGTGCCAGGAGGTCCTTGAACTATCATAACCGGTCTCTTTTTGTTTACTCCCAACGCTATGGCTCTCCTTTGGGAGTCATCGTATAGCTTAGCCACTGGCTCATCACTCAACTCTGCTTCACTCCAGTCCACATAATCATTCTGCTCCAGCCATGTTATATCTTCCCCATCTCCAAATAAAGTCGCCACTACAGACATTGATGGATTTTTCTTCTGCAGGCCATTCTTCTGCAGAAGCATTAGCGCCTCGCAGTTACGCTGCAACATAAGACTATAATAGTAAGCAAACACTTGCAATAACAGGCCATAATAAGAATGCATCTTTAAGCAATATGTAGATATACCTCGTAAGTTAGAGCATCGGCCAACCCATGAATACGATCAATTCTCACACTCTTCCCAAAGAGCTTGGAGAAAGTAGGATCTCCATGACGAGATTCTAGAGCCACACCAATGCTGCACCCATCATCTCCAAGGTTGTGAACAAACCCCTGCGTACAAGAAGTTGCTCCAGCACCCCTACTGTCACAAATTCTTATGCAAACCATGTCACCAGGGGAAAGCGTAGTAGGAGGAAGACGGTGGTTGCCTCCAACCTTAAACAACACCAAGTGCATTCCTCCGAGCCCTGCACAACAAATTTCATCAAAACTGAAAGAGAACATATTCCAACAAAATACATTTGGCTAAGACTCTAACCTGTGGAGGTACTAACTGCATACAAATTGCAAATTGTGTCACAAAGCTCCTGTGGAGCTTCACCGTGCCTAACCAAGAACTCGATCGGTTTTGAGGAATCTGAGTTCTCATCTGGAGTAGGGATAACATCTAATTCTTCCTGCGTTACCTCAAGTTCTGTATCTCGTTCCACTTGAAGTAACTGCGACATATGGCTAGTGAATTCAT